AATATATATTAAACAATTAAGCGACAGAGCGAGGCTTTAGCGGCAAGGGAGCGGAGCGAGTACCAAGCGAGGGTGGTAATTATGGGAGGGGGTTCTGACTCCGGCCGCGTGCTCATGCAGTGTCTGCCGGGCTCACGATCAATCCGGCAAAAAGAATTTCTATTATTGGTTCAACTTAATTGATAAAATTTGAAGTGGACTATTTAAAAAGATTATTATTAAAATATTATACCAATGATTCGTTGAACCGTGGATCCGCGCCTGGCCACTACCATAAGGCATAACAAACATATCCTCTTCCTGGCTATTTGGGTATGTGTCAGTTTGCAACAAAAATGGAGAAACGCGCATTTTGTTGAAAATCATGCCTGATATCACGAACATTTATGAATTACTTAATTGTATGGAATTGAAAATAAGTCATTTAATTTTAATGAGGGGGGGGGGGGGGGGGCAAGCGCCCCAAGCCCCCCCCCCCCACCACCACCAGTACGTCAATGATTATCTCAAAGGTTAACCTTTTGCTCCAATGATACACATCATCAGCCTGTCAGTTTTACAAAAGGGGAGGCCTAATTATGTACCCCATATCATGCCTAGCACAGGCGCGTACGCAGGGGGGGGGGGGGTTGAACCCCCCCCCCTTTACCTTGTTTTATGTGTACGTTTTGGAGGATACCCCCCTTTTGTGTTTAACAAAAAAAAAAACAATTGGTAATGAATGACCCAAAACGCTGCCCTTACCACCCCCCCCCCCCCCAACGAAACGAAATACCGATCGGCCAAATTTTCATATTTTGAGACACACCCCCGCTTATTTAGCGACCTGCTGAGTCGTTGCGAAATTTTTGGGACCAATATATATTATCATTTTTTTGTCGAGAAAAAAATTGAACTTGTTCTATCGATCCACAGACGAAAATTTGTTTCGACCGCATTTCCATCCCCCTTGGCAAACCCTCCCTTTGCTTGTTTTTGTGTTATTTTTTTATCCGGCAAATTGGGCCCCAAAGAAGCTCACGCGCCTTTTGCAAACACATGTACTAGGCCTATTAACAGGCTTTACTACTTCACCCAGGAGGGAATAGACCACCCAGCGAGCCAGCGTGGTCACTGTGACAGGTGGCTATCTCATTACTCAGCTCTCATTTAACATAAGAAAAAGCACACATAGGAGCATCATTATCCTGGCTGTGTAGTAAAAGCTGTGCTTTTGATTCTCAACATTTCAAACACCACTGTACAAAACTCAACTGATTTCACTCAAAATCGGTACTTTAGTGACAATTGATGACACCTAAATAGCAGTAAAGTACATTTTTTTAAACTTACTGATGTTAAAAATAATAATTTAAAAATTCAGATTGTAAGTCTAGTGTCAAACTTTGCTTACAGCTGCATCGACATGATTGTGTACTTATTGTGTGGTGTGTATATTTGTGTACGGGTATAATAACACCTGGCTCACAGCAAGCATGCAGTGCTAGAGGTCAATACGCATTGGCATTGACTCTCTATGCTTTGCTGGAGTAAAGAAAAAGAGGATCATGGGAGACCAACAGGCACCGATTGGGGAAGTTTTCTATATAGACATGATAGAGGGAGCAAGTAGCTACAAATAGGACAGTGTGCCTTTAAGAAAGTAGAAAGTTTGCTCGACACATCTGTATTGGGATGATTTAGGTAGACTACGTACTATCTTAATTTTATCTTTTCAGAGATCCGCTGTAACCCTCAACATTTCCAAGTAGCTAGTCTACATGCCTCTTGCAGCCATGGATCTCGTAGAGGTTCTTTCTGCCATTTTTCCTGCTCTGATGGATTCTACCTGGTGGGTAATAACCATGCCATCTGCGAAAGAACCAACTCAGATTCCAAGCAAGGGGAATGGTCTAATCCAACTCCACATTGTAAAGGTAAATTGATTAACCAGGGAAACTCACATATCCCTGGATTAACAAACGCAGGGCAATGCGGCGCCGGTGTTGGAGCTTCCTGGAGTTTAGGCAATGCCTATTAAAGAGGACATGCCTATTAAAGAGGACACTTTTTTTTTTTGTATCGAAATTTGAAAATTTGACATTTTGCTCCGTTGGGGGGGGGGGGATAAGGTCATCTTTTTGAGGTCGGGAATTTTTTTTTTTTTTTTTTTTTAATGAAAAAAAAAAAAAAAAAAAAAAATCCAAAAAAATCCAAAAGGGGGGGGGGGGGGGGGGTTTAGGGAAATTTAGGGGGGGGGGGTTTACACACCAAAAATTATCAAAGGGGGGGGGGGGTTTAAAAAGAAAAAAAAATCAAAAGCACAGCTTTTACTACACAGCCAGGATAGTGATGCTCCTATGTGTGCATTATCCTGGCTGTGTATTAAAAGCTGAGCTATTGATTCTCATCATATCAAACACCACTGTACAAAACTCAACCGATTTCACTAAAAATCGGTACTTTATTGACGATTGATGACACCTAAATAGCAGTAAAATACAATTCTTTTAACTTTCCGATGTTAGAAGGAATAATTTGAAAATTCAAATTGTGAGTCCACTGTCAAACGTGCCGATCAGCCGGATGGGCATGATTATGTGCATCTGTGTGTTATAAGTGTATTGACTATCAAATGCTGCCTATTAACACGCAGTGCAGTGCTAAAGGTCAATACACATTAGCATTGACTCTCTATGCTTCGCTGGAGTGATTACAAGTACTAGAGGCCTACATACCAGTGTGATGGGTCTGAACATGTACATGTGCACAACTGATATTGGAGAGTATTGAAGGTTGTTTTATGCATGATATAGCTTCATAAAAACATGACTGTTTCATAATGAAATAATAAATAGTGTTTGAATGAGGAGTAATGTTTTACTTTTTACCTCAGTCACACCAACAAGACCGACACCAGACCAACAACAGACCAACCCAAAAATCACATTACCCCTATGCCTCCTATGAAAAAAAAAATCAATTTGGAACTGGTCTGGCGTCGGTTTGGCAGTGTATGTAACTGAGATTATTATACACCTCTATCTTGTAACATTGCCCTTTGCTGGAAAGAATTAAAGTATTGGTAGATTCAATACAGTACAATAAGCTAAGCACCCTGTCAATGCTCAAAATCATGAACTTTGCATCCCAAATCAAGTACGTCCCTCGAGACCATATGTGTAATGAACACACAACAAATGGAAGAGATTAATTCCCACCACTTCAAGATTAACATTTGCCCTGTGATTATTTATCTTCTGTTGCAGAAATCCTCTGTGATCCAGCACCTACACTCATGAATGGCAAATTTTATTTTGATGAATGCGAGACAAGGGTTTCTTCTTCCTGTCTTTACGAATGTTCCTCGGGGTACACAATAACAAATAGTGTACTGCATTGTAGAGCGCCCCCAGAGACGGTTGACCCTGTAAATGGTACTTGGTTTGGTGACATGCCGATGTGTGAAGGTTAGTTATTCAGCATGAAATACAGGTACCTCGTATAAAAATGAGGAGTTCGGTTCAAAACAAAAATATTAGGAGCCAGTTTACATGTATATACTGTAACAGTATATCCATGGAAGTCAGTTTTGAAGAACAGATTTACATATAATTCACATATACCGGTAATGTAAAAAATAATATGATAATTAGTGTACATGTTCTAAATTTATATGAATATCATGAACTTTCATTTACACCTATACCCAGCGTAATCAATACCTTCTATTTACGTGCAAATTGGAACTTGAATTTAATTGTAAAAGTAAGGTACATGCAAATTACCTTCCTTTTTTTTCTTCCTTGGCAGTGCAAACTTGTAAAAGGCCGCCTTTGTACGGGATCTTGGAAGTTAGTGATGGCACATTATGTGCCAATTCTCCTGATGTCCCAGTCAACGAGACTTGTTCCTTTGGCTGCGCCGAAGGATTTGCCCTCAAGGGTGCCGGAGTCATTCAGTGTGACCTCGACGGATCATGGCTCCAACCCATTCCAGAATGTGAAGGTGAAGCTGATTGTCGTTTATATTAAGTACATGTGATTCAGTAGAAGTCAAAGCAATACTATAGTTTCAATCATTCCAGAGATGTTACAAAAATTGAAGGCCACCCCCACCTACCCCACCCCATGAAATATACAACTGCTCTTCAATCGCTGCCAATTGCAGCATGCCTTTTAGCGAATTTTTCTTTCAAGTAATGCGCAAATTATAAGATCAAGTTTGGAACAGTCGAACAATTCATTGATGAAATGTTATGTTTGACTCCATTTTAAACTCAAACTTGATCTTATAATTTGCGCATACTGTACATACATTTCTAACATAATCCACTGAAACTAATAATAATACACAATTTCTGTCATATTCATAACTGTTCTCTTACGTTTCCTGAGCTTCATTCTAACCCAATGACTTTATACACAACAGCATTCCGACACACAACGTGAATTTACATACGTGTGTAACAATTTCCTTACTTGATTATGCACCACTTATATTTCTCTATTTTTATCACCAATAGCATCAAACACAACAATAGTCATTATATTAAAACAAATGGAGGTCAGTGAATATACTCACAAGAAATTGGGCTAGTGTAAAAATACCCCCAAAATGGTGCACTTTGAGTGCCGGTAACACACTACAACAATGTGATTTAGTTTCCCCAACAAACTCACTACTGCCCTCTACGGCTAAACTTAAATAACCAAAATTTTGCTTCTGACGTCACAATAGCACACCTCATCTGCAACAAAGATCATTTTGGAGAAGGAGGGGGGGGGGGGGGGGGGGGTGTGTTCAGATTGACCCACTTTATTATTCTCCGTCAAAAGATAATATGCTTTAAAGCCTTTTTGACACAAATTGTAAAACAAGCAATACTTTTATTTCAACTTTTATGTATAAATTGTTATTTAATATGCCGAAGCAGAAGTTCCTCTGTCTCTGTATTTGTCTCTGTCTTTGTCTATCTCTCTCTCTTTATTGTATGTGTATTTATTTTCAAAATTGAATTTGATAGTTATCAAATGCAAAAAAAAACTCCCTGAACCCCAAAATGGGGGAAAGAATGGATGCCCTTTCCAAGAAGAGCTGTTCGGAACCACTTGCACTCTCTTCTGTGATGTTGGTTTCAAACCGGCTAACGAAAGTGACCCTCTTCAACGTACCTGTGCTGCAAATGAACAGAACATAGGCTACTGGGAAGGCGGTGGAACAATCACATGTACAGGTAAGATTTACCAGAAGATAGTTACTTCAAAGATTTGTAAAAATGAAACATCTCATTTATTTCCCATCCCTAAATCTGGATGTTCATTTTGTAAGTTCCCTCATACCACTGCTTATTAATTACAATTTAATTTGAAGAAGAAAAAAATAATGAAAAGAGAAATATATTAGTGGATAGGTTTGGAATCAAAATGAAGACAGGGAGACATATGAATTGACAACTGAAATCAATGTCCAGTGTGAAATTGACCAATGACTTTTTAGGTTTGGCCCAGAAACTTAGTATTAGGCATGTTAGAAATATGTCTTATTATTTAGGTTAATATTTACATTTTATACTGTCTGGCTATCTGGTCCAAAGATATAGTAACCAAAGACATAAAGCAAAGACATGAGTCATGAGTGATAGGTAGAGAAATATTGGCCAGATTTGTGATCTATATGGGACTTTTTTTTCCTAAAGGTGAACAAATTAATGTGCAATTACATGGTTGACAAAACGCAATCATATTTTTGAAGGAACACCATCATTAATAAATAAAAAGTTTACTATTGTTTTCACATTTTTGTTGTCATGAGTACTAATAATTATCTTCAGTGGGACACTAATTTCATATGTATCACTTTAGGTCAAAAGTGAACAAATCATGGGCATAGTTTTGGTAGTACATGCATGTATCTTCAACCAAAAACGCAGAAGGATTGCACAAATATGGATTTCTTGACACCCCATAATTATATTCTCATCCCATTTAATCAAAAATCAGCATCAAATTTATTTCATGAGCAATTACCTATTGTACGATCTTCTGAATACCTGCCACAATGGGAGATACATGTATGTGCATACATGTGCATGGAGTGTGATCCCTAAATGTATGTGCCTGAAGAAAGAAAAATGTAGAGTTTCAACAGTGAGATTATTTTATCATACCTGTCTTTTTCCCTTCATTTTTTTTCTTCTAGTCTTCTGTTTTCTACATGACAATGCTCTATAAATGAAAAATGTATATTGTATGCATAGACGCTGTCCAATCTCTTTAAATGTTTATCAATTCATTATTTTTAGAAGTGACTTGCGACCCACTATCTGTTCCGGTCAATGGTGAAATCATATCATGTACAATTATGGATGCATCAAGCACCAACGTCAGTAATATACAACAATATAACACAATCTGCAAATCATCCTGCAATCTTGGCTACACTCCACAGTACAGCATCACTCGTAGATGTATGGAAGATGGATCATGGGATGGCATTAATCAGCTCTGCCAAGGTTTGTCCTTAATTATTCAATTGTTTTTGCCATGTGCAAAATATACCTGACTGATATCTGCATTTTCTGTTTTACGTTTCCAAATCATTGTCATTGTTTTGTGTTGTGTTGTGTTTAATAAATGTATTGTAAAATACAAGGAATTATATATTTTTCTCAATTGCTGTTTGTTTTATTTGTTTATTCCAGATGTAACTGACCCGGAAGTTACGTGTCCTTCAGATCAGATTCTTTATGCAGACTTCAACCAGCTGGAGGCAACATTTCTTGCTGACAAATGGGAGCCTGTTCAGGTAATGGACGTGACAGCAAAGCAAACTATTCTGAGGTTGAGTGGTTGTGAATGCGTGTCGGTTGAACCGTTTTATGTTTATTTACATGTACATGTATCTGTATATTGTACATGATGTAACCATGACGCAGGTCACAATTTGGTTGAAAGCTCGTGCTCGGCTCCTGGCTTTTTTCATCTTAAATTTTTCCAAAGCAAACAAAATGATAAACAACGATAAGCAAATCAACAAATTAGCTTTTTTATTTTTCCAGGTGAAATTGTGTGATCTGGTGCATACTTTATAGAGTATTTTAACATTATAGCTAAAGGCAATATTGAGAGAGAAAATCATACAGACTATTAACAGAGAGATAAAGAAAATTATTAACATGGAATACCTGATTGTTCGCCAACGAACGTGGGCCGCTTGGCTAGGCGTACGTAGATCGAGCGAAGTGCTGAGGGCCTCACGCGCTCACTCTCTGAGACAAAGCCACATCAAGTGTTTGTTCAAGTTTAAGTTGTTAATCACAAGTCATTTTTCACTCTCAAAACTCACTTTATATTTTTATAATCCCTCTCATTCTATTCTACTGTATGAAGTGATATTAGGCCCTCTCTAAAAACAAATCACAGAACCGTGAAATCTTTGCTGTTCTCGATCAATTGAATTGTCAACTGTTACTGATGACGTACTCAGGCTCGCTGTAGGTTCGTCTGATCCATTTTCAGGGCCGGGGCAGGCTCGGGCCGACCCGGCTAGCTGCATATGAATAAGGGTATGGTGCGAAGATACGTACATCATCGGACTAGCTAGCTATATAGGCGCCGATCTTACACACGCATGTGCGCGAGAAGTGAGATCGAGGCTTTCGTCTTTGATTTTTCCTAAAACCGAAGACTTGTGATAGATCTACACACTTTCTCACAGGATTCACGGCAAACTGCTGTACAATACAATTGCATACCGTACTGACGATGGGGTGCGAGCGCGCGTGCACGAAGTTAATGGTACTATGTCCCTTTTGCAGCCAACCTCAAATCCTGTAGAACTTTGCAGGAATTATGAATATGTCATATATGTCCTATCTGTGAAATTTAAACGTTAGTAGTGTCCTCATATTCAAATTATGCAAGGAAACCCGTTTACTTGCTAGACTTTACTGTCAGACACTTTTGAGTGACTGACTGGCTTTTTTTCTTCTTTGGTAATAACATACATGAAAAGAGTTGTAAAGGGTACATAGGCATTTGTCTACATCAATAACCCACTTCTTGTGATGGCCAAGATTAAACTGATTGAATCTTTGCGCAGCATAAAACGTATGACCATTCGGTACAATTGTCTGAAAATCAAGATTATTACTTTTGGGCTCTATAGCCTTAAAGTCGATTTGACAACTAATAGTCATTATTTTCCCACTTGAAGACATTTTCAAGCCCCACCTTTTTTAGGGAAGTTCTAAATAAGTATTATCTTTCAAATGCAGTTGGAATTTAACTTTTTCATTTTTTTTGCCTGCAAATGGGACATAGTACCTTTAAGGGCTGTAATGATCGGAGGATCTGAGATTAGAGTTCCTAACTTCAGTCGCGCCAGCACCCCATGCCAGCCACCGTCGATACTACGCTAGACAGTGTGCAATTGAATTGTGCAGGGGTTTGCTGTGAATCATGTGAGAAAATTTACATTATAATTCTTTGTTTTCAAGCGCGTAGCCAGGATTTCATTTTAGGGGGCGGTAGTGAGCATGTGAAGCGTGCGAATCACTTACAGAGCGCGCTCGCTAGGAGGGTGGGTGCAGGGAGGGGGGAGTTTCCTCCCTTTGACGTTCCATTAAATTATTAGAGAAAGAAGACGATTCGTTGGACTGTTCTCGACTCTTAATCCTTATCTAAATCCAGTTTCTTTTGACGTTTCATTAGAGAAAGGAGACGATTCGTTGTACCGTCCTCGACTCTTAATCCTTGTTTGAATTAAGCTCTCCAAGCTCTGACGTTTCATTAGATTAATGAAGAAAGAAGACCATTCGTTGTACCATTCTCGAACGACTCTTAATCCTTGTCTGAATTCAGTTCCCCCCCCCCTTTGACGTTTCATTAAGTTATTAGAGAAAGAAGACGATTCGTTTTACCGTTCTCGACTCTAAATCCTTGTCTGAATTCAGTTTCCCCGCTCCCGCGCGAAGCACGGAAGCTTTGACGTTTCATAAATTATTAGAGAAAGAAGACGATTCATTTGACCATTCTCGACTCTAAATCCTTGTCTGAATTCAGTTTCCCCGCTCCTGCGCGAAGCACAGAAGCTTTGACGTTTCATAAATTATTAGAGAAAGAAGACGATTCATTTGACCGTTCTCGACTCTAAATCCATGTCTGAATTCAGTTTCCCCGCTCCCGCGCGAAGCACAGAAGCTTTGACGTTTCATAAATTATTAGAGAAAGATGACAATTTGTTTCACCGTTCTCGACTTTAAATCCTTGTCTGAATTCAGTTTCCCCGCTCCCGCGCGAAGCACGGAAGCTTTGACGTTTCATAAATTATTAGAGAAAGAAGACAATTCGTTTCACCGTTCTCGAGTCTAAATCCTTGTCTGAATTCAGTCTCCCCGCTCCCGCGCGAAGCACGGAAGCTTTGACCTTTCATAAATTATTAGAGAAAGAAGACGATTCGTTGTACCGTTCTTGATTCTTAATCCTTTTTCTTCCTACGTCCTCTTTCTTCGTTTTTTCTCTCTTTTATTTTTTTTGGCCGGCGTTTTTTTTTTTTTGGCCGGCGTTTTTTTTTTTTTTTTTTTTTTTTGGGGGGGGGGAAATACTTTGAAAACAAATTGGAAAATTGAGACGAAATAGGTAAGAAACATAACAAATTTTAAATCATGACCATTATCTGAACAATTGATGAAGATTTTGTTGATTTTTGGTATGTTTTAGTAGGGTACCTCCACGCCGGAGTTACGGGTAACAGTATGGATATAAATTGGCGCCTTCAAATTCGCATCGTAGCAAAATGAAAGTCCTTTATAGGGGTGCGTCTTATACACAGATTTACGACAACAAAATTTGAGTTATGAAATTATATACAAAATAAAAGAGCTTTGCTTAGAAATTTTAAATACTTTCGTTAAACCTAGGCCACAGATGCTGGAGATACTTTGACAGCAGAATTATTCAAGGTGGATTCAAACTTGGTGTTTGGTAGTACTCTTTCTGAAGGAGAGCATTCTGTAGAGTACCAAGCAGAGGATAATGCACGCAACAGGGGATCCTGTTCATTCGACTTGGACATCAAAGGTTTGTAACAAATTAAAGATCTACCTCTTTGATTTGCCTCTTGCTCGCCCCCTGTTCATGTGGATAGGAGGCTTATCAAAGAGGATATACGCGTGGTGTATCCCCCGATCTTACTCTTTTCACTATGTGGTCTAAACCATGTTATCAAAAAAATATGCTAAGATCGTTAATCCTTATATTATGTTCATTCAGGTAATCGCAGGCATATTGTTTAATATAATTGACAGTACTATAGGATTTATTCATAGGCAGAGGTGTGATGGCTCAATGGTAAATCAGTGGTCTCGTAACCAGGTCTCGAGCTTGAAACCAAGTAGATGCCCTAGTGCCCTTTAGTAAGGCATTTATCCTCATTACCAAGCCCCTCAGCTAGAGAGAAATTAAAGCCGTTGGTCCCCTTGTTTCTTACTTAAAAGCACATGCATGCTTTCTTAGCAGTCAGGTAAAAAAAAGAAAGAAGTAATTTCATAACTTATTTATTAGACATGATTAGTACTGCAAAATTGAAGAATAGTGTTGAAGAGAAAAGCTCTCCTGCACTCTTCAGAATGAAGTCGGACAATAAAAACAGAGACTAAAGGAACGAAGCATGCAAACAATAACATGCTCTGATTGACTGCAGAAATATAAAGAAGGGGTCATTACCAGCCAGTTTTGTACAATAAGCTGTTAGCTATATTATTTGTAGATAGAACAACACAGTTTCACCAACCATCATTCACATGACTTGTAAATATTAACTAGGCTATGATGTAAAGGATTTTAATAATTTTTATGTGGTATTATATAGTTTTATTTGAACATTAAGGGGGGAGTCCGCCTCTGTCTACCTTTCCCAAATGAGAATTTACATGGTAGGCCTATGTATTATTTTTTAGAATTATCATAAATCTGACACATGTAGTTATGCCATCTCTGAAATTTGTACATTGTATTTTGTGTTTGCAGTGACTAGATGCCCTCCGCTGTTTGTCCCACCAAATGGTGAACTAACGATGGAATCTGGTAGTGGTAGCTGTACGGGAGGGGCCATCTATGGATCTGAGTGCCTAGTTTCTTGTGAGCTAGGTTATAAACTTTCAGTCGAAACTGAAGATGAATCAGTTTCACTCTTTTGTAATCGACCAAGTTCAACTACTACTGTTGGAGTATGGACTGATACACTCCCATCCTGCAACCGTAAGTAATTGATATTCACATTTTCATTTCTTCATCTTGTTGACATGCATTTTAATTTGTATTATTATAATAATAGTTATTATTATTGTTATTATTATTGTTATTTTAATTATTTTGAATGAAAATGATTTATAGCTGTTCACATTTCTTTGATAGTGGCAAAGGCTTACTGCTTCATTTATACCATTTTGTTGTATACATGTTATACAGTAGGCTTGCGGGTGCACCATGTGAGAGAGAGGGAGGATTGAGGAGTCCTGAAAAGTACTCTCGGTAATCTTTCTTGAGGGGTTTGTAGTCCTGAAAAGGACTGTTTGGTATTGTCTTGAAAAAGATTGTTGGTTATCTTTCTTAGCTTATAGTTCTAAGGAGAACTATAGCACTCGGAGAGGATGAGTGGCGGGAGTGGCTCGACGTTTCGAACAGGTTGACTATCCGTCGTCAGGAGTGGAGAATAGGGACTTTTAGATTTGCACGTCGACAGCTTTGACTGCAACGTGTGACGTCATTTTAAGGCACTGCGCATGCGTCACGACGACGTCTCAGTCGGCGATCGAGAATGCGTCAACCTTGATTTTCCTAAATCTAGTACGGTACTAGTATAGTGGCCGCGAGCGCTTAAAATATATACAGTTCCTCAGGTAGATAAGGAACATCCCTTCCCTGCTATTATGTAAAATGTGTAAAACAGGTGTCACATGCATATTCACCTGTTCTACACATTTTTACATAATAGCAGTGAAGGGATGTTCTTTTGTCTACCACAATGAGGAACTGTAAATTTTGTCTTCTTTCTTTGTCCGTCATGTTCATAGTGTTACTTCCTGCATGCATGTATTTCGTCGAGTGCAATCTAAAAGATTTCTAATTGTAGTCAATTAACATGGGCAGTTGAGTGCGTTGACACGCATGATCATAATCAGTCAGCGTTCGTCGTGTTCTCGTCCACTCAATCTAAAAGTCCCTAATAGCTGGCGTGCGTGAGCTTAAGTCACCGGGGTGCGGACGTCAGGGAAAAATGCATGACCTTGCGGGCTTGAGTCATGGATGGTCAGCTCGTCCGCCTGGCTGTCCGTCTGGGCTGGAGTCTCCGGGTTGCGGACGTCGGGGAGTTTCGAATCCATGAGTGGGGTGTGCTGTCGGCGAGACGCTGTGTGTATCCCAGACGTAGGCGTCGTTGTAGTCTGCTGTCGTCTGCTGTGCATTAGCTGCAAGGCTGGCGGCTGCTTTGATCGGGGTTTGGCGGGTGGCGGTGGTTGATGTACGGCTGATGTCTACGGGGGTGCATGAAGGCGGTGGTGGAGGTAGTGGTGGAGGTGGTGGAGGAGGAGTCACCGGGTACTTGTTGATGAGGGGTTTCCAGATGTATAATCCTGAGTCTTGGGGCACGGTGTAATTGTGGCTGTGAATTTCGATGGCTTCTCGGATTCGGCGTGTATGCCAGTGCTTCATTGTGGAGATGAGATGACTGTTATTCCATTCGATGGTGTGTTCGTGTTGCTGGGCGTGTTTGACGATGGCGGACTTATCCCAATCGCTGAGTCTGAAGCTGGTTCTGTGTTCCTTGAGTCTTGTTTCCAGATTTCTCCCCGTTTCATCAATGTAGACTTTTCCACATTCGCATGGTATTTTGTAGACTCCAGCTTTCTTGTGGTTTGGATGCTTGTCTTTGTGAGAGTGGAGTATCGAATGGAGTTTGTTGGAGGAACTGTGTCGAACTTGGATGTCTGCTGCTTGAAGGATACGCTGAATCTTGTGAGAGGCTTGACCGATATAGGGAAGAACAACAGTTTGTTTCGGTGGAGTAGCTGCATACATATGTTGCACAATATGAAATCAACAAGTAATATGATATTCAGAAGACTTTACTTAAAAGCTCATGTATCAGAAAGGATGTTCGAATGAAACATTAGGCCATGAGCACCATTAGTTTATCTTTCGAAAAAAATAATGTAAAGGAAACTTGTCATGTGGGGTCTGTTTTTGACTAAAACATCAGTGTATAACATTTTAAGGGTCATTTCAGTGTACATGTATTGAGATTATACCAGATCCTCGTGGGTTTTTTTGGTACTGTTTTCTCAAGTTATGTGTGATATTTGTAGTGATATGCAGATTCTCATTGCCATTACCCCCATTTGAATTGAATTTTATATACCGTAATTGAAATTATTTCCCTACAGTGATAACCGTTTTCATGTGTATTAACATTTTGGTTTTAGAAAGAGGGAGAAAACAAAACATATAACAAAATAGAATACTTACCGTAACCATATTCTAACCGGGCTATTTCAGACCAGGTTTTTACCGGGGGGGGGGGGGGGGTCAATTTGACCCCCCCCCCCCTAAGATCTCGGCTGTTTCACAGCCGATCGCTGTGAAAATTTGCACGCATGTCAAGTGAAGTGTATAAAATACTATGGTAATTTCAATTTTTTGAGGAATTTACTCATTTGCATATATATGGTAATTTATGCAAACAAGGTCATAGAATTCACATTTTTACCCATAAATCATACATTACTTATATTTAAGCGTTCTTTTTCAGTACATATCGTCGGCCTTATGCCAAAAGGGCCTTAATTGCTTTTGGCCATTCCGAGATAATCACGTTTGAAGTTTTGGCCTCTCTAATAATCAAAAGTTTGTGGTCGTTTTTTGTTTGTTTCTGAAGTCAATTTCGATAAATATGTTAAGTTATTAAGTTTTACATGAGATGTGTTAAATGTGTTTTAAAATATACCGAAGTTTTCATGCTATGTGCAAAAAAACATGTTAGGGCTTTTAGGCATATGGCTTGAGAGTAACGTATTTATGCCAGAAGGGCCGTAACCTACGCGGCATTATGCCAAAAGGGCCGTAACCTCCCGCGTACCCCACGCGGCGTTCTGTCAAAAGGGCCTTAATTAACCTGCGGTTTTCGTACGCGCGCGCGTAGTCAGCGTCCTTGCTTCTGGTAATACACCAGTTTACAGTTGTATCAGTGCGCATGCGCAGAGAGTTGACCTCGGGTCATTGGCCCCGGAAGCGGGGCCAATAACCTTTGACCAGTGGTATTTATGCGTAAATTAAGATTGCGCCCATGCAAATGATGATTTGCGCGCACAACGCAGCGCGTAGGCAGTGATATCACCATAATTTGCATGGGCGCATGCAATCTTAATTTACGCATAAATACATGACCTCTAGGTCATTGGCCTTGTTTGAAATGGCGCACACAACTGTAAACTGGTGTATTATATTTAAACGTCTTTGGCTTCGGCATAGTACATATTTTCTTGTTTCGCAACACGTTTGGCTTTACCAGAAAGCCCCTGCTACGGCTACTGGATCACGAAAACTGATAAAACTGATTTTAGAAAAGGTATTTTTGATATCTGAATATTTTTATTAATAAAATACAGCTTACGGTGAAGTTATTTTTTAGAGATCGTGCATTTAGGACAACTTTTTCGTTGTTTATTTTTTATCACAGTCCCATCCGTTGACATCTGCGTATTTTATGAGTCAGTTGCATTTCATGCATCCACATCTACTAACTTAAATCTCGCTCAGAATTCATGATCTAAATTCATGACATACTTTCAGTGATTATTCTAAGTACATTGTGTCTATTGTAGACTAATCATGTTTTTAATGGTGTTTCTACTGATATTATTGAATTAAATGGAAATTACAAATTAATTTGTCATTGATTTTAAAAACAATCTAGACTTTAGAGTCTACCGTGTAGGCCTCTAGGCTCTAGACTCTAAGTTAGATCTAGTCTAACTTAGGCCTAGACTCTAGGTTAAGGTCTTTTTGGCGTAAGGAAACAGATGAGATACGCATTAAGGGTCTTTTGAAATTCATAATTATCTTCATAAATAGATCTAAATCGAATTAAAACAAGTGAAGCACATCATTTTAAAGAGAATGATGAAATCTACAAGGTGATGTTAATATTTAATAACTCAATAACGCATAAAATTGGGTTAAGGCCCTTTTGCCTTTTTGGCATAAGGCCGACGATATATTAGATAAATAATACAACGAAAATTGGAAGAGCTAGGTTGTTCCTTGTTTTGATAATTTCTTATAGACTATTTCATTGGTTTTTTGACCCATGTATTTTATTGTTTTTGTTGTTTTCTTTCATTTCTAACTACAATTGAACTATTTTGACCCCAAAACAAACACCTAAACTTTAAACAAGACCAAGTAACCAATGTTTTATCTCTTTTTAGGAAAAACGATATTTCTATAGGTTTTGTACACAAATCACAAAAGTGAGTGATTTTCGGGCTGACAAGCAAAGACGAAAGGTCACGTGGCTTTGTAACTATAGACTATGTCTGATTTTCTGATTTTTTTTTTCTTCACAAGATGCGTAAGACTCGAAAGAAAAAAGTCATGCAAGGAAAACTTTATATCTGCCACGGTTCCGGAGTAGTCACAAAATTACTACAAAAGGGGGGGGGGGGTCAAATTGACCCCCCCCCCCCCCCCCCCCCCCGGTTAAGATAGGGTTAAAGCTGTATGTCATAGGACAAGTGCTACTCTAAATAGTTATCCCATCTAGCCCATAAGATTTGACCCTTTTAAAGTTACTTTTGATCAACTAATCATTGACGAAAAGGTTATCAGTTTGCATGTATAGCTCTTTTTATCAATAAAGCATTCATCAGGGGTTTTATTTGTTTTATGTTCCTCAAATTTGGGGCATGACATTATGAAGTGTGAGTAGTTTGTTGCCATTAATCTCTCCTTCTTAACAGTCATTGCACATTCTGTATGTTTTCTGAGCACTTCTGTGTCTTACTGTGTAATTATTTTGAACCGGCTTGTACAACATATTTCTTCTCATTTTTGCTTTTATCAAGGAATTGAATGTAAAATTCCATCAGTTTCCAGTGGTTCTGTTTCTGGTTGTCCGATATCTGCTCTCTATGGAGATCCATGTTATTTCAGATGCAATGATGGATTCAAGACCAGTGAAGGATTGAAGTCTAGTACCAGAGTTTGTCAGGATAATAAGGCATTTGATGGACAAGATTTTCAATGTGATGGTAATGATTTTTTTTAAACAATGCTTGATTTTAGTCTGTCTTTTTTATTTTTTACTGCTAGGATATGCATGGACATAAAAATATGAGAAAAAAAAACCATACTGGTCCTTATTTGTTGAATTATGGATTTGTACATTTTAGGGTTACTTTCCACATAGAAGGAAGATAAAGTAGTAAGAAAGAAGATAACCAGAAGGTAATCAGAATGGTAAGATCAATTATTTCGATATTGTTGATGCATGGGGAGGGGTGCGAGTGGGAGTAAAGAAAGCACTACCGATAAGTGGAGAGGTATATTGTTTACATTTTGTTTATATCCAATGCATTTCTTATTATAGTCCCGGTAAGATGTCCTACGTTGAGTGCCCCTAACAATGGTTCTGTGACACCAGAGATGTGTACTCACCCCGATGGAGTGCTCTTCAACACCCTTTGCTCCTTCTCATGCGATAATGGGTACCTACAGAATGGGGTCTACCAAAAGACATGCCTAGATACTGCGAAGTGGAACGACATGCGAGAAGTAACATGTACAGGTAAGATTCCATGCAACATAGGCCGGGTGTACAGAGTTTTCACACATTTCATTACAAAATTAGGAATGTGTTAATCGATCAATGATTTCTCATATTCTACCCAAGATTTTCTTTATAGATCAGTCACTAAGAAATGGACAGGAAAAAATCGCGACCTCATGGTGCAACATACTAGATTTATTTATCACAAGATAGTAAAGATAATTGCCTGAAAATAACATACGTTCAGTTGGTATCCCGTTTTACTTACATGAAATCTTCTCTCAAAATGATGATTTCCAAACCCTTGTCGATAATTTATTTCTTTTCTTTCGAACTCACACAAAATGCTGCAAAGGTTGACAATCTTTTTGTTAGAATTTCCATATTTTCTCATCCAATTTCAAAAATAAATTTGTCACCAGGTAATTTCATGGGTTTCTCTTTCCATCAGATATTATACAAGCTCTTTTGCTCGTCCTTGTATTTCAGATAATGAAGCACCTGTTTTCTCACCTCCTTGTCCAATAAATCTCCCTGGGCCCTTCAATGCTGATGAAGGATACACCTATGCCACTATACATAACATCAGCGACCTGGAACCTGAAGCATCTGACAACTCTGGCGATTTCAGTCTAACACTGTAAGTTGCCTTCTGCATTATTTGGCTCTTGTCCATTAATTAGTCTCTTAGTAACTGTCTCTTAGAAATGATGGAGTGACAGTCTGTCAGTTACTCAGTGTGTATAATGATCTATTTTGTTTGACACTTTTGTTAACATATGAGAATCATTAGATTTTGCTTCTTTCTCCCATGCTCTTTTAAAGCCTGTCTACACTAGTTTGGCCAGGGGGATTAGACCTCCATGCAAGGTCACTGATAGGTGGTTATCTCATTTAAGCAGCTTTCAATCAACATAAGAAAAACAGGATCATGGGGGACGAACAGGCATCGTTTGCTATATGTGACCCGGCACCACAAAACCAACAAAAAGTCGCAAAAAATTATTTTCCTGATTTCATCTGATTATGAAAGAAGAAGTTCTCCTCATTAAAATGGTATATTACTTGTCCAAATTGAAGCTTCCTAACCCTTTCAATTTAGTGAATGAAAAGAGCTGGTAAGGGAGGTTACTGATATTAAATTGTGAGAAAGAGAGCTTTAAAGTTTGGGGCTATTCAAGCATGCGGAGCAAGCAAACCACAGGGAAATCAATAGAAGGGTGAATCAAAAGGCCATAGCAACCACTATGAAGAGATTTTCAGATTAGGCTGAAATTTGGCCTGATGGTCAAACATAGTCTGTTCATTATGTTTCTGAGGTTTCAATGTGTGGACTTAGTCTTTCAAAAGTTATTATGTTGTAAATGTATAGAGTTGTAATTGGACAGATTAAGTGAACTGCAACATAGTGCCGAGACACCTGCACTAGACAATGCCTATTCATGGTGGACCCGGAGTCTTTTTGTTCCCCCTTACATAACACTGCTTGTCACCTATCTTGTTTTGTATACATCTGGGCAATTATTTGTAACCACATTATGAACTTGCTTTATACTTAATTCCCATACTGTTTTCTTTCTCACAGGAGGTTCAAAGTATTTTTACTATGACTTGCTCTTTCATTTCCAGTAGCCATCCTGATGATAATTAATGGAAGCAATTCATAAATACCAGCCAGAAAGTGGTATAAAAATAAAGAAAGGCAGGAGACACACAGTAAAGACACCAACATAGAATAACGAAAAATAGAAAGAATGAGAGAGAGAGGGAGAGAGACAGAGAGGGAAAAGAAGGGGGAGAATTATGATAGCTGTAAGCAAAATGATGATATCAAGAGTGTGAATGTGTGTTTACAATAAGAACTTGATTTCAAAACTCTTATGGGAGAATAAATTTGGAAGCACAGAAATGAAAACAAAATTATTTAGGGAATGTCACAACTCTTTCTCATCCTGTATCACAAGTTTAAAAATGCAACAACTCTCTCTCATCCTTTATCACAAGTTTGAAAATGCAACAACTCTTTCTCATCCTGTATCACAAGTTTAAAATGCAACAACTCTTTCTCATCCTTTATCACAAGTTTAAAAATGCAACAACTCGTTCTCATCCTTTATCACAAGTTTGAAAATGCAACAACTCTTTCTCATCCTTTATCACAAGTTTGAAAATGCAACAACTCTTTCTCATCCTGTATCATAAAATGCAACAACTCTTTCTCATCCTTTATCACAAGTTTAAAAATGCAACAACTCTTTCTCATCCTGTATCACAAGTTTAAAATGCAACAACTCTTTCTCATCATTTATCACAAGTTTGAAAATGCAACAACTCAAGCTACTCGAAGTCGTTAACGGAGAATATAAGACGAACGCAAATCTGGAACTCGGATGTGAAAGCGGATACAAACAAAATGGCGCGCCGCACTGATTGCTATAACGGACCAATCACAGCCCGCGTAGCACGACCCGTTAGCAACGACCGACCATTTCCGGACTACGATAATTTCGCTTGGGAAAAGTGATCAAATTTTGGAAGAGACCGAAGGCTGTGCGAAAAAAACTGGTCTAGAAATACCGTTTAAAACACATCTTCTACTATGTTTTAGACTTCCAAATTTTGATACTAGGTACAGAAAAGACCACTCTTTCAGAAAATGCAAAAAAACAAAAATCTATTTTTTCACCTAAATTGACATTTTAGCTGATTACGGAGAATCGCTGGTTGCGACTTTTTGTTGGTTTTGTGGTGCCGGGTCACATATGGAGGGCGCAAGAAGCTATAAGTAGTGCAGTGGGTTTTTAAAGTTGAATATGCGGGGGAACACTTACTTTAGTTAGTCCAATACATAATACATATAAATCCTTTATTGAGTGAAATATCAGCAATACTCTTCATGGTGGAGGTACCAGGGGCGGAACTCTCCACCCCTTTTCAGGGCTCTTCTTCTTTTCAAAGATTGCTGTAAATTTGAAAAGATAAAGTACAATTCAAATCATTTATGACAAGTCATAGACTTTAGTTTTCGATGTCTACTTTATTTAAGTGGCATGCAATCGCCCTTTTTGAAAGTGCTTCCACTTCTTTACATATTATCTGTTTAAGGTTTTATCTTGAAGTATATTGGAACCTGGCCATTACCATTCAATAACATGTCTTGATTTTCCAATGCAAAGCTTGAATATCGCTGAATGGATATGAAATCTGGCCTTAACAAGGTATGAGGAGAAGTTACAAAATTAACACACCGTGTACGAGAACAGCTTGTTTGTTTGGTACAATTTAGATGATTAACCAGTAATACCATCAATTTATTACAATTTTATAGTGAAAACCAGTAAGCCTATAGTTCCACCAGACAAAATTATTTTGCGAACCATATTATCATTTAGTTGAGAATTAGAGGAACAAAATTGATCTTAGATTAATTTTATTATAGGTTTTCCCGCCCAACTTCGTAAACTTAGCATCCGAATTAACGTTACGTTCATTCAAGTTTGTGCGAAATTGAATGACTATGTAGATCAACATTCAAATACCTAATTGCGTCATTCAATTTGATTTAGTAGCATGCGATTTCATACTCTTGTCACAGAGACGTGCAAAACGAGCATTTAATTTAGAAAAGCGTGCAAAGAGCATTCAAATTCGCGCCAGACAGACGGTGGTATGTCTTCGTGCATTCAATTTCTTGATTAGGCATACATATGTGACATTTGTGCATTGCTTTTCATTTGATGTTAATTTGTCACTTAATATACTTCTGTTTGAATAATTTGATGCAAAGTTTACTTAGAGGAATGACATGCGTAATCGTTCTGTCATTACACAGGTAACTTCCCAGAGAAGGTGCACAATTTTTTTTTCTCTTCTAAGCACAAGCTATAAATCAACAGATCTTGGACAGAGGTAGAGCGACATGGACATGATGGAAACAAAATACAATGATGAATAAAGAAAAATATTTTAAATTAAAAGAAAGAAAAATCACCTACTCAATCAAGATTGATCAAAACAAACCATTAATAATGAAAAATATGAAGATATGAATAAAGTGATGTTTAAACAAAAATAAAGAATGTCGAAAGAAAGAGAAAACATAAAATGCAATATGCATATATCAGATAAATAAGAAGATTGTATAATTTGAAATCATGTCAGAAAAAAATCATAGAGAAAAAGAATAAAAAAATGAACATGAAATACTGAATATCCGAATGAACATCGAGCCTCATACTATGATTATGAGGTCTAGTTTTAATTTGAATGACCCGATTGCGAAAAAGGCTGCTCATAGACGAAAATCAAACCGTAATTCGCCAAAGAATTCACCTCCCACTCAACATTGGCGAAATTGAATGACCCTTACGCATTTCCAAATTGATTGAACCAAGCTTAAATTTGAATGTGCATGTTTAGAAAATTCGGTGCCTCAAAACGAAATTGAATGCAACAAGTTGAAAAATGAAACAGGGGAGCAACAAGTGGAGAAAATTTGATCGAACATGAATGCACGTTAATGAAATTGATTGCTGCTTTTACGAAATTGGCCGGAAAAACCTATAGTACATCATATGTGGTTAAAGATCGTAAACTTATTCATGTTTTAATATTTTTTTTCCTTTTCAGGAAATCAATGATACCAATAGAAAACAAGTTTCCTGAGACCCCAACAAGATTGACCTACAATGCTATCGACTCTGAAGGAAATCTGGCAGTTTGTGACGTTATTGTTCATGTCACAGGTACAAATATATATCTAAATCAATCCTTCTTTCAATGGTTTGATTATTTTTCTTTGTTAAAAGCTACATAGTACAGCAATGAATGTTGTACATATAGGTTTGGGCCTATGAATATCCTGGAGGAGTGGTCAGTTCCTGTCTTTCTCCCCCTTTTTTTATTTTTGTTAAATCTCTCTCAAGTTTTGTCATTGTTATCCCCTCGCCGACGAAGTCGGAGGGGATATAGTAACGCTGCCGTCCGTGCGTCCGGCCGTGCGTCTGTGCGTCCGGCCGTCCGTCCGTCCGTAACAAATTTGGTTTCCAATCGATAACTTCAGTAATGTTTGACGGATTTGAATGAAATTGGATATGAAGGTACATGATATCGAAATACAGGCTAAGTTTGACTTCCGAGTATGTAGGTCAAAGGTCATTGCTCATAAACTATGCGAATCTGGTTTCCGATCCATAACTTTAGTATTGTTTGACGGATTTTAATGAAATTTGATATGAAGGTACATGGTATCAAAACACAGCCTAAGTTCAATTTCTGAGTATGTAGGTCAAAGGTCATAGCTCATTAAATATGCAAATCTGGTTTCCGATCCATAACTTAAGTATTTTTATGCCTCCGTTACAAAGTAGCCGGAGGCATTCTGTTTTCGGGTCGTCCGTCCGTCCGTACGTCCTGTTCTCGTGATCGCGTTATCTCAAGAACCGATTAATGGATTCCTGCCAAACTTGAGTCATGTATGTATCTTGCAGAGCCAATGAACTGATCAGATTTTGGGGTCACGAGATCCAAGGTCAAAGGTCACAGGGCTCATTTTGTATGCAAAAATAGCTCGTGATCGCATTATCTCAAGAACCAATTAATGGATTACAGCCAAACTCAGGTCATGTATGTATCTTGCAGAGCCCATGAGCTGATTAGATTTTGGGGTCAAAAGGTTGAAGGTCAAAGGTCACAGGGCTCATTATGTTTTCAAAAATAGCTTGTGATCACATTATCTCAAGAACCAATTGATGGATTCCTGCCAAACTTGGGTCATGTATGTATCTTGCAGAGCCAATGAACTGATAAAATTTTGGGCTCACCAGCTCGAAGGTCAAAGGTCACAGGGCTCATTATGTATCCACAAATAGCTTGTGATCGCATTATCATGAGAACCAATAGACAGATTACTATCAAACTCAAGACATGTATATGTATCTTGCAGACCAATCAACTGAATAGGTTTTAGCGTCATAAGGTCAAAGTCATGGGGCTCATTAAGGATGCCTATGAATAGCTTGTGCATGCATTATCATTAAAACCGACAGATGGATTACAATCAAACTTGAAATTGTTTCTGTTTTGGTGTGTAAAATTGCTCTATGGCGGAGGCATCATTTTCGACTGCACGCAGTCGAAGTTCCATCTAGTTATAAATGTAATGCTTCCTGGGAGAAATTTCAATTATTTAAACACACCTGCACTACTGGGTGTAAGCCACAAATATGTTTAAATAACTTTAGTATTGTTTGACGGATTTTAATGTAATTTGATATGAAGGTTCATGGTATCAAAACACAGCCTAAGTTCGATTTCAGAGTATGTAGGTCAAAGGTCATAGCTCTTTAAATATGCGAATCTGGTTTCCATTTGATAACTTGAGTAATGTTTGACCAATTTTAATGAAATTTAATATAAAGGTACAGTGTATATGGTATCAAAATACATCTACAGGCTAAGTTTGAATTCTGAGTATGTAGGTCAAAGGTGAAAGGTCATAGCTCATTAAATATGCAAAAACACCTAATTATATATGTGAACTTCCTTGCCTAGTAATATAATAGTATAGTCCAATGGAGGTAACTTGTTCTGATGTATATAGGCCATTTTTACCCTGCGAGGAGATGCAACGCTTTGCATTGACTTGTTCTCTTTAGGCCTATCATTTTACTTTTATTTGGAGGTGGTGATGGAGAGAGAGGTTGTTCATTCAATATGCCTCTGGCCCGAAAGCTTACCTTTATTAGCTCAACACAATCCTATGCAGTCAGTCCATATCTCGCTCAAAGAACTGTCTACACCCAAGGCCTTGCTTTCCTTTAATGTCTGCATTCATTTTGTTTATTTTTAGTTTTCCGATGTCCTCGACTTCAAGCTCCTTTTCATGGATCTGTTGTCAACTGCTCTGTTAGTCCTGTATATGGGTCTCATTGTTCCTTCTCATGTGATGAAGGATACGACCTCGTAGGATCAGAAACGAGAACATGTGAATTGAGCGGTGATTATGGACCAGCGAGCTGGACCGGTACCGAACCAGTATGTCAAGGTTTGTCCAACAGGCATTCGAGCCATAGAGATGTTATATGGGGTGGGGGGCATATATTTTGTGAAGTTTTTGTGTACTTATAAATTAGTCCATATTATAGGGTTTTCCACAATTGTTTTTTAAATGGCTGTTGAATCTATGAAGTCTGAAGAGCCCGTTTTGTATGAATTGTATTCTTGCTGGGGAATGCTTTCTGGTAAAAGAGGTATTTTTTGTCGCTTAAACACTATATCTGTCTATGAAAGATAAAGATTAGACATTGCGGGGCAGTTACAAGAGGAATCAATTTAAACTTGATGTGCAGCAACATCACCTAATTCTGATAATGTATGATAGATATTAATGCATTTCTTATCAAAGAAATTTATATCACATTAGGGTTTCTAATTATATACAAGAATCGTAATATATAATTTTTTTTAATCCTTACTGATGATCTCTCAATTCCCCATCGACTAGTAAATTTCCAATGTATCCTTTATCAAACGTTTATAACAACAACATTTTTAATATTTTTTTTAATGGAAAATTAGATACATATATGGTATGATTATCATTGTCAGAATTAATTTAGCCCGGGCCCTTAGTTGCAAATGGCCCAATTGCTCATTTGTCCTCATATGTGCTGAGCCTCAACTTTTTTGAATTAATTTGTTTGATTTTGTTTGAATTTAGGGCACATGTTTTTTTGGGGTCCAACCACATGCAACCGGCCTTCTCAGCGCCCTTGCCTTGACACTAACCATCAAGACTGTTAAACTAAGATGGTTTAACTCAAATATAAGAGATCATAACAAAAATGTATTATTTATTAAAAAATTGTTTGATGTAAGCCTTTTGAAAATTAATGATGTCGTAAAAAACTCTAGATTTATGTCTTTGAGAGAAATTGAAGAAAGATTTGAGAAAAAAACATGCTTCTTTGTTTCAAGAATATTACATCATAGTAAATGCGATTCCCAAAGTTTGGAAACAGAATATGTTAAGACAGGTACATGTATATGATATGACACAAGAAGAAAATGAAGGTGTCATGAAAAATGTTTTAATGAATGTTAACACTAAACGAAAGTCAAAGTTTTTTTTACTCTACGTTGTCTATTCATTCAATTGTTAGACCTCCAATCGAAGAGAAATGGGAAGAAATGTTAAATAGTACAGAACAAATCGACTGGAAAGTCATATTGTCATTTAATTTACAAGCTATGAAAGAAAACAAAATATCAGAAATTAATTTTAAGTTATTACACAACTTATTACCAAATAGGTATAATTTATTCAAATGGAAATTGTGTAACAATCCCTTATGTTTATATGATGATCAGTTACACGACAATCTCCATTTATTTTTGGAAAATGCAAACACACAAGATTGTTTTGGTTAAAATTTGGAGACATAATTCGAGAACTTTACAATGTTAATTTTTCTTTTGACAAATTCGTTTTAATTGAAGGTTATAACTTGAAAAACAAATTATTTAAAAGTTTGTATGCAAAATACGCAGTTTATTTAACATTTATGCAAGCAGAAAATCGCAAACTCATGTTTCATGAAGTCTCTATTCTTTGTATTTTCAAAAGATTAATCCACAACCGATTAAAGATTGAAAGGAACTGTAAAACAAAAAAGCTATGCATTTTTGAAAACACTGTTATTCAAGAAAACGAAACATGTTTTATTTGAACTATGTTAAGATGCTACGATGTTATTTCAATTGATTGTGTATGATTGTTTGATTTGTTCAAAAGCATATATTTATCAATAAATTCATTTTACAAAAAAAAAAAAAAAAAAAAAAAAAAAGACTGTTAAACTATAACTTACATGAATATTGACTACATTTTCTAAATATAGCGAAGAAATGCGAAGCGCTGGCAACACCTGAAAACGCTGTGAAATCTGGCTGCATTAACAACCCACCAAACACCGAAGACTACGGCACTCAGTGTATTTTCTACTGTCTGTACGGTTTTGAAGGGGTTGGTGATAGCAGCTCAATCTGTCAGGCAGATGAAACATGGACCCGTGAGAGTTTCAATTGCATACGTAAGACATGTGCTTTATGTAAAAATGTCATGTATATGTTCTAGAGGCTCCTTAACTTTCAATCATAAGGTTGGGAATTCGAATCCAAGCCCAACAGTTACTTCATGTTTCAAGGCATTAACTTACATCACAACTCTCCGCCCAGGTGTAAGTAGGTAACCTGAAGAGCCTGAGGGCTACTTACTTTGGTGCCTCAGATTATTTAGACTAGACCTAAGCTATATATGTCTTATACCTATCTATCTATTAAAACAAAACAGAGAATATTTGAGATATTCACCGAAGAGTTTTACTACTGTACCTGGTGTAACAGACTAATTTTCCAGGACCGAAGCACCTTTTTTGTAGATAATAGACATTTTTAGGCATGTTATCCCCTCTACCAACCCCCAAAACAGAAGAAATAAAGATTGTAAAACACACCTTTTTATCATTTTCAAGGAGGCTCCATATCGACAAATATTGAAGCCTTGTACATTTAACACATAAAGGGTGTTTGTTTATCTTTTCTAGCTGCATCATGTAAAGTCCTAGAAGCTCCAGACGAGGGATCAGTCACTCCAGAGGAATGTTCAATGGCTCCTGTCTTTGGACAGTCATGTGTTGTATCATGTAATCCAGGTTACCAGCTTGATCCTCCTAACTTCTCTGTGCTGTCATGTCAGGGAAATGGAAAGTGGGCTCCAGGAAACCTCATGGGGACAACTTGCAAAGGTGATAAATTATCATACTTTGTCAAAGAACCTCTCAGATCAAAAGGATTCATTCTTCAATGGATAGGAACTCAGTTTATTCACTGTCATGTATCTTTGCTCCAGTGATCTCAAGGCAGTAAGATTCTTTTTGAATGGTCAATTCACTTAGAAAGTCCACAATGGCTAATTATATATCAATATTTGCAAGTACAATGGCACATTTAAAGTAACCTGTGTGTTTTGATCATGTGTGTATCCCATCAGCATGTAACATTTGCAATGCCTGCAACCAACACAACAATTAGCCATGACAAATCATTACTGTGCTTCAAAAATACCCCCAAACAAATCATATATATAAATGATAATACATGTATGTTATATAAACGATGATGATTTGATGTTATCTATCATTCTGTTCATTAAGCTAAATTACATTTTCTATCATGATTGTATAGGCAAACTTTCCCTGCTGACTTTTTCTTTATACAGACATACAAAGCCCATCCTTTTCTCCATGTCCTCAAAATCTGCCGCCTTTTATTGCTCGTCGTGAGGAAACTCTGGTAAACGTCACCTGGAATATAACAGCTACGGACAACAGTGGTAAAAAACCTACCATTGTATGTGACAATGAACCAGGCCTAATGGAAGAAGGTGATTTTGAAGTCAGGTGCACCGCCACAGATGATGACAATAATGTCAAAACATGTACATTTGACGTTGCAGTACAGGGTAAGTGTACACATTGGTTTATAACAGTACATGAAGAGTACAGTAAACTTTTTCAAGCTTCTTCAGAATTTAGACATGGAATTACCCCAAATTGATTTTGATTTTACCGGGCAGGTAATGAAGACACGTTGTCAAAAGCTATCCTGATTGGCATTAGATGAGATTCCCCTGGCGGATTTAACCACGGCAGAACCCAAACGGTGTACGGTATGCCGCATTTGACGAAACAAGATCGCCATCACTAAACAGGGCCAGACTTGATTTATGTGTATCTTCCATATTTACTCTATTTATCATGTTTAATATCTATAACAATATATAGCAAGAAACTATATCAATCCATATTTTACGAATTCAGTTGATCATGTTAAATAAACCAGTAAACCTCAGACTGACTTCCCTTGTTAATCCCAATTTCAAACAAGAGGTTATAAGCCCAGCTCCAGTTTTAAACTCTAGAATTACAGCCTATATCACGTTAATGTTTACTCTAGAGAAACATCTCACTTTGCATTACATGATATCCAATTCCTGATAAAATATGTTTACATGACATCAGGATACTCATTTTTTTTCTGATGCGAATGTTAATTATGAAGTTCACAAATGCCGTCCGTATGTGCTGCCGTCTTTTGCTGAGTTTGCTGGTGAATGTGATACAATATGGGGCGCTGAGTGCAACATAACCTGCAATCCTGGCTATCACCTGACTGGTTCTAGCACAGTCACATGTGAGGTTGATGGATCTAAAACAAGGTGGACTGCACAAACGACACCGAGATGTGAAGGTAAAGACTTTATTCAATGGTGAATAGACCACTTTTCTAATAGGGGTGAACGTACATGTATGACACTGTTAAAAGGGAAATTATATAAAGTGTTGTTTTAATAGAATAGGGCAATCCTCATATGCACGCCTTTTGGCTGTTCTATGAATTTTAGATCCTTTTCCTTAAAAACTGATAAAAAAGAATCAAATAAAATCAAATCTATTTTGGATTGTGTTCTTATGAAGTCCTGAAGTTGTAAACATAGTGTGTGCTTTGTATTTTGTTCACATTATTATGAATACTTTAACTAGAAATAACTGGAACTATACTAACAACTAATGCTATGCCTAAATGTATGATATATGGTATGAATGATAGGCAAATGTAACCAGGATGGATTGTCAATGCTAATAATCTAGAAAGACAACTAAATTACCCCTGTTTGCAAATGTATTTAATTATATGCACGTTTCTTTTCTTTCCTCATGTTTCTGTTATCTTAACCATGACATGCTGGAGTGGTCCAGAGGCTCTATGTTAACAAAGGGATGTTCTAGGTCATATAATAATAATAATATTTTTGTATGCCTCCGTTAAGAAGTAGCTGGAGGCATTATGTTTTCGGGTTGTCCGTCCGTCCGTACGTCCCGTTCTCGTGATCGCGTTATCTCAAGAACCTACAGATGGATTCCTACCAAACTTTGGTCATGTATGTAACTTGCAGAGCCAATGAACTGATTAGATTTTGGGGTCCTGAGGTCAAAGGTCAAAGGTTACAGGGCTCATTATGTATGCAAAAATAGCTTGTGATCGCGTTATCTCAAGAACTGACTGATGGATTCCTGCCAAACTTAGGTCATGTATGTATCTTGCAGAGCCAATGAAATGATTAGATTTTGGGGTCATGAGGTCAAGGTCAAAGGTCACAGGGCTCATTTTGTATGCAAAAAAAGCTTGTGATTGTATTATCATTAGAACCGATGGATGGATTACCATCAAACTCAAGACATGTATGTATTTTTGCATTTGGGGTCATGAGTTCAAAGATCAAAGGGTCATAAATGTATGTGAGAAATAGCTTGTAATCACGATATTCTGAGAACCTGTTAATGGATTACAACCGAACTTGAATTTGAAATATTTCTTCCGTTTTGGTTTGTAAAATTGCTCTATGACGGAGGCATCACTTTTGACTGCGCGCAGTCGAAGTTCCATCTATTTTTTTTTTTTTTAGTCCACTCCAAATTTTATTAAACCGAAAATGGAAATTCTTTTTGCCCAATTTTTTGAGCCCGGCAGCTACTGAGCAGCGCCAGACCAACGTTGCTCTATCCCCTTATTGTTGAACGCCAAACAAGGTAGCAGCAACTCCCGTCTTTTAACGTCTTTTGGTATGACGCGGCCGGGGTTCGAACCGACGACCCCCCGGTTGTGAGGCGGACGCTCTACTGACTGAGCCAACACATATAGATCCACGTTTGATTATAGTAATGTTTTTATGCCTTGACTACAAGAACCCCTCGATGAATTTGACCCAAACTTTATGTATCTTGCAGAGCCAATGAACTGAATAGATTTGTGGGTCACAAGCTTCAAGGTCAAAGGTCACAGGGCTAATTATGTATGATAAAATAGCTCATGATCGCGTTATCTCAAGAACCCGTCTATGGATTCCTGCCAAACTTGGGTCATATATGTATCTTGCTGAGCCGATGAACTGATTAGATTTGGGGGTCACAAGATTCAAGGTCAAAGGTCACAGGGCTCAGTATGTATGCTAAAATAGCTTGTGATCGTTATCTCAATAACCTTTTGATGGATTCCTGCTAAATTTGGGTCATGTTTGTATCTTGCAGAGCCAATGAATTGATTGGATTTTAGGGTCATGAGGTCAGGATCAAAGGCCGGGTCAAACATGTTTATAAAACATAGCTTGTAATCACTTTATTTTGAGAACCTTTTAATGGATTCCAATAAAACGTCACGCAGTCCATCTAGTTCTTCAGGAAAGGAAACCCTGATGTCTGCTACTCTCCTTTGTTACTCATTTCCTTATAGTGTGTTTATGATATTGTCTGTTTAGAGCCAGAAGGAAGTTAAGTCATACAATACACAGAGTTAAAGCCCTGCTGGCTCTGAACAGAAGATATTCTTTGTTATTGTTTATCAGCCATCCAGTGCAATCATCTAGAATTACCTGAGCATGTCAACATTAATCCGTCTCTATGTGCTGGACCAGTTAATGTGAGTGTGGGTACCATGTGCACACCTTACTGCCCTACTGGTAGACATCTACAAGGTGATGGATCGCCGATTGTTTGTGAAAGTGATGGTCAATGGAACAGATTCATTAATGCCTCTTCTGAAGATTTGGCATGTTTGGGTGAGTTGCAAAAACATTATATGCCATTTAAAATTTCTTGCTATCGCCAGTACCCCAAAACGCCAGGATGCAAGTTTCATGTCTGGATTTCAAATGCACTCTCGGATAGTTTGCATGGTGCCTTGGTCACTTTCGGTCCATTTCACGCAGCTTTGTACATGTGCGTGCCGTCCGGTCTCTGCCAGGCCAAAGCAGTATTCACCGAGCTAGTTAGCCACATGCCTACATGCTAGCTTACTTGGTCTTCGTCTATTTTACAAACTAAATTTTCAGTCAGTGAATCTGCTGTGTGCTGGTTGCACGATAATTAAACACACACAAAAAAACCTTCAGAGATATCCCTGGATAAGAGATGTGACTTGGGTAATATTCCCAACAAATCCTACACAGCGTGTGACATGGAAAAGGTTGCTCAAAAGGCAAGACAAGTTTGAAATCACTTCACGATCGCGACTATTTTCGCAGCATTTTGACAAAGAATAATTAAAAAAGGATGAACATGCAATTGTATTCCCTTTTAGGTCAGTAGCAGCTAACAAGAGAGCTTTCATGTACTTATACTGCACATGCATAATAAGTGTGCCGCATGCATGCACCGTGTACAACGGAAGCATGCAAGTACTGGAAGCAGGGGCATCTCTAAGGGGGGGGGGGGTGTGGGAGGGTGTGACACCCCCCACCTGTCAGGATATTGTCAGTAAAATTGCGCTGCCATCTGGAAAAAAAGAGAAAAGGGGGAGGGAAAAAAGAGAGGGAAAGAAAAGAAAAAAAGAAAAGGAAAAGAAAGGAAATAAAGAAAATTAAAGGAAAAAAAAGGAAAAGAGAGAAAAGAAAGAAAAGGAAGGAGTAAAAAGAGAAAAGGAAACAAGGGGAGGTAAGAGCCTGAGAGAGCAGGGGTGGGAGTAAAAGAGAGGGAGGGGTTGTTGGGTGAAGTCCTCTCGTTGAGTGAGCAAGAGAGACACGCATAAATATGTTGCTGTGTCAGGTCAGCTGTGTCGGTATTCTTGCTCGATCCTTGTGTACTATATAAATGCAGAAGTTTGAAGTCGGTGAGATGTATAATGTCGGTTGGCCGACAAGTTTTTTCCCTTGCGAACTGTGACTTTTAATCCGCTGTGACGACATTGAGAGAGACTACAACTATAATCCTTGTATTTTATCAATGTTTCACTTTCCTATAATATCAGCTAAAGAAATCAGAGGTTTAAAATTTTTGGGTAAACTGAATTCAAACAAGGATTTTAAGAGTCAAGAATGGTACAACAAATCGTCTTTTTCCTCTAATATGTTAAAGATAAAAGTTAGTTCTGGTTAAAAAAAAAAAAATGAATTCTCACAAAATCAAACAAAACTTACACTGAATGTTCAAGACTACAAATAAATGTCATTTGCCAAACAATTTTGGTAGAAAATGTATACTGGCTAAGTAATGAGCATAGAAAGATTAGGAAATCAAGGTTAGTAGCCCCGACACCGTTGTGTAGTCCCATATACATCTTTCTGTGTACAGTGCTTGTTACTTTACCAAGACTGGGCCAAATTTATGATGATTTTGGTGACTCCAGAACTTTGCATTACACACCAATACATACATGCTACATGATCAACTTCTTCTGATCCATGCCACAACTTTTCTTTCACAATGCAATCGCATGACCTGAACTGAACTTTATCTTTAATGAAATGCCAAAGCTTCTGCGCTTGGCGTGGGGATGGCGAAACTTCATTTAGTCAATTAGGATTAAGAGTCGAGAACGGTACAACAGATCGTCTGCACTATCTAATGATTTAAGGAAACGTCAGAGCTTCCACGCTTTACGCGATAGGGGTTATCTGATATCAGACAATTAGGGCTAATTAAGTGTCAAAAACGGTACAACGAATCGTATTCATTCTCTAATAGTTTAATGAAACGTCTAAGCTTCCGCGCTTCTCGCAGAAGGGGGAAACGCAATTCAGCCAAGGATTAAGAGTCGAGAATGGTACTACGAATCGTCTTCTTTCGCTAATAATTTAATGAAACGTCAAAGCTTGTGGAATCTTCTTTCAGACAAGGATTTAGAGTCAAATGTTAACCCTATCTAGGGGGGGGGGGGGGGAGGTTTAGAAGCCCCCCCCCCCCTCGACATTTTTCACGATAATTGTTTAACGCAAGAAAATCATGCACTGAAATTGTGTATTGCATTTCGCAATAGACGAAACCCTTACGAAACTAAACCAAACCAAAACAAAACGGAGAGAAATACACTATTCTATATAACTATAGTTATCGACAAATGAAAATGGAGAAGAAACATTCATTTTTTATGTGCCAGGAAATTCCACCTCAGAACATGATTATACTAAAGCTAATTTTGTTTTGAAACACAGCTAGGTTTGTTTTTCGTACTACTATCTCGTACTTACATCACAGCTGGCAAGCTAAAGCCGGTGAAAAGGTTAAGTTGTAAACAGTTATTTTATGGATTTTGTCACTTTTTCAATGGCAATAATGACATGAATATTGACATTAGGATATGTTTCAGGACGGGAGAGGATAACTGTATGTCAGATATTGATCATCCCGGCAATATTCTATAAATTTGAGAGAGTGGAACTGACATCCACTCTATGAACATTTGCGTGTAGATCGCAGTAAGTCTCTGTAGCAGCGTGAAGCATATCCCGGTTCCGACGTCACGCACAAAGCCACATCCCCTTAGCCAATTTCATAGGTCCGGAGAGAGTCAATTTAGTGAAATTTGATTTTTATAAAACACATAATTGCACACTTTCATGTCATGTTAGCTGCATAAATTGCTTTAATAACTCATTCAGTTATAAAATAAACTATATTTAATTGATCTTATTTCCTATAAGTATCAACTTTAAATGTTGTCAAGAGGTCTTCATATTTGCTAATAATTGACTCAAATCCACTGCATACAGTTCATTGCTATAGTGATTTCTGTGAGAAATGTCACAAACCTTCCGTTAGGATCTAATATCCGCATTGCTTGAAATCGCCACTGCAGCTCTCCTGGGAGGTACTGAAACAAACAGAAATACAAATGTCTCCAGTTTCCTCATTAATCTTACTTTGGGACTGTATATGACATTTTGGTCCCTAAGTCATCTGATGCCTTTGCAGTTCTTGCTATAGACTTCCATTTATCGCGAGTGTTCATAGATACCGGTACTTCCATACTGGGTACTTCAATTCACCATTGTTAGCCAGTGTACAGGTGGTTTCTTTGACTTCTGATTTGATGCCAAAGGTGTCAATTCTCATTAGGTTTGAGAATCTTTAATTTAAAAATTTTAGATTCTGTCTAATCATTTTTGCATAGGGATGTATGCTTCAATTCATTCCACTAAATTTACAGAAATCAAACTGTTTTTGATAATCTGCAGACATTACAGCACCAATCTTGACATTGTGTCCGTCTCCCATCCCTGTCACTCGAACTGAAGCTTGGGGTGTCCAAGTGTCGTTTACTCCGCCTACTGCTACTGACTCTTTAGATGGTAGCAGCCTCATTGTCACAACGTCACCATCTGATCTGACATCTCCATACAACGTGACTCAAGACACTACATTTATCTATACATTCTCTGATAATGCAGGCAATCAGGTCAACTGCTCGTTTCCCATTTATGTTCAAGGTAAATAATTATGTACACGCAGGTTAATGAGTATAGGCTTGCTTTATTTGGCTTTGATAGACCTGTTCGTAGTTTGCTTTTGGTACACTAGACCCCCATATAGTCACAGATATTTCACACATGGAAAGATCCCACTTTGAGCATATTAGAATTATCACTGCCAAAGTGATGGAGGTACTTTATGAATACCTTTTCTTTGCCCTCTTGAGAAGAATACTTCCACTTGTGTATCAGGGAATGTGGACTCTGTGAATACAGTGTAAATGAATAATGACTAAATACTTGTAACTTTCGTGAGCGATAATCCTGTATTAATCTCAATGGGTTTTACAATTTTGGTACAAATGACCTTTGATCTGACTATGTCCAGATTGTATCTACGAACTGACTTATCTTCAGTAGAACATAGGCCCAAAAGGAAGTACAATGGTTGAATATCCCTATAATTGTGGTACAAACAATATACTATACGGCCTGTTTGGCACTCTTGTTCATTATATCTACATATTCGTAGTATGCTGCTTGTAAGTATCGGCTTGCATGGTGATGTAGATATACAGTAGGCTTGCGAATGCACCATATGAGAGAGAGGGAGGATTGAGGAGCCCTGAAAACGACTCTTGGTAATCTTTCTTGAGGGTGTGAAGTGCTGAAAAGGACTGTTGGTGTAGTCTTGAAAAAGACTGTTGGTTATCTATCTTAGCTTATAGTTATAAGGAGAACTATGTAGAGGATGGGTGGCGGGAGTGGCTCAATGTTTCGAACAGGTTGACTATCCGTCATCAGGAGACTAATTGTATAAACAAAAAATTGGTATCTTGAATTTTTTACCTCCTGACGACGGATAGTCAACCTGTTCCATAGGTCGAGCCACTCCCACCACCCATCCTTTCCATAGTTCTCCTTATAACTATAAGCTAAGATAGATAACCTACAGTCTTTTTCAAGACTACACCAACAGGCTTTTTCAGGACTGCACACCCTCAAGAAAGATTACTGAGAGTCCTTTTCAGGACTCCTCAATCCTCCCTATCTATCACATGGTGCATCCGCAAGCCTACTGTATATTCATAGTACTCTTTCATCAGTATCATAATGATTGATCGGATGACTAATTGTATAAAAGGAATTTTGGCATCTTTAATTTTTACCTCTTGAAAATAAAAGGATTAAAGATGTGCTTTTCACTCTAGTTTCTTTCTTTATAAAAAAAATTGCAGATGAGCTTTCCCCAGTTCTGGTGTCCTGTCCTAACGACACCGAAGAGTTAACCAGCCAACAAGAAACAGAGGTCACATGGGATCCACCTGAATTCTTTGAACCGACAGGGGATCAACTCGACATTTCATGTAACTATGACAACGGTACAGCCACTTTAGCCATTAACCAGAATCATTTGATAGAATGCAGGGCTACAAACCAAGACAATGGCAAAACGACTACTTGCAGCTTCATTATAAGTGTCAAAAGTAAGTTATTCAATGATTTGTGTATGCTTCTTTTTTCAATTGGTATTTTCCATAAAGTGTTTATGATACAACTGTTTACTTGCCCTTGTGTACATATATATATATATATATATATCTATAATAATAATACGCTAAGGCTCCGCGGGGGGCGCGACGTCTCGGCGAGCCTTTGTATTCTATTGTTTTTTAATGAGATCGCCGACCGAAGTTGGTGCAGCTATCTCCTCCTGAACCCTCCCCTCGGGGTACCCGTGCCCTGTGCCATCGTCCGCGGGAGAGTCTACTCTGTGGAATTGGCTATACTCCGCCCGAGGTCCTCCTCCGTGTCGACGTCCAGGGCGAAAACAGACGCGATATGCATAATGCAGGATATGCGTGACGACAGAGATACCTCATGGATATTCAACATTGCATCCGTAGACACACGACCGATGACTATCCGTATAAAATTGTATACACAAAAATCGGTCGTAAAAAAAACTCGAACCATATTCCATACCTTACCTGGCTTACCATGTCGCACGCAAGTACGCCAAAACACGTACATTTTCGCAGTTGCGAGATCGAGACGGAGCGTAGGGCTCGAGTTTTTGGCGGTCGATTTCGTTTCGGTAGAAGCTGAATCTAGACCATGAACCACTAAACATCGCGAAACTGCAATCAATTTCCAACACGAATTCACGATTGCTGCAATATTATAAAGTTTCCATAAATAGAGGTATGAAATTAAAGCCTATTTTGTGATGTTCTCGCCATGTTTACGTAATTTTGATAATCATTTCTTCAAAGTAAAGAAAATCAGACAAAATCACCGTAACTGACACATACAATACAGTGCATTGCCACTGTGTAGTGTGTGTGAGATGAGCTGAGTTGCAGTTGAAAGTGTGTGAGCTGAATTCGAGTCGAAGAGATTTGACACTTTGAAATTGTTATCTGTTGGTTTGCATCATTATTGCCGCGATTTCAATATAGTTTCGTGAATAGATTTACGAAACCTGAGCTTAGAATTAGTAAAAGTATTACTAGACTCTAATGTCTACGTTTTTAAAAGACTGTTTGATTTTCCTGTGAAAATTTTACTTTGAAAAACGATTATCGAAATTCATGGTCAGAAATAATCACAATCTAGGGTCTATTATGTTACAGTTCTTGCATCAAATCAATGCATGAAAACTTAGTTATTGAACTAGAAAAATGTTTTTTTTTTTTAAATAGGCAATTATGAAGTAGGAAGCCTGAAACCTAATAGCCTACTAAACAAATCTCAACAAAGTGTAGGCCTATCCTTATATGAATTAATGAAAAAGTAGCCCCAGAAAAAAGAACCCCCGAAAATTTCTCTAAAATTTGAAATGGAGCCCCCGAAATGAAAAACTTAATTTTTTGCCTGCGCACCCCCTCTAGAATCCCGCGGATTTCCGCGGGTCCTGAGTTGAGTGTATATATAATATAGGCGTGGGGTCCACGGGTTTCAAGGGGCCATAAACCCCCAAAAGCTCGGGGGTTACGTTTTTCAAAGTTGGGGGGGGGGGGGGAGAGATCAGATCGCAGCGAGTTGAGTGTATATAAATATAGGCGTGGGGTCCACGGGTTTCAAGGGGCCATAAACCCCCGAAAGCTCGGGGGTTTTAGGCGTATAGGGTCAGATGAGCATATTTTTAATACTTTATTTGTGACACTTGCGGGTCACTAATTGGCGTGGGGTCAATACGTAGAGTTGCGTAGTGTTGCGTAACAACTACGCTGGCCTACGTTACTATATGCTGAGGGACGGAAAGGGGTACGCAAGATGAACGAAAACAATTCAACCTGTTTAATTTTTTTCGCCAGCCTACGCATAACCTACGCAGGGACTATTTCCCCATTAATACACAGCCTAATTTCTGCGTAGTCGGTACGCCACACTACGGAACTCTACGCAGTTCCAGTGGCTTAAAGAATAACTACCGGTACAGTTGGATCGTTTTTTTAATTTTTATATAAGGCCAAATTAAAAAAAAAACATGTTTAGCTTCCTGTTTTTTCGAAAAATGGGAAGGAGGAGGCCCTTTTTTTTTCTTTTTCTTTTCTTTCAAAATGGCCGCTCCGTACATTTTTCCTGACATTCAGGCTATTTTTCAAGATGGCGGCCGACAATTTTTTTTTTTCTTTTTTAAAATCAGAAATACATTTTAGCAGTGCTTTTCATGTTTTTTTTCTTTCAAAAAAAAATTAATAAATAAAAAAAAATAAATAAAAAATAGGAGGCGGCCCCCAAAAAGTAGGCAGGCGGGGACGCTGTTTTTTTTTCTTTCAAAAAAAAAAAAAACTTTTCAAAAAATTTCAAAAAAAAAAATAGGAGGCGGCCCCCAAAAAGGAAGCGGGCGGGGACGCTTAACATGTATATTTCCTAATGGCCTGAATGGCAAATAAAGTTCTTGGTGGTTTTAATTTAGACAGTCTCTATATATCTATTTACACCCCCGCCCCCCTCTAGGATCCCGCGGATTTCCGCGGGTCCTGCTAGTCCTTACTATAATTTGGCTCATCTTGTGTGTCTGTCCGTTTGTTTGACTGCGCTTTTCTCCGTGGTCTTCCACTCACTCAATCGAGTCGGAATTTCATCCATTTACAGTTTTAAAACCTCCAGATTGCCATGAAGAGGTTTATTTTAACCATTTTTGTCTATTTGGGGGTTCTAAATTTAACCCTATCTAGCGACATTTTTCGCGATAATTTTTTAATGCAAGAAAATCTTGCACTGTAATTTTGTGTCTGTTTTCTTTGCGCATCTTTTGAAAGAAATGTTTTGAAAATCGGACCTACCATTACAAAGTCACGTGTCCCTTTTTCTTTGCATGTCAGCCCGAAAATCGCTCATTTTTGTGATTTGTGTACAAAACATATGGAAATTTTATTTTTCAAATAAAGAGATGAAACATTGGTTATCTGGTCTTGTTTATAGTTTATGTGTTTATTTTGGGGTCAAAATACTTGAATGATAATTGGAAATGAAATAAAACAACTAAAAAATGAAATACATAAGTTAAAAAAACAAAGAAATACATAAGAAATTATCAAATCAATAGATAACATAAGGAATAACCTGGCTCTTCCAATTTTTTTGGCTGTAATATTATCCCAAATGGTCTAAATAATATATGTAGTGAAAATTAATGTTTAGATATGAAGAATATATGATTTATGGATAAAAATGTGAATGTTATTACCATATTTGAATAAATTACCATAAATATGCAAATGAGTAAATTTTTCAAAAAAATTGAAAGTACCATAGTATTATATACACTTCACTTGACATGCATGCAAATTTTTGCGGCGATAGGTCATTTCACGACCGAGATCATAGGGGGGGGGGGGCCTTTGAAACCCCCCCCCCCCCCCCGGGCTTTGCAGTTTCAAAATAGCCCGGGCTATATAGGGTTAAAATACGTAAGTTTCTATTCGCTGATCCAACAGGCAATGGGAATGCTTTGTAGGCACATTGTGCAATGAGGATCAGCACACACGCAGGGATTCGATATTCGAATGCAATGCATGCAGCTACGTGCTCCACAAACAGTCACTGCGGGTCGGCACGTGAGCGGGCAGCTCTTACCGAATCTCTGCATGGAGAAGAGGCTTAATTTATAGTCCTTTTGAAAGTTAATTGCTTCGGAATCATGCGAGTGTATAGGCCTACATGCAACAGTGACAGGGCTTTAATATCTGAGAGGAATTAAATTACATGCTTATATTTTGACTTGCTTGGCAAACGAACCAACCTTATTTTTGATTTTGTGTATAGATATGATACAAAGAAAATGCAATAAATTTTCAATAATTTATTGCATTTTACCCCGGTTCCCAACATAAAAAAATCCTCTGTGTACCCATGCCTTGAGCCATAATGCATGGCCGTCCAGAGGATTTGTTTATATGTTGGGGTACCAGGGTAAAATGAAATAAATTATTGAAAAATTATTACATTTCTGTTTGTTTTTTAAATTTATGGAAACTGCCCCCTACTCAAGCCCCCCCCCCCCCCCCCCCTGCGTACAGTTATGGTTCAGTGACAAAGCAATGGCCTCGTAACTGTGAGGCCCCAGGATCAAAATCGTGTCGATGTGCTATATTAGTGCCCTTTTGTGGGGGCATTAATCCTCATTACTGGCATTTATGACTTAAGGGCGTAGGTCCCCTACTTGATAAGCATAGTAGCATACACATGCTTTAGCAGTCACGCAAAACACACATTGTCAAATAATTATTTTTAAAAAACTTAGAATGTATACTATTATATAGATCTACTATTTTTAAATTATTTTTTAAATAATTCAATAAATTAGGGTGAAACAAAAATATTCCAACTTGATGTGCCTCAGCTACAAATGTCCCGTTCTCGTGATCAAGTTATCTGAAGAACCGATTGATGGATTACCGCCAAACTTGGGTCATGTATGTATCTCGCAAAGCCAATGAACTGATTAGATTATGGGATCATGAAGTTAAAGGTCACAGGGCTTATTATGTATGCAAAAATAGCTTGTGATCGCGTTGTCTCAAGAACCGATTGATGAATTACCAAAAAATTTGTGCCATGTATGTATCTTGCAGAGCCAATGAACTGATTAGCTTTCGGGGTCACGAGGTCAAAGGTCACAGGGCTCATAATGTATGCAAAAATAGTTTGTGATCACATTATATCATTAGCACCGATTGAAGGATTACCAGAGCAAACTCAAGACATGTATGTATCTTGCTCAGCCAATGAACTGATTAGATTTTAGGGTCATGAGGTCAAAGATAAAAAGGCCATACATCATGACATCGTGACATGTATATGACAAATAGCGTGTAACCACGATATTTCTGAGAACCTGCTAATGGATTACAATTGAACTTGAATCTGAAAAATTACTTCTGTTTTGGTTTGTTAAATCACTCTATGGCGGAGGCATCATTTCTGATGTCGAAGTTCCATGTAATTCTTTAAAAAAGTGTACATACATTTTGATATATCATGTTGCAGTTGACATGAAAATTGCTCATGCGAGCGTGTAATGTTGTTTGTATATGTACATGTAGATATAGCTGTCATGGGGTAACTTTCTCACAATTTATTTGTGATACAAGGCCCTGTATTAAGTTTGAGGGCAAGGTAATGATTAGAGTGAGAAGCTCATACAGTTTAAGATCTTGATGATCTGAAAATCTCGCATTTTAGATGCACAATGAATGGATTTAGGGGATATTACAGTAAAGGTTCCCAATTTTTATCCAATAAGTTTTTTTATGATGGTTATTCATAATGATATGTAGGAAATCTATTTTTACAAGCCATGCTTTTAAAAAAAAAATCCTGAATTTCTGTATGATTGTTACATATTAACAATAAGTACTTAGCTCGTTATTTATTTCCACTAAACATGTATATAAGGCTACTACTTGTTGCATACTCTTTCCATAATGTACAACTTATGTAGAAATGTGAAATAGGTTAAACTGAAACTAAAACTGAAATATAGTTGTTTTTACTCTTTTTTTAAGGGAAAGAAATATATTCAAATTCTTTAACGGGAAGGACAAATCTTCATATTAGTTCATTCTATTAATTGACTCTTCACCAGGTAAATCCTGCCGAGGCTTGGATCCCCCAGAAAATGGAGCTTTGGCCTGTGATGGATGGAGTGATGGAAAATTTTGCGATTTGTTTTGTAATGACAAATTTGACGTTCCAATCCAAGGATTTGACAACCAGTATGTGTGTGGATTATCAGGAATATGGATCCCTAATGATATAATACCTGACTGTACTGGTAAGTGAATTTCAGAGTTTGACATGTTAAAATATATTTCTGAATAAGAAATAAAGCCCTAATGTAGTGGACATAATAAATGAAATGTATTGTTTTATTTGTCACAATTTAAAGGACAATCCAACCTTTGTAGTGAGTTAATTTGTATGAGAGCAGCAAATAAGAAAAACAGAATGGTGAAAATTGGAAATAAATTGGACAAATAATAATAATTTTTAGAAAGGTGTTAGTGCTTGAAACGTGTCATCAATGTATTTATGTGAATCTCAAATTGGCGAAATGGTAATTTGGTGTATGAAATGTGTTTCTATGTTCAACATGAAATTATTATCTTTTATATCACATCACATAACTTACGAAGTACACAGAACACGCTGCTTCTAGAGCAACGTAGCTTAGCTCACACAAAAACAAAAGTAACTCTTAAAGATCGAGCTTCCAGTAGCGCAGCTCCAAATCTTTGAATTAACCTACCATTACACATAAGGAAAGCCTCATTTGTTGATGTCTTCAAAGTTTTGTTCAAGATGCACTTGTTTTCGGAAGGTTTTGAATAGTTTGTTTGCCTCCGCAGCGAAGTAGCCAGAAGCATTATGTTTTCGGGATGTCCGTACGTCCCATTCTCGCGATTACTTCATATTTTACAGTGCCACTTCCTAACTTTTTACCTTAGAGTCTTGAGCATCTTTTGAAACAAAGTTTTCTAAAATCGGACCTACAGTTACAAAATCATGTGACCTTTTGTCAAGTTCAAGTTTAAGTTCAAGTTTATTCAAACCAAATCAAACATAAACAATGGTACAAGATATAACAGCAAGGAACACAAGAATGATAGGTTTGGGACCCCAGTGAAGCACAGCTTGTGAACGAGGCCCCTTCACACAGTAGACTATACAGTAGGTATATAATGGCATATAATGGCAAGGAGTAACATATTTACGAGTATAACTCATGTGTATGTAACCATGTAACAGCAATATGCAGATGAGTATACCCCCACCCCCAATTACAACACATATACAAACACATACACACACACACACACATACTTATAACGTACACTTCATACATGGCTACCTCATCTTGTTTTATACATTCATGTATCTGATAGCAATCTGTCGAAAAGGCGTTTTTTACAAGCTATTTTAAACCGAGACAATGTAGTACTACTAATTATATTATGGGGTAACTTATTCCACTTTTTAACACAGACAGTTCTAAATTATTTTAACCCTACGTTAACTGGGGGGGGGGGGGTCAATTTGACCCCCCCCTGTAGAAATTTTGCGACTACTCCGAAACCGCGGCAGATATAAAATTTTCCTTTCATGACTTTTTACTTTCGAGTCTTACGCATCTTTTAAAACAATTTTTTTGAAAATCGGACCTACGGTTACAAGGTCACATGACCTTTTGTCTTTGCATGTCAGCCCGAAAATCGCTCATTTTCGTGATTTGTGTACAAAACATATGTAAAAGTCATTTTTCCTAAAAATAGATAAAACATTGGTTATTCAGTCTTGTTTAAAGTTTAGATGTTTGTTTTGGGGTCAAAATAGTTGAATTGTAGTTATAAATGAAATAAAACAACAAAAACAATAAAATACATAAGTTAAAAAAACAATGAAATACATAAGAAATTATAAAAACAAGAGATAACATGAGGAATAACCTGGCTCTTCCAATTTTTTGTGTTGTATTATTATTCCAAATGGTCTAATAAATATATGTAGTGAAAAAAAATACGTAAACATGAATAATCTATGATTTATGGGCAGAAATGTGAATTTGATGACCTTATTTGCATAAATTACCATAAATATGCAAATGAGTGAATTTTTCAAAAATTTGAAATTACCATAGTATTCTATACACTTCACTTGACATGCATGCAAATTTTCGCCGCGATCGGCGGTGAAACGGCCGAGATCTTAGGGGGGGGGTCAAATTGACCCCCCCCCCCCCCAGTAAAAACCTGGTCTGAAATAGCCCAGTTAAAATAGGGTTAAGGCAGTATGGGTCCTGGCGTATGACTGATGGACAAGGTTACTCTGACGAGTATGATAATGATGGATGGAAGAGGTTTCCACAAACACATTAGTCAAAAATGTATACTGGAGTGATTGAAATTTAAACATCAATATTAAGCAATTAAGAGATACCAATTCATCAAAAGGCAAAATATGTAGTTGCAAAAACAAAGGAGTACTAGGTGAACTATATTCTGAATTTGTTATATACCTAACAACTTTTTTTGAAGTACTTGCAACTTATGTACATGGGTCCTAAATGTGTGACCCCAAGCAATATTACAATACATCAAATGAGGCATAACAATAGCATTATATAAAGTAACTAAGGTGTACTGGGGGAGGAAATAACGAAGTTTGGATATTACTCCGGCACTGCGAGACACTTTAGTACATACATTATCAAAATGTTCTTTCCATGATAAATATTCATCAACCGTAACACCAAGAAACACATGTTGCGATTGATCTGTTGACCACCAACAACTAAGGGATGAACATTTTCAGGGATTTTCCTCCCTGTAGACCTAAATATTACACATTGAGTTTTACCAGTATTCAATAACAGTTTGTTACAACAAAACCACGTAAAGAGTCTACACATTTCAGTATTAGCTGACTGCATAAGAGAGTGTACATTCTTGTGAGAATATAACAAACATGTATCGTCAGCAAAAAGAGAATAATTGAGACGAATTAATAATATCATTAATGTAAATCAAAAACAGCAATGGGCCAAGAACAGATCCCTGAGGTACACCATACTTCACATTGCTAGATTGAGACTTGGCACCATTAACGACAACAAATTGTAATCTATTTTCCAAATAACTTTTAACCCTTACTGTACTGGGGGGGGGCCTGGGAGGCCCCCCCTCGACATTTTCGGAGATTGCGCCGCAACCGCTTGCAATTTTGAATTGTCGTTTCATGACTTTTTTCCCTCAAGTCTTACACACATTTTGATACCATTTTCGTCGAAATCGGATATACCTGTAAGGCGTTACATAACAATTAGTATGCGCATGTCATCAAAAAAAAAAAAAAAAAAAAAATTGCATCAAAATTTGCATAAATTATCATTATTAATTACATTAAAATGACTTTTTTGTGTTAGAAAAGAAGTTTCATATGAATAATGAGTTTCAACATTAAAAAAGTGGAGTTTGACACGTTTTCTGTAAAATGCATAAAATTAGCGCATTTTGCATAATTAATTAGGCTAACGACAAAAATTTGCATATTCGTAAAAAACTAATTATACCATCTTGTTCCTTACGTAAATATCTACAAACATGCAAATTTTCGTGTTCATCAGACAATCGACGGCCGAGATCATAGGGGGGGGGGCCTCCCAGGCCCCCCCCCCCCCAGTCAGTGGGTGCTCAAAATAGCCCAGTACAGTAAGGGTTAAGCCAATTTAATGTTATACCTCGCACACCATAATGTTTGAGCTTTCTTAAGAGTATATCATGATCTATTGTGTCAAATGCTTTTGACAATTATAAAAATTTACCAAGGCAATAATTCCCGCTGTCAATTCAGCCCGAAAATCGCTCATTTTCGTGATTTGTGTACAAAACATATGGAAATATCTTCTTTTTGTTTAAAGAGATAAAATGTTGGCCATTTGGTCTTGTTTATAGTTAAGGTGTTTGTTTTGGGGTCAAAAATAGTTGAATTATAGTTCGAAATGAAATTTAAAAAATAATTTTAAAAAATACATAAGTTAAAAAACAAAGAAATACAGTTTTATACCTATCTTTTCACATGTACTGTTAGTATTCCCAATTGGCATGGTGAATAAAACTTATTGCCTTCTCATATGCATGAAACAATACAATATATGAGGAATCATGTAAAAGAAAAACAAAGAAAAATACACAAATAATACATATTCTGAATAATTAGTTAGCTCTAATTAGCATATTCTAATTGAACAAATATTTTAACTATGCAATATTGTAGATCTTATAGACATCTATCACCATGCCAAATTTAGAGTCGATCAGAGTTTCGGTTGCCGAGATCTTAGGGGGCCCTCTTAGCCCCCCCCCCCCCCCATCCAGTTTTGTAATGGTTTTGATTGATTGATTCGAATTTATTCCATTTCATATAAAGAACATAGTTGACAAAGTAAGTACAACATTGTGAAATGAAACAGGAATCTACTGGAAAGCATAGCTTGTTTTTGTAGGTTCCCAAGAATAAATATAATATGAACATTATTTTCATAAGTCACTTTAAAGTGTCTTAGTAGTCACAGTAAAATAGATATAATATAATAACATATTTTCATAAACCCTTTTAAAGTGTCCAAACAATCGAAATATGCAAAAGAACAAAATTACAAAACGGGATACAATAGACAGGAAACTGACGTAATAAGATAAGACAGGACATGACAAAACAATTAATAACAGGACAAGATAAACAAAACATGACAGAACAAAACAAGACAAAACAAAGCTGCACACTACAGAAAAATTAGAAGAAGAGAGAGAGAGAGTGTGTATGTGTGAAACAGGGGAGGTGTGAGAGATATACCCATATCCTAGAAGTTAAATCCGAAGGAGACATGTATTTTTGTATAAAAGTCTTTTTGAACCCTCTTCTAAAACTATAATATGTGGGTTTATCTCTGACTGTATCTGAAAGAGAGTTCCAAAGTTTTGAGCCTGAAACTCCAAATGATTTATTTGAGAGCAAAGTTCTTGTTTTCGGTAGATGAAAAAGCCTGGCAGACCGAGTAGGATAATGATGAATATTGACATTCTTTGTAAACATTGAATAAAGAAAATTTGGCAGTTATTTCTATTTAAATTATACATAAATATTCTCAGATTATAACTGTATAAATCTGTTATCTTTAGAAAACTATGTGTGTGAAAGAGTGCATCTGTGTGCGCTCGAAAATCAGTACGACATATCACACGCTTTTTTCTAAAGTAATATAATTCTATTTAAATGATAGTCAGCACAATTGCCACACGCTATAATTCCGTACTTTAAGTGTGGGAGGATCAACGTTGAATACAGGTTTAATAATATACGACTTTGAAAATAAAATTTAACCTTATTTATAATGCCAATATTTCTTGAAATAACTTTACAAATATTATGTACGTGTTCCTTCCAAGAAAGCTTTTCATCTATCGTTATTCCCAGAAATTTAGTATTCAAAACTCTTTGAGTAATAGTACAATAAAAAAAAAAACATTGCCTGGAAGTTTGTTTATTATGTTCTGAAAAGCATGTAGTTCGTCTTTTGCAGATTGAGAGATAATTTATTGGCTTTGATCCATTCTGAAACACGTTTTAATTCCTGGTTGATGGTGGCAAACAAAAAATGTGGGTCCTTATGGGAAAAGAAGAGGTGTCGTGGTCGAGTAGATACGTCAACGGACTGTCGATCTCAAGGTCCACGGTTCGAGTCCCGCCGCGGCACCAATGTCCTTTGGCAAGACATTGACCTACATTTGCCACACTCAACCCAGGTGATGTAAATGGGTACCTGGCAGGAATTAATTCCTTGAAATGCTAGAGCGCCGCAATGGCAGCACAGCTAAAGCCAGGGTAATAATCTCCAAGTTTGGAAGCGCTTATAGTGATTGTAATAAGAGCTTTATAAAAAAAAGCATTTTTATTATTATTATTCGAGTCGTCTGCAAAAAAAATAAAAAATAAAACCTCTGAATACTTACAAAAATCGTTGATATAGCCCAGTCTGTTTAGGGCTAATATGATATACAATTTGAATTATACCATTCACGCGTGAGTGAGCATATCACGAGAAACATGTCCTGAGACTGCAGTCCTCGTTGTTTCTCATTCTGTGTTTTCATTCTTGAACCAGAATTTCTTACATATGCCAATTTTCATTGACATTGGAATGGCTCATTGCTCTATTTGTTTACAATTTTGGTAATGAGACAGTCTAATGGTTAAATGAATGTGCCCATCCAAGCGTGAAAGTTCAAAACTCGATCTCAATTGATGTTGCTAGAGTATTAAATTTTCCTTTAGTTTGATATTTATATGAACATGTTGAATAATTAAGAGTGTCCACTCTTTTGGACTGAGTATTTATTTGAGAGATTATTATATTCTTTTCTTTTTTTCATTTCGGTCTTAAAAGAATCAAGGAGGGGTAGAAGAATCAATCTTCCAAGTGAATTATTCTACTTCAGTGGTTCCTGTGGCACAAGTGAGACACAGTTAGCCATCGCTGCAGCATTCCTAGAATCATTCCAATCTTCAAGCTTTGGTGGCAGCTGCACCGAAGATGATGAATGCACAGTGAATAATGTTCGAGTGACATGTGGTCCTTCTAGCCGTCGGAGGCGCAAACGTAGAAGTAGACGAAGGCAGATGGACACACCTGTAGACCTTGGCACATGGGAGGAGCATATGCATTTCCAACATCTTTTTTCCAAAATTCGCAAGAGATCAGCTCTTAATTTTGAGTGCGTAAATTTCTTATCTCAGTTGATATAATTTGCAATAATCTTTTGGATGGTTTATTAGCATGTCATTTTTTGTGTAGGGGATAATTTGTTTTGTTTTGTTTTACTTCAGACAAAATGTTCTTGTTAAAAAAAATTTGTGGTGCTATATTTGTAGAGTTTACAGAAACACAATTAACTCTGCATAACTCGCAGTCACACAAGTCAAATTTTCCCAAAGTCAAATCATTTTTTTAAACCAAACTATGCAGAAAAATAACATGTTATTCACACGTCCTAAGGCTAATTTTGCCAAAGTTGAATTATTTGTTGGTGTCCCAACAGATTAAGCTTATGCAGAGTCAACTGTTTAGTAGTTACAATTGCTCTATTAAAAAGAAGAAATCTTGAAAAACTATACTTTGAGTATATTTCACATCATGAAGTATAATCTCTCCCTTTACGTCACATATGCATTAGCATACTGTCAGTGGACTATTCCTGTAAAGTGATTTTGACTTTAAAAAGTTGTAATTTTTTATTATACTATCATACCACACACATACTCTTTATAGTTGTATTGTCTTTTGAGGTGCAGTGTGGATTTGATACATTTTCATTCGAAATTTGTCTCCTTCAGAATCGTCATTGGATTTTACATTGAAACTAATCTCATGGTGGACGTAGGTCAGACGGATTATGATGCAGCACTAGATGCAGAGGAAAAAATGATTGGTCTCGTTGAGACTCTCATTGAGGGTGGCCAGTTGGACCTGAGCTCTAGTGTGGATAATTTCACTGCTGTACTGGATGAGAGCTCTTTCAACTATGAATATGTGGAATTGGTGTGCGCCCCTCCCTATACAGTTAACAACGACATCTATCGCTGTGGTAAGATGTCATGTAACAACAGTATGTGCCAAACGTGCAAGAAAATATAACTTTATATCCAAGTTAACATCACTCATTAAGTCTTAAATCCTAGAAAGGCAGGAATATTTTTGGTTATTTTAGTGCTCTCTCTGGTTGAAGTACAGGATGGGGCTTTCCCTTCTCCCTGGGATCGTGGCCATATACATGCATTTACAGATAGGGCTTTGCATTAAGAATATCTATGACTGAAACGGTCTTGGAATTATTGCAAATTAATTATGCACATATTGACATCTTTGCATTGTGTACAAAACATACAGGTATAAATAATTTTTATTTTCACTGCATATATCACGGTTCTTATTTTGCACCGTACTTGTTAGTTAAAGTTTCCCAAAAAATTTGCATAATAAAAGATATCTGTTAATCAAAGCTACATGCATGTTAAAGTCATGTAAGCTTGCAGTGAAAATAACAACCTCAAATATTTTACGGCACACACTAAGGGAGGTAGATTTGTTTCCTTCCCCTGGTCCGCTTAGGGTAACCTCTGGTTCAGTATTACATCATGTACACATGCATGTACAAAATTCATACCCTTACAACTGAGAAGACAAGGGTCCTGGGAAAGTCCACCTCTGGAGATAGATACGCTGTATATTCCATTAGAGTTAGCATCATTGTTGGATTATGGTGTGTTTCTACAGCAGCGTACACCTGGTATAATAGGTTTCTATTATTTTCTCTTTTTTCTCTTCTGTGGATCAAAAACAAACAAGGTGTGCTATCTTTTTACTTTTAACCAGAATTCATGTGCTTTTGATTTGAATATGGATGGGTCTTAATTCTAGTTAATCAATATACCGGTACCTTTATTTAGTATACTGTAACCTTTCTTTGTAATATGCTCCTACAATCCATATTCTCTGTTCAATTATGTAGTACCATGTGGAAGGGGTTCCTACTATGGCAATGAAACTCAGGAATGTATGCTGTGTGAAGTAGGGACCTATCAAGACACACATGGAGAGTTCACATGTCATCAGTGCCCGGAAGGACAATCTACTATTGGAGTCGGATCAAAGAATGTGACCCAGTGCATAGGTACAAAAATTCACTTAGTTTGTAATTGCAAATGCTCTATTTTAGTGGAAAATATTCATTGACTACGAAGCATAGATTTACTACACTTTATTATTTGAAAGGGATCAGTGGAATCTTTGGGTCTTTACTGATATATTTCTTTTCAAATTGATTCATATAAATTATTTTTCATTCTAAATTGTTTAATGTTCACTTAAGAACTATAAATAAACACTTCCTTATTATAAGTAAGGTCCCTTGCTATTTTAAGAAAGACCAGCAACCAGTGATAAAAACTATACATGGGCTTAAAGGAATAAGTCAAAAGATTTTTCACCAAACAGTTGTATTAAATCTACATAAAATAGGAAAATATTTGCAAAAATTAGTTGTACGCTACTCACTGTGCATACCGATTCATGCTGGCAAATTAGCACATGCACCTCATCAGATTTTTGTGTACACTTTGTGGGAGAAGAGTTGCTTGGTTTGATCAAGAAAATAAGGTGCTAGTACAAGTATTTGTCAAACTCATTTTTGTCTAGAACACATTTTTTATAATACCCTCCCCCCGGTATATATTTTCTCATTTCTCATTTCATCCTTTCACATCAAGATATCTGCCAGCCTGGTTATAGTTCGTTCACCGGTCTAGCACCATGCAACCATTGCCCGATAGGAAGCTATCAAGAGGAATTCTTTGCTACAGAATGTACCAGCTGCCCTGTTGGCACGACTACTCTAAATAAAGGCTCTACTTCATCTCTTAAATGTAATGGTAAGTAGATGTATCATTGGCTTTATAGGGCCATTTGCTTTTTTACAGAACACTGCCTTAGTTTTTTTAAATTTCTGAAAATATTATTTTAGATAATCTTAGAACAATCATGCTGTACTCACAATCACGTTCTATAGCTTTGAGGTGGAACCACCATAATCAAACCATATGTACATCTCTTGAAGGCACAGGCTGACTGCCACAGGTCCAGTTTGAAAATAGGTTAATTATGACCAAGGTCAAACTTTAGATGAACGACCATTCTCTAGGTGGTTTAGGGTCAATAAGCCAACAGTCATACCAGATTAAAAGCATTACACTTGATCGATAATATGTCTGAGGCAGAGGCATAATTCTTTTTATGCCTCCGCCACCGAAGGTGGTGCCGGAGGCATCATGTTTTCGGGTTGTCCGTCCGTACGTCCGTCCCGTTTGACCGTTATCACAATATCTCAAGAACCATTTAAGATTTAAACTTAAGACTCGGGAATAGTATTTATCACCATAGGAAGATGATCTGATTAGATTTTGGAGTACGTAGGTCAAAGGTCACAGGTCAAAGAGGTCAACTTATGAAATTCCTTGTATTGAGTTTGTTAGCGCGATATCTCAAGAACCATTTGAGATTTAAACTTCAAACTTAAGGATAGTATGTATCACCATAGGAAGACGATCTGATTAGATTTTGGAGCACGTATGTCAAAGGTCAAGGGTCACAGAGGTCAACTTATGAAATTCCATACATTGAGATTGTTATCATGATATCTCAAGAACCACTGGAGATTTAAACTTCAAACTTAGTGATAGTGTGTATCACTATAGGAAAACAATCTGATTACATTTTGGAGCACGTAGGTCAAAGGTCAAGGGTCATAGAGGTCAACTTATGAAATTCCATACATTGAGATTGTTATCATGATATCTCAAGAACCACTGGAGATGTAAAAACTTCAAACTTAAGGATAGTATGTATCACCATAGGAAGACGATCTGAGTAGATTTTGGAGCACGTAGGTCAAAGGTCAAGGGTCACAGAGGTCAACTTATGAAATTCCATACATTGAGATTGTTATCATAATATCTCAAGAACCACTGGAGATTTAAACTTCAAACTTAATGATAGTGTGTATCACCACAGGAAGACAATCTGATTAGATTTTGGAGCACGTAGGTCAAAGGTCAAGGGTCACAGAGGTCAACTTATGAAATTCCATACATTGAGATCGTTATCGCGATATCTCAAGAACCACTGGAGAATTTTCACTTCAAACTTAATGATAGTATGTATCACCATATCATATCTCAAGAACCACTGGAGATTTAAACTTCAAACTTAATGATAGTGTGTATCACCATAGGAAGACAATCTGATTAGATTTTGGAGCACGTAGGTCAAAGGTCAAGGGTCACAGAGGTCAACTTATGAAATTCCATACATTGAGATTGTTATCATGATATCTCAAGAACCACTGGAGATTTAAAATCCAAACTTGTTTAAATTGCTCTATGGCGGAGGCATCATTTTCGACTGCGCGCAGTCAAAATTCCATCTAGTTTTTTCTTTTTTTAATAATTCATTTTTAAAAAATGTTTTTACTAACATTAGTTTCCTTACTTAAATATTTTAAGAGTAACATTTGAGATGGTATTAACAACATTTGTAAACAGCGTTCTCCCATTTCCCTGGGATTATGTATTTGCCATATATACTATTATTGCTTAGTGTAAAGTGCCAGAACCATGCACTGGTGAAAGCTTGAAATGGCATGATTTTTATATGCATGTACCATTCTCACTCATACAAGCCAAATTATTTTTGTGTGGTTCCTTTTGTATACATTGTGCAGAGTTTTGTGCAGCTGGAGAGTACTCTCCTTCAGGCTTCGTGCCTTGCATGCCATGTCCGCTTGGTACTTATCAGAGTGGAACTCAGCGAAGTACATGTCATCAATGTCCTGGTGAAACTACAACAATGAAGACAGGTTCTACTGATGCATCCATGTGTGTTGGTAAGGATTGCCTGAAAACATCTTCTAAGCAATGAATGCATATTGAATGTTAAAGGGAATTCATTTTCACAAGAGGGAAGGTCCCCTTGGAGTAAGATTATCCAAACACCAACTTGAGTGACCTCAATCTAATGGATCTTCAGTCACCTGCAGTGCACGTACATGTGGTATTATGATAATAGTGATACACCCCTGTACATCTAGCGTGTGGTGCATTCATGCACCGCACATACATAAACTATCTGAACCTCAATGCTGGCGGTGCTCTATTTTTTAACGTACTTGAAAATTAGCGAATTTGCTTTAATAGAAGGTTACTTCTTGTGTAATTGCCCATGCATGCCTTCTATATTCATTGTCATCTGAATAAGTGCTAAGTTAATGTGCAGTAAAGTTTTCATCAGTCTTATTTCATATATTCTAGCTTTGACTTTTTTTTTAGGTGATTGGCGCACTAAATAAAATAGTCATAGGTTTTCATTTTAACATCATACAATCTACCAATTCCATTACATTCTGCATTGATATTTACAGATATTGATGAATGTGAGAGCCAGCCGTGCCAACACGATGCAAGCTGCCTTGATGGAATTAATTCCTTCACATGTATCTGTGGATTGGGATATACAGGGTCTACGTGTGGTGATCAGATTCTACCATGTGACTCTGATCCCTGCCTCAATGGAGCGTCTTGTGTGGATGAAGTCAATCAGTTTACATGCATGTGTGCTCCAGGATATACAGGTATAAACATGAACTGTTTGCTTCCCCAAATACGTTTGACCTAAAACTTGAAATACAATATGATACGGGTAGGGAGCTTCAACTGATGAGGCTACTATACAGCAGGCCTTTATGACAATGCTTTTGATTGAGACAAAAATCAGGCTTGAACTTCATAAAAAATTACATTTAAAGATATGATCTTGACATACCGATTATTTTGACTCATAATTTGAAATGATTGATTTTAATAGGCTTTTAAAATGTTTTATAAGAAACAAAAAAAATGATGCATTTATTTTTTAAACGGTTAGGACATTGATCACATTGCCATATTCAATAGAACTGATTAATGTTTGGTACTTTATCTGCATTTCCATAATAATGGGAAATTATTCAAAATGTCCACGCTCGGGAAATGCTCATTCACTGTGTAGTTAGTGAATGTATGTCAATCAGAAGCATTAGTAACTTTTTTCAGGACACTTATCTTTTTAAAGTTTTTATTAATTATCTCTTATAGTTATAACTGGCAGGAATTTTCATGCCATATTCATTTTTTTAAATTTGACCTATAGTTCAAGGAACAAAAAAATCCTGAAATGAATTCTTTTTACATCAAATAACAAGGATCTGGGAGTATCATGTATAAACAAATGATGCATGTTTTCATTCCTTCATTACAGGATCCATGCACTTGTTGAGGCTGTTTATGCACCTATCATAAAAACCTGAATGGCTTTGAAGGATTGATGCATACAGCTACACTTGAGTGCGGATAAATTGTATAATGAACTCAATCGCATGCATCATTTGTATGTTGTTATCCAGTTAGGATGCTCGTGATGAAATATAGTGATAGATCATCTTTGTATAATTGGTGTACAGTATTAATTATATGAATTGTACATAAAAATAATACATGTGTTCATTCAACAGGCTCGGTTTGCGAGACCGAAATCGACTATTGTGATCCAAGACCATGCAAAAACAACGCAACCTGCAAGAGTAGCCAAGGCCATTTTGAGTGCTTTTGCCTTTTTGGATTTGATGGTGAAACCTGCTCAAATGAAATAGATTACTGTGTTGATACTCCTTGTCAAAACAGTGCATCCTGTGTAATATCTGAGCTCTCCGCAGCTGGTTACAAATGTATTTGTGCAGAGGGATATACAGGAGAGAATTGTTCTAGTAACATTGATGAATGTAAGAGCAGTCCTTGCTTAAACGATGGTAATTGCACTGATGGCATCAACAGTTTCACCTGCTCATGTACAACGGGATACAACGGCTTCATATGCGACGATGACATTGACTTGTGTGCTGATTGGAACTGCCAAAATGGTGGCACTTGCAAAGATCTTGGAAAACGAGCAGTCTGTGCGTGTCCTAAGGCTTATGCTGGACAGTTCTGTGATGAAGTCAGGACAGCATGCAGTGACTCGCCCTGCATAAATGGAGGCACATGTACAGCTGTTGATGATACCACCTTGGCCTTCGACTGCACCTGTACCGAGGGATACATTGGACAGACCTGTGAGACAGAGGTCAACTTCTGTCAGCCAGATCCTTGTAGGAATGGAGCTACTTGTGAGGATCAACCTACAACTTACATCTGCCACTGTCCTGATGGATTCACAGGTAAGTAAACTAGCCTTTCATTTGAGTTCATTTTGACACTTGCTGAATCTTAGTGTACTTTGAGTTAAAAGATGAACACAAAACCAAATTCCAGGCAGATTTGCTGTGGGATACTATCCGTAATGTCAACAAGTGTGTACATGTACTTTTTTATTTTTAAAGGGAAAACCTGTGCTCAGGATATAAGCTGGTGTGATGACAATCCATGTGGACTAAACGCAACCTGCATAGAAGAACCCCTTTCCTTCAGATGTCTGTGCGATGTAAGTTACTCTGGAGAGAGATGTGAGGAGGTGTTGACTGTCTGTGATGCCCAAGACCCTTGTCTCAATGGAGCTACATGTAGCGGAGACTCTCTTACATTTCAATGCCAGTGCCCACCAGCATATCAAGGTGATTGTAATTAGTATTGAGTTTATCAGAGAGGTAGAAAATAATGTTAATCTAATGGACAAAGCTGACTAGTGGAGATTTAAGTTTTAATGATCATCTATACTAACTGATTTTTGGTTCAGATAACACTCTAAAACAGCAGCAAAAAAAAAATTAGCGTAAAAAACAAAGAAATATATAAGAATTTCATAAATACATATTTCTTCTTTTGTAATATTATTCTTAGGGTACAGAAAGAACTTGCATACTTTGTTTTTATCTCCAAGAACTTTCTTTACTTGATTATCAATTTTAAATGTGTATTTTTGCATATATTTTGCATAAATTTTAATATTAATTGAAGAAGAAAAAAATGATATAACAATAATGACGTATTTGTGTTCTTTATGCCATTTTTAAGGTCTATGCTCTAGTGTGCACATGTAGCATATCATTGAGTGTCACACAATATACTTTCAGCACATTGGGATACTTTCAAATAAGTACTATTTTGTAGGATTTTGATATTCATTTCATCTCTTGTTCCCGCTTTCTAAACAACAGGGTTGTTATGCGAGCATGAGATCAACCCCTGTGCTACTTCACCCTGTCTAAATGGAGGTACCTGTGTGAAGGATCTACAGTCCTATCGGTGTGACTGTGCTGCAGGGTTTGAAGGAATACACTGTGAAGGCAATCAGGACGAATGTGCAAGCGAGTAAGCTTATCCATTATTCCAGACAATAATCTATTAAATCTACTATCAGAACACTCTCACATAATCCTACATACATGTGCTTTCGTTTCACATAACTTGTTTCTATGTAAGGGCACAAATGTGTTCTTGTTAAAGATAAAGTTGAGTTCTGGTCATGATTGACATCCTCCACACTATCATAATAACAATGATAACGCTCACAAATTATTTGTTACCTCTCCCCAGAACTCAACCTTCTCTTTAACCCTATCTAGCCTTGGGGGAAGGGGGGTGGTGCTGCTTTTAATATGTATATACATTTTGTACAAGGCAATGTTAAATACACTCATGTGCAGTCAGGCAAGAGTACAATAATTTCATATATATATATATATGATTGTTAGCATAATCAGATATATGCACTTTCATATAAATGAAATAATCCCCATGTTTCCTCTCAATCAATAAAGTTAATTATTAATTACTTCTTCGTTACATGCAGCAATAATCAATCATCTTCTTCATGCTGCTTTGTTACTTTGTTACATTTATTTGAATCTCTTGCATATTTTTTCTCTTCTTAAATAGGCCATGTGAGCATGGAACATGCATTGATGGAATCAACTCTTTCTCCTGTGACTGTGAAGCAGGATACACAGGCCATACATGCAGTGAAGACAAGTTTTGTGATGCCAACCCATGTCAGAACGGGGGATCTTGTGAAAACCTAAACACAAGATATCGGTAATGTAAACATATAACAAGGGTTTTTAGCATCGTATAGCTGAGTGTAGAACATGTTTCATAAATTTAACCTCTTCCATATAAATTGTTGGGAGTGGCCCCCATTTCTATAAACAACCGACTGCTGATGCCTTTGCTCTAATAAGCTATTTAAATCTAATTTGATAGTTTTATTAATTGTCTATTCCTTTCTACATTGCAGTTGCTCGTGTGCTCCAGGATTTCGGGGAACAACTTGTAGCAGGCAAATAGACTACTGTCGCAGAAACCCATGCACAAGTGGAAATACTGTAGGCTGTGAGAATCTAATCGGTGGTTACACATGTGTGTGCAAGGATGGTTTCACTGGATTAAAATGTGAGTCTGAGATCAACGAATGTGAGATGTCACCATCCCCCTGTCAGAATGATGGAAGGTGTATCAACCAATGGGGGACATTCACCTGCCAGTGTCAACTAGGCTTCACTGGTAACCTGTGTGATGTAAGTATAGCCAGTTGTCTTCATCTTTTCAAAGATGCTGAACAATTGCGTTGATTTATATGCTTCTTCGCAGAGTCACTCCTTTGCCACCTACAAATGCATTTTGCACACAATAATAGGCATTGATTGAGGGAAAGATTGCTTTTGTGCAACACAGTTGCTTTACAAACTTACCCATTTCCAGTCTTGATGAGCTCAATGACAATCATTTTAACCCTTACTGTACTGGGCTATTTTGAGCACCCTCTGACTGGGGGGGGGGGGGGGGGGGGGGGGGGGGGGGCCTCCGAGCACACGCCTCCGAGGCCCCCCCCCCCCCCCCCCCCTATGATCTCGGCCGTCGAATGTCCGATGAACACGAAAATTTGCATATTTGTAGATATTTACATAAGGAACAAGATGGTATAATTAGTTTTTTCCTAATATGCAAATTTTTGTCGTTATAGCCTAATTAATTATGCAAAATGCTAATTTTATGCATTTCACAGAAAACTCTACATATTTGTAGACTTGTGAAGAATCTTGAAAATGTATTAAATAAATGTTTCCTTCATCTCAAATTCATGAGGTTTCATTATTTTTATGATATTTGAAAATGCATACGTTAATTTGCATAAATTATGAATATGCAAATTACGCATTCATGAATATCAAATCTGGAACTATATTTAGGGAACTAGAATCATTACAAAAATTGTCAGACTCCACTTTTTGAATGTTGAAACTCATAATTCATACGAAACTTCTTGTCTAATACAAAATATTTATTTGATGTAATTAATAATGATAATTTATGCAAATTTGATGCGATTTTCAAATATTTATTTTCTTATGTATTTTATTGTTTTTTTATTTCTTATTATATTTTTTTTCTTTTTCTAATGTATTCATAACAGCAATTTGATATCAATTCATATCTCCCACTAAGGAAGAAATACATCTAAACCTGTATTCACAATTCTGCTTGTACATGAATATATGCAATTATAGCATTTTTTGATGACATGCGCATACTAATTGTTATATAACACCTTACAGGTATATCCGATTTCGACGAAGATGGTATCAAAATGTGTGTAAGACTTGAGGAAAAAAAGTCATGAAACAACAATTCAAAATTCCAAGCGGTTGCGGCGCGATCTCCCAAAATGTCGAGGGGGGGCCTCCCAGGCCCCCCCCCCCCCCAGTACAGTAAGGGTTAACTCTGGTACAGATTAATCTTGCACAGGAAACAGTTAACTAATTTTGAAGCCATTGGTATAATGTGTATCCCAGGAAAAGTTCAATGTGGCACTGGGAGATTTTATATGAGGCATATGAAAAAAGTTGACAATACAGAGGGCAGTCATATAATTTTTCAGAAAGGGGATGATGTCTTTTTCCATAGACATGATAAGTAGACACGTTTTTACAGGAAATATATTGAGACCCTGTTGAAGTTGGAGGAAAAAGGCACTTAAGAAAATATTCTCCTTGAAATAATCCTTTTGACTCGGATTCAGAGAACTTTTCCTGGGATATATAATATCCTAGCTTAAAACTGAATGCCGCCAACCTTTAAAAAATATACTAGTATTTGACCTTTACAATTTTTCTTGCATGTTTTCATTTTCTCAAAAGAAGGGCCACTACCCATTCCCTCTCCTCTTTTTTAAAAATTGTTCATGTACATGAATTTCACATCATTTTTCATTTCATTGAAACCTCTAAGAGGTAAACAGTATCCATGTAGTCCATATCAACAATCTGCTTCTTTTTTTTTTTGCATTTATGTAGACCATATCACATTATAATATAAAGCTTCTATGTATGCCAAAGTACCAGATACTTACTTGCTGCATTACATCTGTGTTGACACTGGTACATATTATTTATTATCAAAGGACATGTAGTGCCTAATACAGGGCCTATTTACATCATTTAACTTTTAAATTGTTTTTTTTTTTGTGTAAGTCTGCCTTCTACTCCTGCCCTTACCACGGAGAAACTTATACACTGTACCATTAAAAAAAACATTTCAACAGATAAACATTGATGACTGTGTGAGCCACGGCTGTGAAAGTGGGGCGTCCTGTGTCGATGGCATCAATAGCTACAGCTGTCTTTGTACTGAAGGAACATACGGGTTATGGTGCCAGCTGAAGTCAACACCATGTGATAACAACCCCTGCTACAATGGTGGTGTGTGCACTGTTAATCAAGATGGTTTCCTCTGTGAATGTCTGTCTGGTTTTACAGGACCTTCCTGTGAAGTTGACATTGATGACTGTGTCAATCACCGCTGTGCTAGTGGCTCGACCTGTGAAGACCAGGTATTTCTAAGTGACTTCAAATATGAAGTAGCTAAGATATAAGTAAACTCTACCTGACAGTTTAAACCTGTCAGACAGACGTGTTTTTTTTCCATCACGTGGTGCTGTAACATAACACCTGCTATATACCAAGGGGCCCATACCGTTTGATTTAAATTATGACAAAATATGGCACGTCGTTACCGTTCTCATGGCCCCACAAACAGGTCCATAACGGCCTTGAATCGGTCCATCGTCCTTATACTGTCTTTGTACCGTCCTCATACCGGGTTCTCACTTGTACCACTGCTTGTACCCACACCAAAACTTTTGCCGGGTCTTGCTAACGGCCCCCCTCCCCCACCATGTTTACTTGATGGCTCAACGCCCCGCCGTGTACCCTCACCTCAGTCCACCGTCAGCACAAAACTTACCACACGGTGGACGGTGGCACATCATAGGCTTACCGGCACCATGTGGCAGCTACTTCAGCAACAACTCACAGTAGTTTCCCCAATACCTGCTACATAACTATTACATAGACTATCCAGTATTTTACCGCCCAATGGTTTACCATTATATTGAATACATTTTTGTACGGTTAGCTAGCAGAAATAAGGAACCAAAATAGTTGTTTATATAGACTGCACCTTTTATTGCCTCTCTCTTTCCAAGGCCTTTACAATTAAAGAGATTATACACTGTATTTCATTTGTTTTTGTCATAAAGTGGGATAGCTACAGCTGTATATGTCCACAAGGTATAACTGGAGACCTTTGTGATCAGGAAATAGATGACTGCCTTTGTGATCCTTGTCAGCATGGAGCAACGTGTATTGATGGAAGATCAAGTGTTACATGTACCTGCACAAGTGGTTAGTGACAAATATCAATTTTTCAGGCATGAGATTCCACCGTGGATACACAGATTTTCCATGGTTTAGAAAATTTTAGGGAAATAAAAAAAGGGAATGTAATTTGTCTTGGTGTATGCCTGGTTAGTTGCAGCTAGGATCCAATTGGTCAGAGATGTGAATAGCAAATTGAGCCACTGACGTAATAATATCTCTCTCAAAATGCCAGAAAATGTGTCACAACTGACTTAGCGTACAGTTTCAGGGAGAGTGATACCTTGCCTTAGATAATATTCCTACATTTAGAAGTAGTATAACTGAATACGTTTGCAAAGCAATGGCACAAGGTTTTTCAACAAACAATCAACCTCAAAACATTTGAATTTCCCTATTTCATACCTGTGCTTAGATATTTTTGTACCATTGCTCAAGCAGCCGGGCTCAGCATGTCTGCATGTTATCAAAACTTTAATAAGAAATCTCTGCCCATACACAAGTTCACATGCACAGATAGCAGATCATATTAAGGATCAAGAAAAAAAAATGTCAAATGGAGAAATAAACTCACATTTGTATGGTTATTAGAAATCAACCAAGGTTTTTTTGGTGGTCTAGTTTATTGTTCCGTTTTAAATCAAATTTAGAATTCACTCATTGACAATTTAAGAAAACCTATTATGGTTACATTCATTTTGGCGAAAATCTAGCAGGCCAGCTTCACAACATACACTTTTCAAATCCCTGTACATTGTACTTTTGTGTGTAACAAATCTAGTGCTGGCGTAAGTAGCCTCATTGGCTAACAGCCAGCAGGCTAGCTCCCCACCAGAGACTGCTCATATTTTATCGAGACTCAAGAGTGTGGTTCACTTTTCTTCTCCAAATTCGGTCCGTTAGATTTATTTTCTTTTGTGTTTTCAAGTCGACGTGGTGAAAATATGTTTGTGCAAATTTGCCTTGGATCAATATCTTTAAGGCAAAAGTCATGGATTAAATATACTTTAGAGCTAACAATTGGGGTTCCTATTTTCCAAATTGCTTCAGCTCCAGTTGGGGCGTTGCCCCATGAACCCCCGCACAATTATCATCTTATTCCAGATTTTCTCGTTCTCATGCTTGATATCTGCAATTGTTGTAGAAACAAGCAAGCCAAAATTATTATAGATGCTTTTACCATTTTGTTATATTTTCTAGTAGAAATGAGGAAATCAATAGTTTCAAGATGCAAGTGAAATGCAAATAAGTTAACAATGTGCTGTTGTAAAAAATAAGACCTGTTGTTTATAGTTCATCTTAATTTTACAAAATATTTCAAGAAAACATTGTATAAAAAAAGTAACAACAATCTCTTTTTTTCCTGTTTCAGTGTTGATATTTGAAATCTTCAGAGAGAGATTATAGTTTTGTCACTTTATTTCAGGATTTAAGGGAAAGTTTTGTGAGGTCGACATTATGGAATGCTCCTCAGACCCTTGTGCAAATTCCGGTACATGCATAGAGGGAACTGATCGGTATGATTGCCAGTGTGCAGAAGGTTATTGGTAAGTCTGATACAAATCAAATCAATCAGATTTCAAATTAAGATCATCAGAATAATTTTTAAACAATATTATCAAAGTAATTACAAAAAAAGTATCTTTTGATAATGGTTCAATCTGGACCCCAATGGGTTTTGTGGATGCTGTCTTTAATGTTCCACCCTTTATAAGGCATGGTTCGTATTTGAGTGGGTGTCTTGTGTACCCCCTACACACAGGCCACATTTCTCTACAGATTTAGTTCAAATTTGGTATGGTGATTTGTCATTTGTCCAGTAGACACGTCTCATTTTTGGTGCTGCTGCCTTCATGGTCTTATGCAGGGATATACTTGTGCTTGTATGTTAGTGTATATGGTAACTTCTTATTTATCTTTGAATTGAATTCATATTTGTTTGGTATAAGAATATGTTTCATGGCCCTCATGGGAAAGTCTAGATGCGTATTGATTTGGGTGTTGTTGCCACCATTGTTATAGATACAATGAATTGCTATGCTATGTGTTTACAGAGCCATGGCTAGGTCTGCATAACATCATATAAAAAAAACATTAATTTAGACTTAATGATATGATTTGTTTTTGTTTCATTTTGTGTCCTGTCAGGGGCACAACATGTAAAGAATTTATCAGCTCCTGTGTGTCCAACCCATGCAAGTATAATGGCACCTGCACAGACGGCTTCATGCAGTACATGTGTACATGTGCTGCAGGTTATACAGGAGACACATGTGAGACAGGTATATACATATACTAGGTTTATGTTTCTGTTGGTAGCCTCTGTTTAATGTGTACTGTACATCAGATAATGTTGTACACTGTAGTTTATATGTTGTGTAATAGAGGGGTGAATTAAAGCACTGGAATATTCCACTATGGGATAATGACTAATATAATGTTTTAGAGGGCTACACCAGTACAAAAAAGAAGAATGAATATTCAATTATTGCAATAGGAATCAAGATATGATAAATTGTCTGTTGTGAGCTAGCAATTACAGCATGAACTCATAATACAGCTACAGCCTGTTTCAAAATGAATGATGTTGAAATCAAAAGTTTCTTTCAATTACATGTTTCTGTCATTTTTACCCTAGTTATTCCAGACAATTATGATCTTAGACTCAATGATCAGATGGCATCCATTAGTTTTTCTGCTTCTGTGGTCGATGGGTCTCCAAATCTGACATTATCATTGTGGGTGAAAGTGCAGATGGCATATCCGAATAAACAACTTTTGGACATGCGGATTGGTAACTTCAAGTTCAGTGTCCAAAATCCTTGCAGTCTTGCATTTATACAAACCGGGTGAGTACATATTTGTGATCCAACTTCTCCAAAATGGCAGTCCTAGTCAATCCCTGGCCAGGGGGGTGTTTCATAAAGCTGTTCGTAAAGTTACGCATGACTTTACAAACAACTTGTATATGAAAAGCCAAATGGGATGCTCAATCATTATTAACTGCATCAACTAAAGTTGAACTGTGCAGATGTAGATTAACATTCTTATTTTAACAAACATTTTTAATGCAAAGTATATTTTTTGCCATAATTTAATTGAGGGTATTGAAAATATCAGAAAAAACTTTGGGCATCCTATATCTGGCACTTCATATTCAAGTTGTTCGTAAAGTCATGCATAAATTTACGAACAGCTTTATGAAACACCCCCCTGGTCGCAAGACAATTTATAATTGCGTGTCGGGCCAAATTGAACAACGATCACCATCTATTCATGTATTGCTTTTCCTAAATTTGCAGTAGGCCTTTTACATACATGTTTTCACCCAACTAAAATCCCAGTCATAATACGATTAACGATCCACTCATTCATTACAATCAAGAAATGTTTTATATTTCAGTGAAAATTCGTCATCCAGTACGTTGTCTGTATGCGATGATGGCTGGCATCACATGCTGCTGGTATTCCGTGATTCTGGAAGGTGGTCTGCTGCGGTTGATGGCTCCCATGTTATGAGTCAAGATGATGACGCCCGCCAGTATAATTTGTCAGGAACAATGCATCTCTATTTTGGAACTGATGAGCTGGAACAGGGAGGTACATGCAAAATGAGTATACAAATAATAAACATAAGTGAGAGTGTTAGTGATTATCCACACAAAGTCTTTAAACCCAAGGGGATAGCTGAAGGTGTATGAACTGTTTCTAAGTAACAGAGGGAGGACAATTACACTCATGCCTGAACTGTGTGATATGTATTATTCTTGTTTTATAAAATTTAAATGCAAGTCCTTATCATTTGCTAGAAACTGCCTTTATCTCTAACATTCCAAAACATTGATTATCATAGAAAGTGTCAAAGTTAACCCCAGAGTAGATAAACCTACACATCGTTTGTGGAATTACTACAGTTGTGTTCAAATGCAAAATGTTTTTGAGAAATTAAACAAGATGAAGAAAAAAATGCATGTTGATGTACACCTGATTATGCACCTGGCATGATGGCTGGTCACTACCAAAACTATGTGTTAAGAATAATAAATACATGGTCATGTGTATGCTCTCAGCCAATCATTTGATTAGGATCTATGTCACACCATTTTATAAAACCGTATTACGTAAACATGCACAATGTAGCAGAAGTAGTAGTAGTAGTAGCAGTAGTAGTAGAAGTAGTAGTAGTAGTAGTAGTAGTAGTAGAAGTAGTAGCAGTGGTAGTAGTAGTAGCAATATTTTGCATCTGACTGAATACAAAGCACATACTGATAATGCTGATAATTCTGAATATATACAGTAGGCTTACGGTTGCACCATGTGGGAAAGGGGGGGGGGGGAGGATTGGGGAGCCATGAAAAGGACTGTCCACCAATAGTACACTTGATCGAGATAATGCTAATTGATAATGTTACAAAAATGCAGGTACTCTATGAAATGTCATTCTCTGCATTAGATATATTTCTTGTCCTTTATAATGAAGTTCATATTTTTCTTTATTCTTCAGGGGTGATATTTTACCATCATGATTATTTTTCATTATTTTTTTTTTCTTTTTTGTAGATTGTAAAGGAGATATAATTGGGATGATGAAATAAAAAATAATCATTTTGAATCCTTGGCAGATATTAAATTTTCCTTCTAATTTATCTCATGTTTGCGCGATGAGTTGTAATATTGATTACATTACTGTAATACACATGCTTTTTTCATTTGTTTGTAGATTCTATTTACATGACTGGCATCAACGTTTGGAGTGGATATGTTTCAGAGGACGTGTTGTCTAAAGTCACATCAGAGTGCTTGCCACAACTATATGGGAACATTATTTCATGGACAGACTTTGACTCCCACCAAGCTTTTCCTACAACCTCCTCGACTCCCTCAATGTGTGATGGTAAAATATGCATTTCACATATCGTCTGTCCATAGCCATACGAGCGTTCACTCTGTGTTAGAGTATATGAGTTTTGGCCCAAGTGGCGCCAAACAGACAATATGTGTCTTTCAAAAAATACATCATATTCTACACGTACCAATGAAAAGATTATGTACCTCATTTTTTTAATATCCATAAAATGATATAATGCGCATGGCAGTTAAACTATAAGACGTTTTAACAGTTGATAATAAAACGGGGGTTAATAGGCTGAAAGTAGTAGATCTCCAGACAAAAATCATTGGAACTTGAGATGAGACAAGCAAAACCTTCTATGGGTCTATTTCTAAGGCTCCATAGGAATTACCTGGTGAATATTTTAAAATTATGAAATAACCAGCTCTTCAACCCCAACAAGGCTACACACTGAATGTCGCTTTTTAAACATTCTGTATATGGTTTGTTGTAGATACTGACGAATGTGAAAGCCTGACCCCCTGCCAAAATGGAGGTACTTGCGTGGACAAACTTCGCTCCTATACCTGCCTGTGTCTTGAAGATTATGAAGGAATAAACTGTGAAAAGTTTATCGACCTGTGCAACAATGAGAGCTGTGAGAATGGAGGATCCTGTGCAACCGTGAATAGAACAACTCACTGTTCATGTCCTGATAGATTCTTTGGAGAGTTTTGTGAGCTGGAAATCAGTAAGTACGAATAAGTGGACAATAGTCCTACAAGTATTTGCTTATTTAAAAGTTATACCATGTGGAATAAAAAAAAATGTGAGTGCAGTATGCTTAGTTATGCTTTAACGAACCCCAACAGTAAACCACACCAATTTACCCTCAGCGTATGTAAAGAATCCTTAAGAGTTCATTATGAATAGTTTACAAGATCTTCTAAACTCTATTTTGATTACTTTGGCATTTCTCATCATTTATTGTTGAAATTTCTCTTTCTACAGTCAATGGTGGTTGGAGTAATTGGTTGCCGTGGAGTCCATGCAGTGTACCCTGTGAAGGTGGAACTCGAAATACTTCAAGGGAATGTACCAACCCACCACCTAATGATTATGGACAACCTTGTCATGGAGAAAATACAAAACAAGAACCATGTAATATTCAGGATTGTCCAGGTACGTATATTCTCGTGTGCTCTCCATGTCTAAAGGGATCGTTTAACAATGTTAAATCTGAGATGCACTGCCCTACGTCTTATCAGTGTCTGTGATATGGTATTATATTGAAGCCCTAAAAAAATTGCGCTTCCAAATGATCAAGAAGTGCCTCAAAAAATTAAAAACGTTTGAATGACTACTTTTAGCATACTTGTTTTCCCCAAAAGACTGCAGTGTTATGAAAACCATTTGGCAAACGCAAAATTTGATTTTGATTTTCAATCATTAATATCTTGATAATCAGACAGGCGATCGGCTTGTAAAAGTCATGGGGTTCCTGACTGACCTAAATGTTTATAATTATCATTGCAGCACGAGCTAAATCAAGGAATTTTTTTAAAGGATCTAAGACAAAGTTACCGGATCCCTTTAAATCTGGTTTTGATAAAAGCAGAAACAATTTGAGCGAATCCGAGTAAAAATAAGAAAGTAATGTACTTTTGAAGTTGTCATCAGTGAAACACAAATTGGCAACTTCAATTTGATCTGTACAGAAAATTTCATAAACTCTCATTTTCCCAGTTATTTATGATGTCATAGATTTGTTTCATACAGTGAATGTATGAAAACATATTTACAATAATTGTATTTAGGGTGAAGGTATGATTGAAAATTGTCTTCAGGGAAAATATAGTATTTTGAAGTTTCATAGTGCATGGCAAATGGGAGGGGAGCTCGAAAGATACGTCACAGAGTTGCCAATACATGTTTCATTGATTGCACCTTAACAAAATTATGACTTTCTTACTTTTCATTGGTTTTTGTTCAAACTTTAACTGACCTGTTTCTTTGATTTTGTCTGCTTCCATTAAAACCAACCTAGTATCAGGGTAGACTTCCCCTTTAAAGTCTTTAACCAACGTGCATCTATTGTAGCTGTACTTGCAGCTATGCACAGGACTCATTTGTTTTTTTGTTTACCTTGTAATTATTGTCCCTTACCTTGTAATTATTGTCCCTTACTTTAGAATCAGTTTACCAATACATTTGCTGTATCATTGCGATATTGGATGACAGTACAGACACTATTTGACCTTTTGTTTTATAGGTTGCATTCGTCTGCAGGCTCCCGAGAATGCAACACTTAATTGTTGGAGTGAAGGTGAAACTAAAAAGTGCACAGTCAGTTGTAATTCACCTGATATGAGCTTTCTTCGCCCAGTGGAATCAGAGTATTCTTGTAGCCCTGAATCAGATTACAAATGGAATCATGAAAATGAGTACAACCGCAGAGCAAGTTTGCCTGCTTGCAAGGGTAAGTTATGTTTGATAGTAGATTCTGCCCTTTGGGTTCCTTAATACATGTATTCTTTCTTTGACAGCTGTTGTCATTTTTTAAACTTCATGTTTGTTGAAATAGACATGTGTACACATTGTACTTGTTTCAAGTATCATCTCAAAGAATTATCTGTAAATTTACACTGAAGATCTATCTCTGTTTTTTGTACATGCACATGAACAACTGCATACGATGGGGGGGGGGGGGGGGGGGGTAAAAAAAAAGTCCTGCGTCGTTAGATTGATATTTGAGAAAAATCAAATTAAAGATGCTTATTTTAACGTAACAAAAGTAATTTAAAATTCATGTCTGTGAACAAAATCAATCTCTTAGTCTGGTATTGAACCAGGACAAACAGCAATAAATCCACTTTTACAGAAGCAGAGTAAAGGGGAAAAGTGAAAGAAAGAAGAGTTTAGAGCTAGGATAAAAGAGAGGAGAAAGAGAGAGGGAGGAGAACAGAAGATTTGTACAATAGAGAGGGGAGAGAGAGAGAACAAAGGGGGAGAGAAAAGGAGAAAGAAAGGAAGACCTTTTAATAAAGGGAGAAAGAGAGCATAATAAAACGATAATAAATACGCAGTCATAGAAGTTTAGATTCATTGGGCAACCCAACAACGTGTGGGATTTAGTACTTGATAGGAAAGGAAAACTCTTTCAGATATTTGCAATTCAATGTGATATTTCAATGCTATCATTATAGAGACAATGTCTCCGGATGCTGTGGAGGCAAAGGGCACATTCGCTTATCCAGGTGCTAACTGTGATTCAGATGAAGATCAAGAAAATCTAATGGAGTCCTTCAAATCTACTTATTCGGCCAACAGTAATGGCATTGGCTGCAAGAAATGTGCTCTCTCAAATGTACAGGTAAGTATGTGTATGTAATGCTGTTCTCAATCAGATATAATCTATGTGGTCAATGCTGCTTTAAAATACAAGTATTCTTGATGTGAAAAAGTACTTGAATTAATTTTATATTTTCAAGCTGTCTTGAAGCCATGCAACAACAGTTCCATCATCAAGCATTTGAACCATTTGTTCAAGATCTTCTAGTTTCCACTTGGCATTTACAGCCCATTTTTTGATGAAGATGATGAGAGTATCTATTTTGTAATTTTACAAAAATGAAGACATACTGGTAAAGTATTTGGTCTTATAACCATAAGTGGTGCAGTTTAAAGAATGCATTTTCGTTTGTATTATATCAATTTTCTAATTTTCTTTGAAAAACCTTTTCCCCCCTCAAGAACAATTGATTATCACGTCTTTCTCTGTTGCAATACCATCAAGGTCAATAATTGTGGTTCATCAAGGAAAAAACGAGCATCGGAAGACCTACCAATCACCATCTCATTCACTGTCAATATCAATGACACAGACAGCAATAGTAAGTCAGAAATGTACTTTCTTTGATTTGTCAAGTTGAGTTGATGTTAAAAATCTTAAAATGTAGATTACCAGTGATGCATGTTACCTTTGGAGAACAAAATTAGTATTTAATTTCCCAATCTTAAATTGAATAACCCAATATAGCATTTATATACAGGACAGGTACATATTTACATATATAGCATAGACTCAAAGTGCACAATGAGGACAAAAAAAAAAAATTAAAAGCAAGGATGCAACATATTTTGTTTACTGCTTTTTTTAATATTTTTTACATGCAATCCATTTTACGGTTATGATCAGGGAAAGCAATTAAAGTTAACTTCTATTAACCCTAATAAGGCCGGGCTATTTGAGGTCTTAGTATGGCCGGGGGGGGGGGGGGGGGGGGGGGGCATTATGGCCCCCTCTTAAGATCTCGGCATATATTATTCATATTTAAGCATTCTTTTTCACTATATATATTCATTAGACCATTCTGAATAATAATATGACAAAAAAATTTGGAAGAGCCAGCTTATTTCTCATGTTATCCCTTGTTTTGATAATTTCTTATGTATTTCATTGTTTTTGTTTTATTTCATTTCTTACTACAATTCAACTATATTGACTCCCAAAACAACCACCTAAACTTTAAACAAGACCCAATAACCCATGTTTGATCTGTTTTTAGGAAAAATGACTTTTCCATATGTTTTGTACACAAATCACGAAAATGAGCGATTTTCAGGCTGACATGCAATGACAAAAGGTCACGTGACCTTGTAAGCGTAGGTCCGATTTTCAAAAAAATTCTTTTAAAAGTTGCGCAAGACTCGAAAGAAAAAAGTCAGCGAGCGGCGGGGCGCCATGCGTTCCCGAGCAATCAGAAAAATCGTCCTTATTAGGGTTAAACAACGTGTGTAGATGCTATTATTGCTTTTTTGTATTTTATCTTGTTCTATTAGCTACGGTGGCAGAATCGTTTGATGCATTAAACACCGGTTTTGAGAACCTTTTGGAAAACGGATCCTTTTCATTGATGGTAAATGGTGAGCTCATTAGAGTTGACCTGAATCAAAGTACTGGAGATGTCAGTATTACTTGCCCGCAAGGATCCGGTTGGTCTGATAATGCAAATTGTGGTAAGTCAATCAGGTTACAGGGATTTGCCAGAATTGCATGGAAACTCAATGCTAAACAAAATGAATTCTTTAAGAAGAAGCCGTAAACATACCTCGGCGAAGTGAGTAGAAAGAGTACAACAACATTATTATTAGCATTTGTGAAATTTGTAACCATACATAAGAAGATCTGCAATTATGCTTGAGTCATGTTAAAAGTAGTACCCTTTCAATATTGAACAAAAACAAATTAAAACCTCGTTTTCCGCACCCCTCCAAATTACGGGTAAAGAGGGGTCAAATTGCTGCAGTTATGATGACAACATGACATGCTGACCCGATCGGCTCACCTATGTAGCTGAGGCATTGAACCATACTTAATTGATGTAAGTGAAGTTATTGTGGATGATGTCAAGTCGCTAGCTATTTTTAGTATTACGTTCTGATTTTCAAAGTTGTAGATTTCAAGTTTTTTTGAGAGAGACCTGTTACTCCTGTGAATAGCATATAATTTATATTATTGTAATGTATGGCTCATAAGCTTTCCGTTGATATATAATTCATCCATTTTTCACTTCCGACAGGGTCTTTAAACTACATGTAGATCTACATGTGTCTCAGAAAATTTGTTGTTACAACAACAAATTTTCTGAGACACATGTACATGCAGTATAAAGACCCTGTTGGAAGTGAAAAATGGATGAATACACATGTACATATTTAATTCGAACCTGGAATGGACACACAATTTTGGTGGAACGCTAACTTTGTTGACCATGACATTATCAAACAAAATGTTTTTACACATTTACACTGCATTTGAATTTCAAAGGGCAGTTTTACAGTAAGCTTTTACAGTCCCTTCACAAGTATATATAATGCATATATAACATGTATCACAAGTACATGTATACCTGCCAAACATGCTTTTTTTTATTTGGGCTGTTAATCAAACCTTGCAATCTTATTCTCCTTGAACTTAGGCAAAATTAATAGTCTTAATATTATTGGTAATCAATTATCTTAGTCAGTATTATGGCACATCAAGTGGGTAGAAAGAGGAGTTACATAAAGATACAGGATATTTGACATTTTGCAGCACTCCCGGTCAGTTTGTTGGATTCAGCGGTATCATAATTTTTAAATATTTATCGTAATATTTTTTTCCAGTTACCTGCTCTGTTGGAAATTTCGCCTACATTGTGCCCAATACCACTGCTGTCCTGTGTATACCCTGCCTGCTACATACATACCAAGATCAAGAAGGACAAGCAGAATGCACTCCATGTCCTGCAGGCTTAATAACAAATGATCCTGGAGCTGATGATATCAGTTACTGCATAGGTAAGGACCCTGCCTGCTTCATTGTCCTAAAATGATCTCATGCAGCATATTTCAAAGCCTACGCTTAGGCTAGGCCTCATGCTTAAGTCCAAGATCACTCATGTAGATGACGCAGATTTGATCAACTGAGAATTTCGCAGTAATCAGATCTCTGATCATTTTGCCATTTGTGCTTCCCCGCGAGTAAATCACTAAGAATAATTAGATAGTAGGTTGCACAACATGGGGTGACAGAGCCTTCTACTTCTCTGGACCTAAGCTATGGAATAACCTTCCAACAATCTATCAGGAGTATTTCAACGTTCATGTCATCCCTCAAGACTTTCCTGTTCCCAGCTACAACATCATCTCAAGAATAATACCATTGACAACAAAAACTATTGGAAAATAACCTTAATTCAAAACATTGAATTTGTGAGTCGTTAGAGAGCAAGTGCCATGAGCACCCATCAGAGACGGACATTATTCCATCATTCTATTATTTGCCAATAGAAACAGTTGTGATGCCATTCATCAATAAAGCATCATTGGACAGAAGTTTGCAAAGCTATAGATCATCCTATTTCAATTGTTATAATAATAATGATAAAAGAGAGATCTTGTATAGCACTCATGTCTGTCAGACTTGACACTCCTGGCCCTCCACAATTATTAACAAGGTGTTAGCATGGCTGCCAATATGGTACTGTAGCATTTCAGGAAATTAATTCCTGCCAGGTATCCATTTACCTCATCTGAGTCAAGTGTGGCAAAATTAGATTAATATCTTGCCAAAGGACATTAGTGCTGCAGCGAGACTGGGAACTGCAGACCATGTGAGACTCGGAATCGCGGACCATGTGAGACACGTTCCAGTGACATATCCACTCGACCACAACACCTCTACCTGTACCTGTACAGTTTCATGCTAAGATCAAAGAGCGACTGATGCTCAGACGTCTTGTCGAGTACATCAAGGATACTGAACATGCAGATTCATAACAGTCAGCGTACAAACACTGTCACAGTTCTGAAAAAAGCACTACTCTAGATTCAGACAGATGCAGTGATTGCTTGCCTGAATAAGGGAATGACTCCGAAGTAAAATCCTGCTATATACATTCATATAAGCAGGCTTTACCGTTTAACTTCTCACCAAAGTTAACAATTGACCAAAAGAAGGCCAGCATACATACATGTATAAGTTAAGGCTTTCTCAATAAGCTATAATTAGTAACAGGCATGTAAATGTACATAACTATGTGCATGTAAGTGTAAACTTGAGTCCGAATCATTCTGGATCATTCTGTAAGTCACCTTAATTAATGCATGCTATTTCCTTAAAGAATTTTAATCTGATTGTAATCACTTCCTTCCTTTCTTATTTTCTTAATATACAGAACCATGTCCACTTGGTCATTACCAAGATGTTTGGTCAGATCCTAGTAACACTACATGTATTCAGTGCCCTCTCGATACTTACCAAAACGAAACTGGACAAGAAAGCTGTTTCCCTTGTCCCACTGGATACATAACTCTGGAACCAGGTGCAACAAATGCTTCTGACTGTGTTGGTGAGTCTCTCTGACCTTTATTCTGTTGTCCCCATTCCCGCCTAATTAACCTTGTTCTTTTTTCTGTTGTCTTTTATGAAAAGTTAGCCCACTGAATATTCATCCTCTCTACCTGGATTTGTCACTTTCACACTGATTACTATTAGTATTTTGTAATGGAATGGGTTTGCTTTAATAAAAAATAATTAGAGACTTCGGTGGTAAGCGCTTTATAAGTAACGTTTTTATTATTATTATTATTATCAATAATGCATCACATGCAATTTTTGGGACATGTGATGACATTTTCATTGGTTTTTCATTGAAGAAAGAGTACAAAAAGTATGATTTAAACCCAATATTTTGTGTATATTGTTTTGCCTGGGTAATGGAAGCATGAATTATTAATGTAAGCATCTATTTCCAGTGTTGAGAACCAAGAACCAACAGATAATGGTGTATCATTGCAAGGGGAAACGAACAGGCTAATGATTGATAAGTGAGTGCCAATGCCCATTGTAAGCCTACATATATGTTCAAATTACGTTGAAAACATAATGAAAAATCTGTTGTCATCAAATGCTATTAGAGAGGTACATTTATGTATTTTACATTTCATGTATCTTTTTAGCGGTGTGTAATGCAGGGCATTACGTGGATCTGTCAAACAAGACCAATCCACAATGCCCACCGTGTCTACTCAACACATTCTTAGATCTTGATGTGCACCAAGAACAAGAATGTATTCCATGTGCTCCAGGAATGATTACCATCCAGAATGGATCTTCACAAAGTACTGACTGTCTTGGTAAGGAGACAAAAAATATATTCAATCATCGATTTTTGACATTATGTATGGGATTATTATTTTGATGCTGAGTTGATAATCAGGGCTTGGGTGTATACAGTGTGAGTCAAAAAAAAAGTTTACACCTAGAAAATTGCTAATTATTTTAACAATCATCTATGAACAGTAAAGTATTATACATCTTATGAAAGAGTGTTTTATCCTGAATCATTTAGTATCACTTTTGTGTGGAATGTGTTCACACTTGACTGGATATTAGGTGGCGATGGGGATTATCTGCATTCTAGCATTGTTGGGTCATCCACAGATCATTCCAGTAAGACGACGGTGGCTCCCTACATGCCTCGTTGATGATTGCCAGGAAAATAATAGGTCCAAGTATAGTCCCTTGTGGAGCCCCTGCAGAAACTTTCAGCGAATCAGAGAGCGTTGTTTGATATTTCATCCTCTGTTGTCGTTTGGTGAGAAAGTTCGCTATCTATGCTACAGCACCAGGACAGACGTTCATCTGGAGCAGTTTGAGGACAGCTATACTGTGGTCTATCCTATCTAGTTTGTTGTCACCATTGTAGTAATGATTTTAGGCTGGTCAGCATTGCTGTGAATCATTTGTATGAGATCAATCAAGTAGTGAGAGGTGGATATAGCCCTCATGTTCCCGAATTGTGCTGGGTCTATGGTGCTCTCCATGTTGCTGAAAGTCCATTTAGCAATGAATATTTCGGCTATCTTGGCAAAATGATCAGTCAAAGATACTGGTCTGAGGTTATTGATTGATGCTTGAGATGTCTTAGGAATAGGAACAACATGCACTCTCTTCCACCACTCTGGTACAAGGGACTGACTAAAAGATGCGTTTAGAATATCAGTAACGGGCAGCAAAGCTTCTTGACAAGTCTGGCGGACCACATTTTCATGAGGGATTTTAAAGATGTCAGTGGCTTTGTACCAATCAGGTCGCAGATAATCTTGAAAGTTACCCGTGAACAACTTGTAAACTAATGTATATTCATTTGTCATGTAATTGATTTATTTGTGCAGTGTCATGCATGCCAGGGAGCTATCTGGAAAGTTCATCATGTACTCCATGTCCTCTAAACACCTATCAAGACCAGACCAATCATCGTGAGGAATCCTGCATCCTATGTCCTAGCAACCTGATTACTCTTAATGAAAGTTCAGACAGTCTTGCAAACTGTACAGGTATATACAAGCAGTCTTTAAAGATTTTCTTTCAATAATTTATGACTGGTAAAACATACACCCGAAGTCCTAACCATGGCATCAAATCGATGACTAACAATGAATATTGTGCTGTCTCAAAAGAAATTGTAGATTAAAAAAGAAATTCACAGTACTATGCATTTTTATCTCAAGCCGTACATATTTTGCCTCATTTTAAGTTGTACAAGGTAGGTGCACACACAGTTTAGCCATTGTTTGTGTTCATTCTAGTTTATTATGATTATAGTAAACTGAATTGTCTTCTTATTGAGGAAGTTTGGAGATGCTCCAAGCCCCACAACAGACAAAATGCACTACATAGAATCGATTGGAGATGAGTACTTTAATTGGTACATGTACCTCTGCTGATATTGTACATTAACTATGCAAAGGGATAATACTGTCGTTTTGTCATGTTTCAATAGAACGCTAATGCTGCTTATGATGTTGCTATATAAAAATGTATACATTCTTATACTTTCTATGTCAATTTTCCTTTTTTTTCCCCCTTCTTTCCTGGTTCTTTCTTATCACATCTTTTTCTTTATTGTCTTCTGTTGCACTTTTATGTCAATATAAGAAAGTGTTAACTTATTTGATAGTGGGAATTCATAATCGTCTTGTTCAATACCTTTATCATTCCGTGATATTCTCTCTTTCTTCTTACAACTGTCCCTACTTCTCTGTTCTTTACTTCACATAAGCTCTCTTTCCCTTTCTCTAGATATCCTTCCCCTTCTTCTGGTTCGTTTCCTTCTTCCTCTATCAGCTTCTTTCTCATTTTACTCTTTCTTAGTGCTCATTCTATGGGTAATTTTACTTAAATGTCTAAGATGTCAACGCCTATGTACATTTTTCACTAATATTTGGTTATTACCGTTTTTGTTGTTCATATATGTATTTGTATTGCTTGCCAACAAAATCCCATGTAACATTTCCATATATTAAACAAATAAACTAAATTGAATTGATTGAGAGTATAAACATGATAAAGGGATTACAGGTAGTTCTTTATGGTTATTTATATGTAGTTGCACTAAGTTCCAAGAACATATTGTACAATATGATACATGTATACATGTAGATGTTATATACCAGTATTCATAAATGTGGCATTAAAGATGAAGTTGAGTTCTAGTCATGCGATTGCATTGTGAAAGAAACGGTGGGGAACCGACCAGAAAAGGTTGATCATCTAGCATTTGTGTGTATTGCAAGGTTCTGGAATCATCAAAATGATAAGAAATTTGGCCAAATCTTGGTAAAGTTACAAACACTTGCACAGAAAGATGTATATGGGACTACACGAACACGTGGCGTAAAAAGCCGGCCCCCGATTTTTACGATGTTACATGCATATTTAGAATATGAAGGCATTTGAAGAGCCATGCTTTTCAGGGAACATGTCTTAACTGATGTTCTTCCACACTTGCATAATAAGAATGAGTAATGCTCACAAATTATTTTTCACATCTTCCCAGAACTCAGCCTTCTCTTTAACATGATTGTTGCAACAATTCATTGAAGACAAGTACTTATACTATTTAATACTTTTGATGAATCTGTAAATGCTATATATTTTCTTTTTTTACTTTCAGATCCACAGGAACCAGGAAGTCCATTTATTACAGGCCAGAACAACTTAGTCACAATTGTTGTGATTGTTGTTGTTGTCATCTTAGTCCTCTTGGTCATTTCTCTTGCAGCGGCTTCTTGCTACAAAAAGAAAAATAATAGGTACATGTGATGTTTCATGTATTTTAATGGAAATTTGAAATGTTAATGATTCAGAAAATTCCATACCATTACCTTGTAGGATGTAAAAGTTCATGTGGTTGGACGAGCAAGTGTGCGCTTGTAAAATGGCAACTGGCTGGAATGCTCCCCAGGGAGTGGAAAATGTGCACACATTGTGTGCGGGTAAACTTGAATCCAATGACCGGTAATACTATATCTGTAAAGCGCTTAGGCACATCGTTATATCAATGTATTGAGCGCTATATAACAGAATATTATTATTATTATTGTGTCTTTCTCAAATTTCTTATGTTACATGTGTTTAATAGAAATGCCCAATTACTTTTCATGACGAAAACTCGTCGTTTAAAATTGAAACCCCCATTTGACTTTCACCATTTCTACTTGTACTAGAGCTGAGATTGTGATAAGCCCTAATTAAAAACACTAGCGCTGTAATCCACCCCCACCGAGACCTTGATGAGGTGATAGCGAGAGAGAGATAAGCATGATACAAGGGGAAAGGAAGGGAGAAGGGAGAAAGAGACACATGCAGGGGTTCGCTGCCAGAGTTAAAATTGTTGTTATATCGCCAATTATGGGTCATTTTGCTTCGTTCGAACTTTCATTTGGTCTTCATCTAAATTATTAGTGACTTTAGGACATAAAAATATCTTAAAACAAGTAAAATACTTATTTCCTACTTCTCATTTCCTTTCAGGCAGACCCCAGTAAGAGTTTGTTTACACTAGTATTACGTAAGATGATGTAGAGTCAGCTGCAATCCAATATCTTAATCTCTCACTCAGAGCCTCAAGGCTCTGTCCAAGTTTTTAACGAGAGAATTGAAAGTGGGGTAGTGAGACCCCATCAGATTCCAATTGGTGCCTGTGTAATAGTAGTAGCTCTCTCAAAGTTTTAACGAGAGAAACGAAACTGGGGTATTGCTACCCCACCAGATTACAAAGTTTTAACGAGAGAAACGAATCTGGGGCAGTGCTACCCCACCAGATTACATGACTGCTGTGCTATAGTGGTGGGGTATAGTTTTAACGAGAGCTTTTCGTAATGTGTTTTTGTAATAGATTAGTGATACATTACATCATCTGAGCAGCAGCGAACCATTTTGATTGGTCTATTTGGGGCTCTCCTTGCAGGGGCTGCTGGTGTGACCAGCTTTCAACAATTATACCTGTGAACCGGCAATTGTATGCAATTACACAATATATACCAAAACAGGTCTGAGGAAATACATGTGTTATTATGGAGACAAGACCCTTCACATGTATATACATTTGCAGTACTTTTAATGGCATGTGCACATAGTAGCATAAAGCTTTCGTAGTCTATTACTCAGAATTTATGAATGTCTTTTAAAATCTACACTGTTTAAAATGATTGATTAAGTACATGTAATTAATTTTGAATGATTCTATTTTCAGATACACCAAAAGGTCTTCGTCTATTACCCCTACACCACATCTTCCCATGTATGAAATTGAAGATTCCAGGGAGAGTTCCAACCCCCATGTAGGCATTGGTCAGGACAATGTATATACTGAACAACATGGCTTCATGTCTAGCTCTTGTGATCAAGTTGATAACGAATCAGCGCCCTACTGTCAGACCCCAGTTGAGAATTTCAGAACAAACTTTGAGGTTGACGAATAAACAATTAATGTCATCATGATAGTCAGAATTTTCAACAATTATGTGAAACAATATATCTATTGATCACAAAACTTAGGTAACTAAGCAAACTGTGGCACCAAAATATGCGTCCAGAGAGCAAAAGACATACTAGTTAGTGATGTTTGTTAATTCTGTTTTTTTTAAATATCTGATTGTATACAGTATAGCCACATCCAGATGGTTTCTGCAGTTACCAGCTGCATATTCTTATAATGGGGTCCTACGTCTGTGTGAAAAAACTACGATTTCCAACAGTTATGCATTTTGTGCTCTGGATGCATCTTTTCATGCCACTACATTTGGCTAACCTACCATAGATAACTCGAACATAAAGTTACCATAAAAATTCAACACACATACATATGTATGCATCTACTGCTGTATGTATTTGTATAGTGGGATGCTATTACAATTGTATTGGCGTGTGTGCTTGTGTGAGTGTGTGTGTGAGAGAGAGAGAGAGAGTCATTGTGTTTATTAAGGAATATTTTGTAACAAATCTACAACATTTATATAGCTTACAGATATGAGATGGCCACAATGATTTTGACTTCACAAACAAGAATATATGAGATATTTTTGTGAGGCCTAGAGTCACGACAGTCTTATTAGGGAACAAAGAGAATTTCAATACAAATTACTTTGTGGGGCGATGTACACAAAGGAGTATTTATTTAAGATTGGTTTTGTTGGTGATGACGAGTGTTCTCTCTGTGAACAAAGTGCAGAAATATATTCGCATTTGTTTTGGAACTGTGACATCCAAATATAAGTAGATTCCTGTTGATGTGCAGGGCTGCATACAACTCATATTTTGTACAATCGAGCATACAATACCAACATAGGAGTTGCTATGTCAGACGAGCTGTATCATGACCAGGAAAAGAAAGTTAATGTGAAGGGATTGTATGAAAGAATGCAATTCTTTTGTGAGCATGGATGTGCTGAGCTGGGAGAAATTACATACAACTGTCTCTTGTGAGCCCACTAATGATTGACAGATGATGTCACAAGATTAATCAGATCTAGAGCATTTTTTTAGGGTGGAGCTTAGCAGGTCTGAGAAAATTATTTTTAGAAATATCAAAAAATGAATGAAATATATTTAGATGTTTGAATAACAAAATATCAGTTGTATGAAGCCCTGCACATCAACAGGAATCAACTTATATTTGGATGTCACCCGACCTTTATGTACAGTTTTGATGTCATGATACTATCAAGATGTAAGAATTAGTGGAACTTAGAAATGCAGATTGGTAGGATATCCATGTCGGAATTTTAGGAAACTCCCAAATAGTTAGATGCTTTAAGACCAGTTATTTTCTTGATTAAAAAAATGATTTATCGGGCTAGAGCAAACTTAATAATACCTCTGCCAGTTGAAGTACATAATATATAGGGATGAAAAAAAGGAGATAGCAACACAAGGTCTTAAACTAAGTTTACATTTGCAGAAGTGGGCAGAAGTGGTAGAAATATTAAAACTGACTGGAGTTTTTTTCTTCCAGTGAGCAGGATGTGCGTGTGTTTATATTTAATGTTTTCTTTAATTTCATGTTATATTGTTCCATTCCTTGATTATTTGTTTATTATTAGTATCCCTATGTTTCCATTCATCGTTATAGAATGGATTGTTTGTTTTGTTTTTTCTCTATGGAATTGTTTAATGAGATATAAACAAACTGTATTAAGAACAAAACAGAAATATACATAGGGTGTTTTTTTTCTGGGGGTGGGGGGGGGGGGGGAGGTATTTTATGTTATATTGTTTCCATTCTGTCATTATTTGTCATATCATTGAAACGTATGAGCTTGTTTTTTATATTATCTATAAAATGTAATTTAGTTTCCTATGAATATGTTGAATGGAAGGCAATGAATAATATTCACACACAAAAAGGGGCTGTTATATCAAATCTTTGTTAGTACATGTATTACTGGTAGTGCCAGTAATTTTTGTATATTATTTGTAGTAGTAGTTTTGGTAGTAGAAATATATTGATTATCATTATAAATATCATTATTATTATTATTATTATCGTCACTACTGCTATAATTATTTTTGTTTTTAGTAGTAGTATTACTATATTCATTTGTTTTATTATTATTATCATCACTACTACTATAATTATTATTATTATTTTTTTTAAAAATTATTTTCAATAATTCTGTCATGGAGGCTAATCGTATAAAATTGTTTGATGAATTTTAGTAAAACGATTAGGTTCTAGCAAAGAGGAATAATTGCTATGTGGAATAGTTTCAATTTGAATTTCTTGCATCTTTGTATATGAATAGTATTCCTGTGTTCATCTTGATCAGGTTGATATCGTTATATTTCCTATTTCTACAAGTTAACAATGCTGTATTGTTATAGTGGGATGAAGTTCGGTTTGTTTGGCCGTTTGTGTTTGTGTGGGCGTGGGTGTAGGTATATGAGAGAGACAGTGATTGTCTTTTGTAATGGGTTGTAATATCATTTCCTTGATTTTATGATTATGAATTATGTATAAAATACTTCTTGAATGTTATACTGTTATGATGTTAGGTAGTGGTATATTATGTACACAGAGATATACACTTTGCTGTTAATACTGACGAGTGCTTTTTAAAGTCATTAATCATCAAACTAGGCCTACATGTATTTTGCGACTGCTGTCTTTTGAAGTGCATATGGTGGAAGGGCTGTGATTGCAGTTTTGTGATATTTACATAATGATAATTTTCCCTGTATTCACTCTTATCCCACAAGACAAAGAGACAATTTCCATCTCCCCCCAATCCCAACATTTTTTGCCCAATATTTTGTTCTTCTTTTGTGCCCCCCCTCCCCCTCCTCCCTCCCCCCCCCCCCCAAAAAAAAAAAAATCATGCTGACCAATATTACGCTCATTGAGGGGGGGGGGGGGTGGGGGTTTAAGGAACATTATTTTATTTTTTTACTCAGTACCCCCCCCCCCCCCCCCCCCCAAAAAAAAAAAAAAAAAAAAAAAAAAAAAAACACCGCCCTTGCGTACGCCTCTGTATATACTACATGTTCACGTTGATTTTTTTGTTGTTATATTGCTATTACTACTGTGTGTGTATGTGTAAGAGAGAGTTTAATGTTTTTTCATATTATTTAAAGTTGTAATATTTGTAGTAGTAGTTGTCGAAAAGAAGTACTATTATAATTATTATTACTGCTATTATTTTTATTGTAATTATAACTACAATTATTATAATTTGTTTTATTAGTAGTAGTACTATTGGTGTTATGCATATCATTTTTAATTATTTTGATACTATAATTATTATTATTATTATATTCGTTATTATTATTATTTTCGTCATTATTCTCTCAACAAGGCTAATTTCTGTACAATTGTTAAATTACTCTTAGAAAAACGATTGGGTACTAGCAAAAAGGGATAGTTGTAAACAGTTTTGAAGCTCCAGCATATAGCAATTATCAGAATGGCATAATCAAAAGAAAACCTTACAACAAGCAACTAAAGGTAAAGAGACCAGTTTTGTTGTTGTCATCTTTCGAATTGTCCTTCAGGTTACATAATGTCACTTTTACATCTACAATGTAAAGAAGATACAGTACATTTCATCTTTTGAGAAATTAGTATGACTTTTTGAATATCATGAGAAGAAATGAGAAAGGCACTAAAGAGTGTGTTTTTTTATTTTCCAACTTGTTGTTTTGTTAGAATTAAATCGTTTGCCGTGTGCTGTGTTCAGTTATATATTTTTGTATTTGTTGTATTTTTATTGGTGTTTCAGAATGAGGGAAGAAAATTGAATACATACAGTATGTCTATGAAGTGCATGACAGTTACTTTTGTGATGTCCTGTTTTTACATGAAGCTTATCATCAGGGAACCCTTCTCAACGGTAACTGGGGATAGCAAAACAAAAGTTTACATGATGATAGTTGACAAAGGTTGTAATTATTCATACCCTCAACTAAACAGCGTCAATTCAGAAAGAGAAGGGCCTGAAGTCTAATGTTTTCTTTCGACTAAAGGCTCTCTCTCATTCTCAACTGACGAGAACATATTAAAGTGGTGGAAAGAATAATTCCATGATCTCTCTTTTGGCATGGGATTCAGATCTAGCGGCATTGCCTTTCTGTCCCCCATCCCCCTTTTTTCCTTATATTTCACTAGCGTTCAAAGACCGCAATTCAAGTGACGCGTTCAATTTTTACATTTTCTTTTGGAAATCAAAAAATTATGAAAGAATGATCAATGCCCTATGTATATGTATAAGCGAGACTTACTTGCTCAAAAACAATTTTATAACTGTCAGCTTTAATGATGAATTTAATTAATATTGTTTTATGTCAATATTGCAGCTAATTTCAGAAACTTCTTTAAGTTTTTGTATTTGTTTTACTTGCTTCCATATGTTTTTCTGATCACAATTTTTTTAGACAGAATAAGGGGGTAAAATCATCAGCTCACTGTTTTTATTTCTTCCTATTTCAAAATATCTTTAAATTCCACTTCCCTGTCCGTTATTAATATTAGCAGTTGTATTTACTTATTGTTTGTAATCGATATCTTTATCTTTTTTTTGGGGGGGGGGGGGTAAGACCTATTTGGCCATTTGATTAGTTCTCAAAACTCAATTTCACATCTTTGCTTCTGTCTCTCTCTTGTCTCTCTGATTTCATCCCATCTTTCTCGTTTGTCCACTCACATTTTATTACAACTACCGGTATCTATATACATGCATGTCATATGCATGGTTTGTTCTATAAAAGAACATGAAAACTATGCACTACATGGCACGATTAATCTCCTCAAAAATATGTAAATTAAAAAAGAATCATTTCCATTATTAAAGAAGACAAGACATCTCTTTTTCTCTCTACACTTTAGTTGCATTCACTGACACATAAAATACATGTCGTTTAATTTAAGTATGGAAAAACGATATATCAAGAATTAAAGTGATAAACATTGTTAGTGTGGGACATGTATATCAACCCATAGCAGTTCAGAGTTCCTTCTTTCTTTCTTAATTTAATAATTTTTCCCTTCTCAAAAGTTGGCAGCGATTAATCAAATTTTCCTACATAATTTCAAAAAACTAAAATGTTTATTGCAAAAACCAATGTTAATAAAATTAAAATTTAATCAAAAGTTGGCCAATTTGTACACAAAAATAGAGATGTTATACTCATAACTGCGTTGCCAATTTAAAGAATTCAGTGATTAGTTACAATTGAATCACTCTCATTCGAGAACGGCACAACGTATTGCATTAGAAATAAACTCAGAATTTCTTTGGTTTTGTTTTTGCTCACCTGCTCATGTTTAATATGGAATTCTTAGCATTCTCGTCAAAAGATAATGAAAAAAGGCACTTAAAGGAATCACTACTGCTATGAGTTAAGAACTACTTTTGATCTTCTTTTCTGCCCCAAAGTAGATATAGATTGCCTTAGCGAAAAATTGTCAATTTGCAAAGTTTTATGTATAGTACTGCAACAGCTAGCTAGGTAATATAAGCAAAAGGTTACTGGTTCCGCCGCTTACTTCATTAATTTTCATAGAAACGCTGAAAATATATACATTAGTTTAAGCAGAAAACTACTGAGTTACATATATAATTTGTAAGATATAATGTACCGCGTATCCCAATATAAGACGATTCTGGGTATATTGTTTGAATATTATCAGGTCATGCTCTATTTTCATAAACGCTAAACTCATAACTTTCATCTTTTTTTGTGGTAATTAGTGCCATTACTTAATTTCTACAAAAATAAGATAGGTGTACAAAAGTTTATATAAAGTTACATGTACTCACAATGTTGAAATAATGACTAACAAATCTTTGAAATAAATCAAATGACTAATATGATCAATACTGTACATTGTATATCAAAATAAAACGAATTCAAACTTAGAGCATTAATATTCAAACGTTATTTACTTTGACGAATACATGTACCGGTAGCTCTTAAATAAAGAGGAACTCCTCACGTTTGGATTGATACTTTTCTTGCACCACTGATAGAGTGTATGTAATAACTTCATTCTGCTTTCTATTAATCAAAAACTTGCAACAGATAACATAATAGCTGTCATCTTCAGCAAGCATGAAGCATGTACTCGGCCAGGCACAGCATTAGTGATGCAAGATTTGTTTTGATGGGAAAGTGAGATGTTCCTCTTTATCCAAAACGTTGGAATAGTAGCCCTCTGACTTTAAATAGCCCTTATTTATATAACATTGTAGAATACATACGTATAAATTAGTGCAATTTGATCTGAATATAGAGAAAAACAAATACAATTTTTAAAATTCTTGAATACATATATATATAAAGTAGTGCAATTTGATCTGAATATAGAGAAAAACAAATACAATTTTTAAAATTCTTGAATACATATATATAAAGTTGTGCAATTTGATCTCAATATAGAGAAAAACAAATACAATTTTTAAATTCTTGAATACATATATATAAAGTAGTGCAATTTGATCTGAATATAGAGAAAAACAAATACAATTTTTAAAATTCTTGAATACATATATATAAAGTAGTGCAATTTGATCTGAATATAGAGAAAAACAAATACAAATTGTCAATATTCGAGATAATTCTTATACAGTGAGTATTAAACAATGTAAACAAAGTAGCTAATTATTAAAAGTCATAATCAATACGACCTTGACATCTGTTTCATTGTAAAGAATTACTTGGTTTCTACACTATGATACATTTTCTTCCACAGATGACTGCATGAGCACCAGAGTGTTTAAAAAGTTTCTTCAAAATCTCCTTGTACCAACTGGTATGTGCTGATGTATCTAATGTCAGTGAGCCTTATACATGTGTAAATCTGGTTTTTAAATCCTTTTAAAATGAAAATACCTGATTCATGCTTCAGTGGTCCATTGTTTAAGGAGTATCTAAACTTGAATAGGACCTCGGGACAGGCGCGTACGCAGGATTTTTTCAAGAGGGGGTTTAAACATTAATAAATCGGCCGAAAATTTCGCAACGACTCAGCCAGCCGCTGAATAAGCGCTGGGGGCAGGGGGGGGGGGGGGGGGGGGGGTAAGAGGACACTTTTTTTTTTTGGTTCCGAAAAAATCGCAACGACTCAACTGGCCACTGAATTTAGCGGGGGGGGGGGGGGTAAGAGGTAATTTTTTTTTTTGGGGGGGGGTCTCGAAATTTGAAAATTTGACATTTTGCTCTGTTGGGGGGGGGGGGTAAGGTCACCTTTTTTAGGTCAGCCATAGGAATAAAAAAATTTTTTTTCAATAATTAAGATTTAATAAATGCAAGAAAAAAACTCATGTCGATAACTACCAAAGATAATGACAATAAACTTTTATATAAAAAAATATAGCACTCCAAGTATAAAGCTATACTATCCATGTTGTATGACATGTGACTCGATGACAAGGGATGCTAGAGAGCCAAGATTTTATCACCATAACAAAGAGAATATCATAAAGTTTGGTTTTAAAAGGGCCCTTTGTTTAGTCTGAGTTGACAGTGCAATCTTTTATATTAAAACTATGGATTTTCCGACTGAAATAGCAGTTCTCAAGGGCTCCTGACCCACATACATTGCTTCAGACAAACTTCGTAAAAGAGGATTGTGATAATACATTTTGGAAAGGCAGTTACTCGGTCATCCATTTCAGATGAGTTATGAATAAGGTATCATTATGTAGAATATTAGTTGCTTATTTGAAGGCCACAAAGGACATCACTTTCAAATGGGAATCAACAAAAGTTTGGTATACATTTATTTTATACGAATTGTTTATTAAACTGTAATATAGTAATATAGCAATCAAAAACTGTTTATCTTCAACTTTTCATAATGAACACTTACACTAGTGAAATTAATGAGTTTAGCATATAAATCATTGATCCTAGATGCGTGTACAAAAAACCACTAGTAACAATCAAGTTTCTGCCTCATTACTATGTTTACTCTTCTTGAAACATCAAACTGGAAGATATTTCTTAAAACTTTGTTGTGTCTCACAAGGAAACTAATAAGATGCTCCAAGAACATTGACATGACATCACTAAAGGAAGTCTGCTTTATTTTCAGTTAGTAAGCACTACATTTTTTTTTATGTTGTTTTTTTTTTTTTGTTCTTAAGTCCTTGTCTGTCTATCAATGTCATTGTGAAAACTGATGTCCAGTCAAAATCCATCAGTGTTATGTCAAATTTAACTGTAAGTTGTATGTTACAAAAATTGTTCATGTCATCTGTTGAAATAGCGGTTTGAAGTTGATAATGTGGTAACATAACCTATATGTTACCATGGTTACCTGCATGTTCTTGCAAAGGTCAGGCAATAAGTCCAAGAACCATGGCTTTGAACGGCTCTATTTACAAACGACTTTAAGTGTAATCATAACGCTTTCACTGGAAGTTCTTCTCTACAACGTTTAATCAATGATAATAGTTTTCTTGTGTGTATGCCTTTGTTTTGAGAGGCCTGTCAAATTGAAGTTACTACCTACATTTACCTTTCATCAGGCAACTCAAGAAAAAAATCTTATCAGACAACTGAGTTTTTACATATTATTCATATGCATTATTATCATGATGACTTTCGGCATGATCAGTTGCTGACTGTTTTGAAGCATCTCCCATCTCCTTCATCTGATGCTGTGATGTCTGATTGAAAATAATATCATTCTTTGCACATCTAAATAAATGCAATAGTACAAATACACTGAAGATTAGAATCTTAAAAAAATATTTGGAAAGTTATTCCATCAAAACCGGTTTTGACATAGACCCAAAATAACACACCTGAAGTAAAAAAAAAAAACCATTGCGTATTTCGTAGTTGTACTTATCTTTGGGCTTTAGGTGACAATTCTGGATTTGAAAGGTAGGAATATATGGCCCTTGATGTTTTCCCTTGAGCAATTGACCATGACAAATAATAGTTTTCTTCTATTTGCAATATGCTACAAACTGGGGGGGGGGGGGGGGTTTGAGGGATAGGGGGATATTTATCTATGCTGGCCCCCCATTCAGTCAGCAGGTCAGCATGACAAGCTTTATCTGAAATGAGGTATGGGTTTGGGTATGTATATTTAATATTTTCTGTTGTAATATATTAAGTTTGTTTAATTACTTCCTTTTTTCAATGAGTATAGACACATTTTCCTTAATGGTGATTTTTTAATGGTGATTATTAAGAGAAACAATAACAGCATTAACATTAATGGATTAATAGAAGGGACTGTTACGAGGAGCAGAAGCAGCAGCTGTTGAACCAAAAGGTCGCCCTCTGGTGTTCTGGCAGTAGTAGAAGTTGTCCGAGGACTCGCTGGCAAACTCTGCTGGGTCGTTGCGCACCACTGCCCCACATGATGGCGCCGATGATGGGGCATAACGTCGCCCTCCGTAACCCCAATTCTCTGCTCCCTCCAAGAACTCTTGCTTGCATTGTTGTCGACGACGAGCAGCAAAGAGGATGAACCAGCAGAAGCAGAGAACAACAACAAGGAAAACACAACCAGCGACTCCCAAAACGATACCAATAATGATCCCTGTTGAGAGACCAGAAGTTGATTCTAGCTGGCATCTGATTCCTTCATATCCATCCAAGCAGCTATGAAGAAAAAAAACATTAAAAGAAAATTTCATATGCACTATTTTAATATTTGGCTAGTTTGGAACTATAACTTTAATCATGAACTGAGCAGTCAAGAACATCAAACAGGGTTCCAAAATATTTTCTGAGAATGAGGCATAGTAGTCAGGTGGCTTAGTGAAATTATCATTACTTGCCGGATAAAAGCACCTTTTTTGGTACAGGACTTCCTTAGGAACTACTAAACGATATTAGGCGGCTAGGAGCCCCCGGCAAAAAATTCAATTTAAGGGAGTGGGGGCGGGAGCATCTTTGGGAGTCCCCAGATAATTTTATAACATTGATTTGTTGTTGTACAAATGCCATTTTTGGTACGGGGCTTCCTTAGGACCTACTGAATGATATTAGGGTAGGAGCCCCCTGCAAGAATATCATATAAGGTTGTGGGGCGGGGGCGTTGCCTCGTAGTTCCCCAAATAACTCAGAAGGTAATATAACATTGATTTGTTGTTGTACAAATGCCATTTTTGACACAGGGCTTCCTCAGGACCTACAGAACAATATGGGGTAGGAGATTGTCAAGTGGATTTGGCGTCATACAAATCTTATGTATTATTATTATTATTATTATTATATTACCTTATAAATTATTTGGGGGCTACGAGGCGACGCCCCCACACCCTTATATGATATTTTTGCCGGGGGCTCCTCCCCTATATCGTTCAGTAGGTCCTAAGGAAGCTCTGTGCCAAAAATGGCATTTGTACAACAACAAATCAATGTTATACTACCTTCTAAATTATTTGGGGACTACGACGAGGCAACGCCCCGTCCCACACCCTTATATGATATTCTTGCAGAGGGCTCCTAGCCTAATTTTGTTTAGTAAGCCCTAAGGAAGCCCTGTACCAAAAATGCTGCTTTTATTCGGCAAGTAACGATAATCAATAAATATGACACTAAGCCACCTGACTATAGATATAAAAATTAGAAAATTAAAAGTGCTGCACCTATTTCTGTGTATGCTGTTTGAGGTCACTAAATCATGTGACTGAACTCAGAGGAGTCAGTCAGTGATCACTTGTTTAGGAATGAATATCTATTGATTTTCATAATATATTTCATGTTAGACATAACAATTTCCACAATATTTCAATTACTGAAAAAAGGGTCTGTATACAAAAATTTATTCAATGCTACAAAAACAAAAAACAACATGTACACCAGTAAATCATTTTTGCATTATATCAACTCACATGCAGGAGGCAACCCCATTGCTGTCAACTTCGCAAGTGCTGTTGTTTTGGCAATCCAACTCCTCACATGAAACTGGGAAAATACAGGAAGAAAAATAAAATAAAAAGTTGTTCCAATACCACTGACTGGCGAGATATATGTACATTTGACGGAGATTACAAGTTGTCGCTTAAGGGTTATCTGGGTTCTTTATCATAGCACATAATTGATATACTCAATTTAGAGGCTGGGTACACCTAGGTGAGATAGAGATGAGACTGGGTAAAGGTGATGTCTACACTCTCTTCTACATGTATAATACTGCTTTACACACAGACAAAACTCAAGTATGACCTTTAAAGCCACTGCAATACGGTTGTATAGAATTTGCAAATACATGTATCCTTGCATGGGAATAGCATAGACAAACAGTTATAGATAGCAAAGAGCCCAGTTGAAAGCAATCCAATTATATGAAATATGTATGTAACAATTACAATAACATGATATTCTTTTGAAGACTTACCTGGAATTTCACAAAACGTCCCTGTGTACTGTGCGGGGCATCTTAATTTGAAACATAATAGAATTAAAAAAAAGTGAGATTAAATGCACGGCCCCTACAGAAATAATACGCATCTGGATGTTTGCAGTTTCAACCACACAAAAAAAAATGTACTAAATTCTCTTCCTAAGGATCCAGCTAGACATATATTTGTGTTTTCAACAAAAATGGGGGAGTCATGATCGATCTTACTGCAGTAATCTAGCACAAAGTCATACATTACTTATGTTACTTTGCCACTTCCTAACAACATGTACATAAGAAGTCAACCTACAGTGTACATGAAACATGGCTTCTAAAGAAATATCCACCTCTACTTTGGAAGAGTGAAATCGTCATGTCAGTTTTTTACCAATTTTCACAAATCGCATACCACACTTAACATGCCAAAATAGTAATGAGGAGACGTAATGGCTCAGTAGTAGAGTATTGGTCCTGTAACGGGGAGGTCCCAGGTTCAAAACCAAGTCAAAGAGCTTGTGCCCTTTGGTAAGGCATTAATCCTCATTACAAGGACTTATAGATGTCCGTCCCCTGGAAGTTTACATATAAGCATATAGACATGCTTGCTTTAATAGCAGACATCATCGATCATCAAATATCATGAGAGCAATCTTGCAGCATGAAAATCCATTTTAACCCAAAGCAGTTCAGATTTGTCTAAAGGTCTACATGAATCATCTTTTACTTCTTAAACTGGCAACAATTGTTTGTCGTTTCCACTCTTTCAAATCATAGTTTTACAAAATATAACTAGATGGAACTTTGACTGCATGTAGTCGAAAATGATGCCTCTGCCATAGAGCCATTTTACAAACCGAAACAGAAGCAATCTTTAAAATTCAAGTTTATTTTGTAATCCATTAACAGGTTCCCAGAATATAGTGATTACAAGCTATTTTCAATATATATGTATGACTCTTTGATCGTTGACCTCATAACCCTAAAATCTAATCAGTTCATTGGCTCTGCAATATACATACACTGTTGGTCATAATGGTGGAATAATTATTTTTACCCCAGTTTAGGGAAGGATTTAAAAAAATTATTTATTTCTAATAGATCTAGATAATGGCAAACATTCTCAGATTTTATTGAATATTAATTTGCGAGTGTTTGTTTTGCGTGACTGCTTAATCATATGTGTGCTACTATGCTAATCAGCTAAGGGACCTACGTCCTTAAGTCATAATTGACAGTAATGAGGATTAATACCTCACAAAAGGGCACTAATATGTAGCTGATCGACACGATTTCTATCCTGGGGCCTCACAGTAACAAGGCCATTGCTTAGCCCCTGAATCATGACTGTACGCAGTGTTTGCTAGGGTACGCGGCCCCTTCCACAAATCCCCTAAAACGAAGAAAATGCAATAAATTGTCAAAAATTAATTGCATTTTCCCCCGGCCCCCAACAAGAAAATTCCTCTGTAGGGCCATGCATTATGGTTCAAGGCATGGCCACACAGAGGAATTTTTCCTGTTGGGGGCCGAGGGAAAAATGCAATGAATTTTTCGACAATTTATTGCATTTTCTTCGTTTTGGGGGATTTGTGGGGGCGGCCGCGTACCCTAGCAAACACTGCGTACAGTCATGATTCAGGGGCTAAGCAATGGCCTCGTTACTGTGAGGCCCCAGGATAAAAATTGTGTCGATCAGCTATATTAGTGCCCTTCTGTGAGGCATTAATCCTCATTACTGTCAATTATGATTTAAGGACGTAGGTTCCCTAGCTGATTAGCATAGTAGCACACATATGATTTAGCAGTCACGCAAAACAAACACTCGCAAATTAATATTCAATAAATTCTGAGAATGTATGCCATTATCTAGATCTATTAGAAATAAATAATTTTTTTAAATCCTTCCCTAAACTGGGGTACAAATAATTATTCCACCATTATGACCAACAGTGTACATGTCCTGAGTTTGATAGTAATCCATCTGTCGGTTCTAGTGATAATGCATCACAACCTATTTCAGCATACATAATGAGCCCCATGAGCTTTGGCCTTTGACCTCATGACCCCAAAATCTATTTAGTTCATTGCCTCTGCAAGAGACAACTATGTCCTGAGTTTGATGGTAATCTGTCCATCGGTTCTAATGATAATGTGATCAAGAGCTATTTTTGAACACATTATGAGCCCTGTGACCCCAAAATATAATCAGTTCATTGGCTCTGCAAGATACATATATGTCTGGAGTTTGATGGTAATCCGTCAATCGGTTCTGACGATAATGTGATCACGAGCTATTTTTGCATACATTATGAGCCCTGTGACCTTTTACCTCATGACCCCAAATATAATCAGTTCATTGGCTCTGCAAGATACATACACGACCCAAGTTTGATGGTAATCCGTCAATCGGTTCTGACGATAATGTGATCACGAGCTATTTTTGCATACATTATGAGCCCTGTGACCTTTGACCTCATGAGCCCAAAATATAATCAGTTCATTGGCTCTGCAAGATACATGCATGACCTAATTTAGCAGGAATCCATCAATCGGTTCTTGAGATAACGCGATCACGAGAGCGGGACGTATGGATGGACAACCTGAAAACATATTAGGGACTTTTAGATTTGCATGACAACAATGGGGACTGCTCCGTGTGACGTCCTTGTAAGGCACTGCCAGGGCCTTAAAGGACGTTACACGTGACTGCCAGTGCCTTAAAAGGACGTCACACATAGCAGTCCACGCAAATCTAAAAGTCCCTAATGCTAGTCACTTTGTAGCGGAGACATAAACATGTATTTCATATGACAAAGTGTGCATGGAAGTTCCACAAAATCAAAATGCAATTGCCAATTTGTACACTAAAATAGTGATCATAAATTGCACTCTGCATTGCTAATTTAGTGACAATTATACATTTTTATTAAATCATTCTTATTCACGAATGGCACAACATACAGCAACAGAATTAGTAGTCTCAAATTTCCCAGTGAGTTTTGTACTTTCAGCTCATGTACATTTTGTAATTCAGAGCATTCTCGAGTAAAAAATGAATATAAAAAGTCACAATAAGGTGATATTAACTGTTTTGAGTTAAGTATTGAAGAGGGGGGGGGGAAGTATACAGTCATCATCTTATAATTGGGCAAAGTTAGGATAAGATGATTCTCCTTACTCGCAATATGGATCTCCCATCATGTCTACTTGGCATACTCCTCCGTTCTGGCAAGTATGTCTCTCACAGGCAACTAAAATAGAATATCAAAATATTGATCAGTTCAATCAGTTAACCCTTACTGTACTGGGGGGGGGCCCCCCCCCCTCGACATTTTTGGAGATTGCACCGCAACCGCTTGGAATTTTGAATTGTCGTTTCATGACTGTTTTCCCTGAAGTCTTACGCACATTTTGATACCATTTTCGTCGAAATCGGATATAACTGTAAGGTGTTGCATAACAATAAGTATGCACATGTCATCAAAAATATGCTATAATTGCTTGATGTACAAGCAGAAATGTGAATACAGGTTTAGATGTATTTATTCCTAAGTGGGAGATATGAATTGATATCAAATTGCTTTTATATGTTTCTCAAAGTAACTTGATGTATTCCAGAACAAAAGAATACATTAGAAATAAAACAATAGATATAATACAAAATAAAAAACAATAAAATACAAAAGAAAATAAATATTTGAAAATCGCATCAAATTTGCATAAATTATCATTATTAATTACATCAAAATAACTACTTTGTGTTAGAAAAGAAGTTTCATATGAAAGAGTTTTAATAAACATTAAAAAGTGGAGTCTGACAATTTTTGTAATGATTCTAGTTCCCTGTATATTTCCAGATTTGATATTCATGAATGCGTATTCATAATTTATGTAAATTAACCTATGCATTTTCAAATATCATAAAAATAATGTAACCTCATGAATTTGAGATGAAGGAAACATTTATTCAATACATTTCCAACATTCTTCACAAGTCTACAGACAAATATGTAGAGTTTTCTGTAAAATGAATACATTAGCATTTTGCATAATTAATTAGGCTATAATGACAAAAATTTGCATATTAGGAAAAAACTAATTATACCATCTTGTTCCTTACGTAAATATCTACAAACATGCACATTTTTGTGTTCATCGGACTTTCTACGGCCGAGATCAAAGGGTGGGGGGGGGGTGCTCCCAGCCCCCCCCCCTCCCCCAGTCACGAGATGCTCAAAATAGCCCAGTACAGTAAGGGTTAATGATAATCACATTGACAAACATAAATAATGCAAAAACAAAAATATTAGATAGATAGATCCATTAAATAAAGGGTCTATTATTTTCTTACAAATTGATGTGTGCCTAGCCTATAATTTGATGAAAACTTTCAAATATAATTCCAACAGTACAACTATGTTGAAATACCAAACCTAAGTAAACCTGTGGAAACTGTTGGAAGTTGGTGATATTTTTTCAATCACATATATCTGCATAATATCAAGTTAGGACAAAATGTGAGAAATATTCTTATCTTTCTCTCTTCAACTACATGGTGTATCTATATTGTATTTTGTTTACTTCAAAAGTATTGCACATATCCAATATCATGTTCACGAGATAGATCTTGAATATCATTCCGAAACTGAATGAAACCAAGGAAACCAACTCACCCTTGTTTTCACAGACTGGTCCACCAAAGCCAGGCGGACAACTAAAGAGAAAAAATAGAAATAATCATAACATTAATCATAAATACATTACCATTAAAAACAGTAGAGAAATCTTGTCACTAAGATTGTCATTTCTGATGTTGCATGAAAATGTTTCTCCTTTAAAACATTTTTTAAAATAACTATGCTGATAAAAGAGAAAGTGACATATCAAATTGATTAACCACACAGATCCTTTTCCTCCGTTATTTTTATCATATTTGCCATTTTCTTGAACTTCTGTACATATTATTAATAGTGCTGCAATAATACAATGACACTGATTTTGCTTGCTCTCCTTCCTTTAGAAAAGAAGTCTATAGTAAATCATTAGATTAACCTAGCAAAGAAAGATATCAGTTTCTTTTACATTGCTTACTTCAACCATGCATAAGATGGTGATAATGTTCCAATTATATTTTGGAGAGATGAGGAAGAAGAAATAGAATAGGAAGATAGGATGCTAGATAGAGGAAAAGGGCCACGAGGACAGATTAAACAAAAGAATAAAGAAAATATAACATAATAAGTCTGGTGTCACCAATATATTAGAGGGTGTTTAATAGTAATATGACTTACGAACAAGATGTGGTATCGGTAGTGACATTATACAGGCATGTCCCTCCATTTTCACACGGAGTTGGCTCACACAGGTCTGGAAAGAAATTTTGAAAAAAATATAAAGGAATGTAATTCTTCTAAATCAGTTCTTAATAGTATAAAAAAATAAAGACATTTTCGTTTTTGTTCACGTCTTTGTATCTTATTACACACGTATAACTGCATAAGCATAGGACCATAGCTTTGATTTAATGATTTATTCCAATTGCTGTTCACACAATGCATTCATAAAAGAAACTGGCGGTTTACCGGGCATATATACACAGGGTGTGGTTGATACAGATACTAAGACGACTAAACTGTTAGAGTTTATTGGTTGGTTTCACATTCGCATGCAGATTCAGTACAGATAACAAAATATACATAAAAGATATATTGTTTCATAATTTAAAAGAAATGATTGTAGCAATTGACATCAAACTAGTTTGACAACTATTATCATGTTTAATGAAACCCAGACAAGAAAAGTACAAAACTTCGAAATGTGCAGGAACCTACAGAAAAGCATAGCTTGTAAAGAATAGGTTCCTGGGAGACGTGGAAAAATGATCAGGAAAGAATATGTTTACTTTATAGAGACGTATTCATAATCAAATGTAAGAGGGTAGTAAGAGGGTAGTAATTTGACAAATAATTGTATACAAGTTCAATAAAAATTTGGGACAAATTAATACAGACAGAAAACTACCCAAACTAAGAACTCTCTTAAAGGTACTATGTCCCATTTGCAGGCCAAAAAAATGAAAAGGTTAAATTCCAATGGCATTTGAAAGATGATACTAATTTAGAACTTCTGTCAAAACAAAAGGGTTTGAAAATGTCTTTTTGTGGGAAAATAACGACCATTAGTTGTCAAATCGACATAAGTGATTGCAATCACTTATGTAAATAGTCTGATTTTTAGGCCCTTGTACATATATTATGTTTTGTGCTGCACAAAGACTCAATCAGTTTAATTTTGGCCATTACAAGAAGTTGGTTATTGATGTAGACAAATGCTGCATGTACCTGTTACAGCTCATTTATGTATGTTATTACCAAAGAAAACTAGATGGAATTTTGACTGCGCGCAGTCGAAAATGATGCCTCCGCAATAGAGCAATTTAAACAAGTTTGGAGTTTAAATCTCCAGTGGTTCTTGAGATATCATGATAACAATCTCAATGTATGGAATTTCATAAGTTGACCTCTGTGACCCTTGACCTTTGACCTATGTGCTCCAAAATCTAATCAGATTGTCTTCCTATGGTGATACACACTATCATTAAGTTTGAAGTTTAAATCTCTAGTGGTTCTTGAGATATTATGATAACAATCTCAATGTATGGAATTTCATAAGTTGACCTCTGTGACCCTTGACCTTTGACCTACGTGCTCCAAAATCTAATCAGATTGTTTTCCTATAGTGATACACACTATCACTAAGTTTGAAGTTTAAATCTCCAGTGGTTCTTGAGATATCATGATAACAATCTCAATGTATGGAATTTCATAAGTTGACCTCTGTGACCCTTGACCTTTGACATACGTGCTTCAAAATCTAATCAGATTGTTTTCCTATAGTGATACACACTATCACTAAGTTTGAAGTTTAAATCTCCAGTGGTTCTTGAGATATCATGATAACAATCTCAATGTATGGAATTTCATAAGTTGACCTCTGTGACCCTTGACCTTTGACATACGTGCTCCAAAATCTAATCAGATCGTCTTCCTATGGTGATACATACTATCCTTAAGTTTGAAGTTTAAATCTCAAATGGTTCTTGAGATATCGCGCTAACAAACTCAATACAAGGAATTTCATAAGTTGACCTCTGTGACCTGTGACCTTTGACCTACGTACTCCAAAATCTAATCAGATCGTCTTCCTATGGTGATAAATACTATTCCTGAGTTTTAAGTTTAAATCTTAAATGGTTCTTGAGATATTGTGATAACGGTCAAACGGGACGGACGTACGGACGTACGGACGGACAACCCGAAAACATGATGCCTCCGGCACCACCTTCGGTGGCGGAGGCATAAAAAGAAGTCAATCAGTCCCTCAATAGTGTCTGACAGTGAAGGCTATAAAGTAAACTGGTTTCCTTGCATAACTTGAAAACTAGGACATTGCTAACGTTTAAATTTCACAGATAGGACATTCATGAAATCTTCATGATTCCGGCAATGTTCTACAGAATTTGATGTTGGCTGCAAAAGGGACATAGTATCTTTAAAGCTCAGCCGACTCTGATTATTATTATCAAATAAGTACAAGTACATCCAACCATGCCTATTCCTATAAGAAGGAAGGTGTACTTACTCTCATATATAAGTTCTTCCACATAGACTGTATAAGCATTCCCTGTCCAGTCACTTGGAGAACCTTGGAATCCATTATCACTAGCGATCTGGGCCCTCATCATGGCCTCCATCTGGGATGTGCCGTAGATATCGATGATGAAGTCGACGATGATACTTCCTGGGCGGAAGGCTGCGATGTTACATTCGATATAGGTGTATGGCACATTGACATTCATCCATAGATTAAGCTGGTACATGAACTGCAACATAGCAAGCAAATATAAACAAAACAAATTAGGAAGCTCATCCCTGTTTGAATAGAAGATATTATGGAGGTAGTATGGAGGTAGTATACAGTGTGAGTCCAAAAAAAGTTTACACCTAGAAAATTGCTAATTATTTTAAAAATCATCTATGAACAGTAAATGATTATACATCTCATAAAAGAGTGTTTTATCCCAAATCATTTGGTATCATTTTAGGGTGGTATGTGTTCACGATTGGATGAACGGGAGGCATTGCTTGCGAGAGTGCATAAATCGATTTGCGCCAAAGTTGCTTGTGTGTTGTTTGAATAAGACAATTAGGATTTGGGTATTAATTCATTCTTTGCAGATCAAAATAACATCCCTAACAAAATTAGTCATGCCACACATATCAAATATCGAATATCGAATATCAATAAACATTCGTACGCGTGTGTGTGTGACTTTGCTTCTCCAAAAAGCATATGCAATGCATTTCATTTGATAAATTCAATTCATTCTCTCACTCCGCTTATCCCAAATGAATACATGCTGTAGGCATCACTTTGGCGCAAGTCGATTTTTGCACTCTCGCAAACAATGCCTCCTGTTCATCCAAGCGTGAACACATACCACACAAAAATTATACCAAATGATTTGGGATAAAACACTCTTTCATAAGTTGTATAAACATTTACTGTACATAAATGATGTTAAAATAATGAGCAATTTTCTAGGTGTAAACTTTTGTTTGACTCACACGGTAGTACGAAGGTAGAAGAATACAAGGTATTATAAATTTCTTAGTTTTAATCAGAATTAGCTCAAATTTTGCAAATCTGTTTCTCTCATTGCCCCTTTATAGGCATCAATGAAGCAGTCAAATATCCCAAGGTAAATAGGCAGACTCGAGCTACAGCATAACAGGGCCTTGAGTTTCATAGAACTTGTTACTGATAACAAATTTCAATAACTGTTATAAGCTACTAAAATCATGGCATTTGATTGGATGAGAGCCAATTTGTCATAGAAATTTAGCATTTGTTATTGATAACAAGTTTTATGAAACAGGGCCCAGATACTGCATAAGCACAGAGAGTACAGAGCCTTTTACAGAGGCCAGGTATTTTCTTCAATCACTCACCACGTCACATGTGATGGCAGTCATATTTGAGAATTCAGCTGAGTCTGTGTTTGCTAATGCAGGCGAGTAGGTTACATTATCACCATTAATGCTTTTGTATCGGAAACTCCCAGCCAGTCTTGTAGAATCTGTGAATGAGGCACACAAAAAACACTTTCTTATACTGCCTTTATGGCTAGAACCATGACAAGATATTATATTTTCCATCAAGATCCAATATTAAAAGTACAGAATCAAATAGAACTTGTTTTATTAGCTCAAATCCTATATCCTAAATAATGAAAATTAATTTTTTCTTCCTTCTAAATATAATGCAGGCTTTTAAAAATAAAGGAAATCCAAACAGATGGTATGATATAGCAACTGTGATTGCCCATATAAAACCCTGCAAATTCGTTTATCTATAAAGCATGGTTCTTTACACAGGTTTATACTGTGATTCTACATTATGTCAATTTCATTTAAATGCAATGTAATCATGAAAATAAAATGATGACACTTACACAAACAAATTTCCTTGAATCGTATAGAAGAATTGGTGCAGTAACACTCAAAGCCTGGGTCTAATTCAGTACAACCTTCATTTAGTCCTGAACACGATGTTTCTACCATGCACTCTGAAGCATCTACAGAAAAAATAAAAAAATTAATGATACAATATAATAATCGTCATGAAAAAAGAAACTAAAATGAAATGAGAATATCATTTTGGTTAGTAAAGAAAATTCTCTAATAATCAACATTTCCCATCAAATTAGAAGCACCGTATTTTCAATGTTTACTCAACTGCGTATATACTAAAATGTATCAAAAGTGTTAAAGAACTTTCAGAACTTTCATGGCAAGGTCCTAAAGTACTACACAAAGGGTATAGATACATTTTGTCATGACTACGGTACTCAACAAATATTATTTTGTATAGATCACATCTTCCTACAACCAAAATTCACGACCATCTGGTGTTAAATTCAAACTCAAGACCGAATGCACAATTTACGTGCAAGCTGCATTTCAGTATGGATCATTGCTGCAAGATTTTAATTACTAAGTTAACCACTTTTCTTAAGGACTACTAAATCAGTCCCTTATAGGCTCAATACACTAACTAGCTGGTTCATGTACGTTATGGGAAGCTTGATCAAATGAGGTTCAGAAGAGTCATCTTACCATTAAAGAAGAGGGATAGAAGTTGGATGGTATTTCCGTTCTCATCGGTCCAAACTAAAGGAGCGCCAGAGAATCCGTTGCTCATGATATCGGAGGTAGCAGTAGCTATGCCCTCTGTTTTCTCCCCATACACAGTGATAGCATACGACACGATCATCTCAGAGAATGAACCCGGAGCAAAGCTGGTGACCTCACAAGTGGACGTGGGGTATGGCGTGCTGGCGTTTACCCAACCATCAATTACATTTAGAAACTGAAAACAGAGAAGAGACAATACAGAAAGAATGTTCAAAGATAAATTGTGGAGAGTGAAAAAGATATTGGGTTTATGAGGCATGAAGAAGTGACATCACGAACAACTTTTTAAAACAATATCAGACAAGATTTACTTTACATCCACCAGCACTAATCATTACCGCATCACATCTTTATTTTTATATTACATTTCCATTCCACATCTACTTTTACCCTGAATTGCAAGGCAATACGGAAAACATGTAGCAAATGCTCATGATTGGGTTAATTTACAATGCGATTTTTCAAAAATATACAAGGCACTACACACACCAAATAACACCCCATCTTGTGCCAGATTTTGATTTTTTTTTTTTCATTTTATTTTCTTATGCATTCATGTAAACATACAGTTTTTCTATAATAATAATAATATAAAGTACAATAAGTATTTTTCTGACAATGAATCATTCTGACAATGAATACATATATATATAAATTGTTATTTAAAAAAAACGAAATGATAAACTGTCATAAATACTAAATTTCCTATAAAATTATTTGCGGAAGAAGGACTGTCATTGTAAGCAGATTGCTTGATAATACGACAGCCCCAGATGACACGCTGGCATGGCTCTCAAGGCTTTATTTGTCACAATAGCTGTGAAACATTATATGAAACAATACCCAACCTCAATCAAAACTCATACAATCAGGGAATTTCTTATCATCAAACTACCACCAAAAAAAAATTCCCTTCTTTCTATGGGCTGACAATTATGGATGACAAAAATATGGAATGAAATAAAAACTTGTTTTAAGTGAGGGAGTATCGGTGAATTAGGTAGTCTAATCAAAAGTCATTTTTATGTTAATTGATAATAGTGTAATTCTACTTGCAAAATCTCCTTACAGAAGTAATGTATATTTGAAGCTCACATTATGAATAAATTATTTACAACATAGCACTATACTAACATTTAAAAAGGATGATGTTTTGGTAACGGTACACTTTAATGTCTTGCCATAGGACATTTGTGATAATTTATTTAAGTTTAAACAACAAGAATCTTACCGCTCCACAGACAAGGGCTTCCAAGTTCATGTATTCCTCCGACGTTGGATCTGATAGCGAGGCTGTGTACGGTACGATCCTGCCGTTTACCAGGTTGATGGTGATGGACCCAGTGATGGTGGCGCTAGCTAGTTCATACAAAGAATAAGGTGTTTACAGGTCATTGGTGGTATCATGAGAAGTACAAGAGCAAGTGAGAGAGATAGAGACAGAGAGAAAAGACATACATGAACAAGGAAAATAAGGGGAGGACAGTGAAATCAAAAAATTGAAAGGATGGGGAAGACAGGTAGAAAAGGAAGATTGAAATTGTGTCAGACTGGAATCATTTTAGAATGTAATGACTGCTATGAGAGACATACCGGTAATTGTTTTTATACGCTCAAGGGGAGGTTACATCGTGCTATCGCCCTGAGGCATGCCAAGGGGTGAGAGCACGATGTAACCTCCCCGAGAGCCTATTAAAACAACAATGCCTCTAATATTATTAATAATAATAATAATAAAAATAGGCATTTCTATAGCGCCGTCTATCTAGATAATTTTTATTTTGAGGCGCATTTATTATTTCCCCGGCTTTAGCCTAGCTGCCGTTTATACAGCGCTCCAGCATTTCAAGGAATTATTACCTGCCAGATACCCATTTACATCACCTGGGTTTAGTGTGGCAAATGTAGATCAATGTCTTGCCAAAAAACATTAGTGGCGCGGCGGGACTCGAACCGCGGAGCTTGTGATCGACACTCCGGCGACGTATCCACTCGACCACGACACTTCTACAAAGCAGTCACTATAACTTTTTTATACCAAAAAGGAGATTGCATGCATATGGTAGTCGCGTTCCACACAAACTAAGTTTAATAATTAACACGTAAACCAAAGGGGATCGCAGTTCTCATACCCGCCTACCAGTCAATAGTCTTTAGAAAAGTGCCCTAGGGCGAGTTTCAAAAGACTATTGACCGGTTTCGACATTTTACGTTTCTTTACGGGAATGGCTAAAATCACAACTCTAATTTCGACCAATCAGATGGCTGGATATCTAAAGTGAGGTATATAATGTATAATATTCATCATCTGAACTGTGAAGAACAATTCTCACTTTTATTCCTATTGCCAATTCAAATTGATAAGAATTTTTGGCTTCTAGAATGAGTGAAAAATGTGCAGCTCACAGGATGAAATAGAGACATTTTCAGATAACCATATATTGAACAGAAGAAACAACAGATAGAAGGACAGATAAAAGAGACATCAACAGAAAAGAATTTGCCATTATTATAAACTTACTCAGGCAAAAGCCTCTTGTCCTCACAAAGTCTGCAGCACACACACATTGGTAACTTCCAACTGTGTTCTCACACTCCTCATTAGCCAAAGTGCATGGGTTACTGCCACTGGCACACTCATCAATGTCTATATAAGAGAGTGTATTAAAGTCATGAGAAATAATGGAAGAACATAAGATATGTATCCTAAGATGACTATATAGATATATAAAAACACCCAAATCAAGTATTAGGGACTCTTTAAAAAAGTGTGAGAGCAAACAAAGAATGCATCAAGTAAAACAAAGTAAATCACATATTACAAGCAGATTTCAAGGGGTTTATTTTGAAGGTGGCAATTTAGACAAATTAATCTCTGATGCAAAGTGACACGTTGTTTCATGTTTTGGATGCAGCCACTACACAACATTTTTCAGGTGATAGGACTCAGAATTTGGAAATAAGTTCAGTTCCGTCGGTAATTAGATTACAAGCTGGTGTATATGAAGAAAAAAAAAGAAACTAGATGAAACTTTGACTGCACACAGTCGAAAATGATGCCTCTGCCATATAGCGATTTTTCAAACCAAAACAGCACTAATTTAAAAAAAAATCAAGTTTGATTGTAATCCATTAACAGGTTCTCAGAATATCGTGATTACAAGCTTTTTTTTCATTAACATGATCTTTGACCTCATGACCCTAAAATCTAATCAGTTAATAGGCTCTGCAATGCACATACATGTCCTGGCTTTGATAGTAATCCATCCGTCAGTTCTAATGAGAATGCATTCTCAAGATATTTTTGTATACATAACGAGCCCTTGACCTTGGACCTCGTGACCCCAAAATCCCATCAGTTCATCGGCTCTGCAAGATACATACATGACCCAAGTTTGGCAGGACTCCATCAATGGTTTCTTGAGAAAACGTAATCACAAGCTATTTTTGAATACAAAATGGGCCTGTGACCTTTGACCCTGTATTACAAGAGCTCGCACGCACGGAAATTTATGTTAAACGGTCGATCATTCCGTTATTAATAGTCATAAAGAGACAAACATGGTATCAATTTGTTTGTAAAAATATCTGAAATATCATGAAAGAAAAAAAACTAGATGGAACTTCGACTGCGCGCAGTCGAAAATGATGCCTCCGTCATAGAGCAATTTTACAAACCAAAACAGAAGAAATTTTTCGAATTCAAGTTCAATTGTAATCCATTAACAGGTTCTCAGAATATTGTGATTACAAGCTATTTTTGCATACATAATGAGCCCATGACCTTTGACCTTATGAACCAAGAATCTACTCAGTTCATTGGCTCTGCAAGAAACATACATGACCTAAGTTGGCAGGAATCCATCAATCGGTTCTTGAGATAACGCGATCACGAGCTGTTTTTGCATACATAATGTGCCCTGTGGCCTTTGACCTTTGACCTTGTGACCCCTACATCTAATCAGTTCATCGGCTCTGCAAGTAACATACATGACCTAAGTTTGGCAGCAATCCATCAATCGGTTCTTCAGATAACGCGATCACAAGCTCATTTTGCATACATAATGAGCCCTGTGGCCTTTGATCTTTGACCTTGTGACCTCAAAATCTAATCAGTTTTTCGGCTTTGCAAGTAACATACATGACCTAAGTTTGGCAGCAATCCATCAATCGGTTCTTCAGATAACGCGATCACGAGCTCGTTTTGCATACATAATGAGCCCTGTGACCTTTGACCTTTGACCTCGTGACCCCAAAATCTAATCAGTTCATCGGCTCTACAAGATACATACATGACCAAAGTTTGGCAGGAATCCATCAACCAGTTCTTCAGATAACGCGATCACGAGCTCGTTTTGCATACATAATGAGCCCTGTGACCTTCGACCTTTGACCTCGTGACCCCAAAATCTAATCAGTTCATCAGCTCTACAAGATACATACATGACCAAAGTTTGGCAGGAATCCATCAACCAGTTCTTCAGATAACGCGATCACGAGCTTGTTTTGCATACATAATGAGCCCTGTGACCTTTGACCTTTGACCTCGTAACCCCAAAATCTAATCAGTTCATCGGCTCTACAAGATACGTACATGACCAAAGTTTGGCAGGAATCCATCAACCAGTTCTTCAGATAACGCGATCACGAGAACGGGACGTACGTACGTACAGACGTACGTACGTACGTACGTACGGACGTACGGACGGACGGACAACCCGAAAACATAATGCCTCCGGCTACTTCGTAACGGAGGCATAAAAATGGCGATTCTATGTTGTGTAATAGTTTGACGCGCGAGAACGCGCACGCATGTGCGTGCGCGCGATTTTGTATAAAATGCTTAGAATGGCCTAAAACGTATGCAAAATGATTTTGAGACGTATTTGAGCATTTGAAAAATTTGCGCACACATTGACGCGCGGACGTACGCGCGCGCCCGTGTTTTTTTACCCGAAATTGACTGGACGGATATTGACCTTGATCATGATAAATATGAATGAGAAATAGCTTTTGGTTATGAAGATATGATCATGAGTTGTTTTTCCGAAAATTTTACAAAATGGCGCCTAGATGACGTCGTCAGTAAAGGTCAAGGTTGAAGACATTTTTGTGCCTTGTACATATGCCTATACATATGTGTGCCAAATTTCAAGGCATTTGATCGAGCCATTTTCACGTAATCTTGTCCACAAAAAAAGTGGTTAGAAATAAGAAAAATAAAGACTAAATAATAAAGGCAATTCTAACGAAATTATAAGGTAGTCTGTACGTTATACAACCCACCTGATAAATAAATAATAAATAAAGGCGATTTTAACAAATATATAAGGTGGTCGGTATTAGATACAGCCCACCTGATAAATAAAGAAAGAAAATTCTGACGAAAACAATAGGTGATCTGTCGAAAACGACAGACCACCTAAAAAGGAAAGAACTAAGGAATGCCTGATATAGTAACCTACATCATCTAGTAGACCTACTCCTCACATACCGCATTTATTTAGTAGTGTGCATTGAATTTATGAGCATTGTTTCACGAAGAAAACCGTCTTAAGTGCAAGTTCGCCAACATCTCATTGAAACTTGTGTCAATTTTCATACACATGTTGTCTGTGAAGTTGTACTTATGACGGTTCCCGTAAAATGATGCACAGGGGAGAAATATGCTAGTTAACACCGATAGATCCCAATCTATTTCTCAAACTATCTTTCGTGCCAAAACGGTAACAAATAAGGCAAAGGTAATATATAAGGCAAAGTTAAGGTTTGCCGTGGCGACAGCCCAGAAAAGCGGCAATGTTTCTTTCGTCTTTGTTTTGGAAAAGAACACTTCAAATACTTGCTTTTTAATATGCAAGGATTACATGTTATAACATTAGTATGAGAATGTGATCCTTGAAAAAAGGAAACGGATAGGAAAAAAGTAATTGGAAATACTTAAATGCCTATGATTACCGGTTGTTGGTAGATGGGATGTGGTTGGCTCTTGAATAGTTGTTATTTCAAGAGGTTGAGTAGTTGTTCCTGGTGGGGCAGTTGTCGTTTCAGGAGGTTGAGTAGTTGATCCTGGTGGGGCAGTGGTTGTTTCAGGAGGTTGAGTAGTTGATCCCGGTGGAGCAGTTGTTGTTTCAGGAGGTTGAGTAGTTGATCCTGGTGGGGCAGTTGTTGTTTCAGGAGGTTGAGTTGTGGATCCTGGTGGGGCAGTGGTTGTTTCAGGAGGTTGAGTAGTTGATCCCGGTGGAGCAGTTGTTGTTTCAGGAGGTTGAGTAGTTGATCCTGGTGGGGCAGTTGTTGTTTCAGGAGGTTGAGTTGTGGATCCTGGTGGGGCAGTTGTTGTTTCAGGAGGTTGAGTAGTTGATCCCGGCGGAGAAGTTGTTGTTTCAGGAGGTTGAGTAGTTGTTCCTGGTGGGGCAGTTGTCGTTTCAGGAGGTTGAGTAGTTGATCCTAGTGGGGCAGTGGTTGTTTCAGGAGGTTGAGTAGTTGATCCCGGTGGAGCAGTTGTTGTTTCAGGAGGTTGAGTAGTTGATCCTGGTGGGGCAGTTGTTGTTTCAGGAGGTTGAGTTGTGGATCCTGGTGGGGCAGTTGTTGTTTCAGGAGGTTGAGTAGTTGATCCCGGCGGAGAAGTTGTTGTTTCAGGAGGTTGAGTAGTTGATCCTGGTGGGGCAGTTGTTGTCTCAGGAGGTTGAGTGGTTGATCCCGGTGGGGCAGTTGTTTTTTCAGGAGGTTGAGTAGTTGATCCTGGTGGAGCAGTTGTTGTTTCAGGAGGTTGAGTAGTTGATCCCGGTGGAGCAGTTGTTGTTTCAGGAGGTTGAGTAGTTGACTCATAATCTATCCAAATATGAAGAAAAAAATGGGGGGTATCCATCCATTCTGAAGAGTTACAATGAATTTTGTATAGGCATGTTTTTCAGGGGTGATAGTGAGCACTAAAAAAAAAATAGGTTTTTTGTTTTCCCCTCAACCACGCCCCCCTTTGAGTAAAAAAAAAAGAAGAGGATTCGCGGGGAAAAAATGGCATCTAACAACATTCCCCCCTTTCGAGTGAGAAAATTGGGAAAAAATAGGGAAATTTGGGAAAAAAATAGGGTAGAACAGAGAAAATAAGGTGGAAATCAGGAAAATCAGGATAAAATTAATAGCGAAGAAGAAAAAAAAATCTGGTAAAAAAAAAAAAAAAAAAAAAAAAAAAATCTGGATTTTTTTTTTTTTTTTTAAATCGGGAAGAAAAAAAAAAATCGGGAAAAAATCGGGAAAAATATAAAAAATCGGAAAACCGATTTAAATCGGGTTTTTATCAGGCCTGGTTTTTGCACATGTATGTTATGTATTACAAGAGCTCGCACGCACGGATGCGTATCTTAACGGACGCTCATTCCGTTATTAATGGTCAGAAAAAGGTGAACATGGTATCAAAATGCTTGAAAAAATGTGCAAAATATGACAGAAAAAATTTGGCGATTCTACTTTGCAAAATGCAAGTACGCGCGAAAAAGCGCACACATGCGTGTGTGCGCGTTTTTTTTTGCAAAATGCTTAACTCATATCCTGCCATGAGGCTGCTAGCGCGCTATTGTTATAGTGCTCTGTGCAAGCGAGCGCGCTACCGTGTGACTGCTTCGTGAACGCTAGCAAGCATATGTAATAACAGTCAATGTTCATGCCCATTGCACCGTGCTCAGTGCTTTTACAGCGCTATTGAAAGTACCACCGCGTGCATCAGATTATCGGCTTTGGATTACGCGTCTTTGTATACAACAGTCAGATTGGATTTTCTCGAGTAATTTAGTGATTTGTTTTTTGTAAAGATTTAAATAACACGCACTTGAACCAACCTTAAAATTAACTTGGCACACAGGAGATTAGCACTGTGGCACTGGGTGCATTGTATGGGTGGCAGCTTAAGAGTTAAAATGGCCTGAAACGTATGTAAAATTAATTTGAAACGAATTTGAGCATTTTAAAATTTTAATGCAAGCGTACTTGCGCGTCGAGGTGCGCGTGCAAAAATTGTTGACATTTTTAGTTGACCTTTGACCTGAAGTTGATGTATACCAAATATGGTTTATTTTTTATAACTCGTTATTGAGATATGATAATGACCTGATTTTTACAAAATGGCGCCTGGATGACGTCACGATGACCCCATGAACTTGAAAAAGGTTTCGGGAACTTGATATTATAGGGCCTAATGACTAACAGAAATTTGAAGGAAATTGACCAAGTTGATTTCGAGTAAACGTATACACAAAACTAGATGGAATTTTGACTGCGCGCAGTCGAAAATGATGCCTCCGCCATAGAGCAATTTAAACAAGTTTGGAGTTTAAATCTCCAGTGGTTCTTGAGATATCGCGATAACAATCTCAATGTATGGAATTTCATAAGTTGACCTCTGTGACCCTTGACCTTTGACCTACGTGCTCCAAAATCTAATCAGATTGTCTTCCTATGGTGATACACACTATCATTAAGTTTGAAGTTTAAATCTCCAGTGGTTCTTGAGATATTATGATATGGTGATACATACTATCATTAAGTTTGAAGTGAAAATTCTCCAGTGGTTCTTGAGATATCGCGATAACGATCTCAATGTATGGAATTTCATAAGTTGACCTCTGTGACCCTTGACCTTTGACCTACGTGCTCCAAAATCTAATCAGATTGTCTTCCTATGGTGATACACACTATCATTAAGTTTGAAGTTTAAATCTCCAGTGGTTCTTGAGATATTATGATAACAATCTCAATGTGATGATTACCTTGTCAATTAATATAATCATTTTGTTATATTATGAAACAATATGTCTTTTATGTATATTTTGTTATCTGTATTATTTCTGCATGTGAAATGTGAAATCAATAAACTCAAACTCAAACTCAAACTCAATGTATGGAATTTCATAAGTTGACCTCTGTGACCCTTGACCTTTGACCTACGTGCTCCAAAATCTAATCAGATCGTCTTCCTATGGTGATACATACTATCCTTAAGTTTGAAGTTTTTACATCTCCAGTGGTTCTTGAGATATCATGATAACAATCTCAATGTATGGAATTTCATAAGTTGACCTCTATGACCCTTGACCTTTGACCTACGTGCTCCAAAATGTAATCAGATTGTTTTCCTATAGTAATACACACTATCACTAAGTTTGAAGTTTAAATCTCCAGTGGTTCTTGAGATATCATGATAACAATCTCAATGTATGGAATTTCATAAGTTGACCTCTGTGACCCTTGACCTTTGACATACGTGCTCCAAAATCTAATCAGATCGTCTTCCTATGGTGATACATACTATCCTTAAGTTTGAAGTTTAAATCTCAAATGGTTCTTGAGATATCGCGCTAACAAACTCAATACAAGGAATTTCATAAGTTGACCTCTGTGACCTGTGACCTTTGACCTACGTACTCCAAAATCTAATCAGATCGTCTCCCTATGGTGATACATACTATCCTTAAGTTTGAAGTTTAAATCTCAAATGGTTCTTGAGATATCGCGCTAACAAACTCAATACAAGGAATTTCATAAGTTGACCTCTGTGACCTGTGACCTTTGACCTACGTACTCCAAAATCTAATCAGATCGTCTTCCTATGGTGATAAATACTATTCCCGAGTCTTAAGTTTAAATCTTAAATGGTTCTTGAGATATTGTGATAACGGTCAAACGGGACGGACGGACGTACGGACGGACAACCCGAAAACATGATGCCTCCGGCACCACCTTCGGTGGCGGAGGCATAAAAAGTGTACGGAAGAAATAAAAATAAACTAGATTTGTAATACTTGTTTGGAACAAGTACAGGTGGGCTGATCCAACTAAAATTTGAGACAAAATCAAGGGCACATTTGAGACAGCTTTTTGTCTCAGCTACAACATACTCAAAGTGCAGCGTAAACGAAGCTAAAACAACGTAGATATTGCTCGCGAAAGACGGGAATGTAGAATCGAGTTTTGAGAAAAAGTCACGTCCCATAGAGAATACACGCAAAATGTGAAAAATTGACATGCCTCCTTTAATCGCAAAAATACGCCATGATGCCTTTGTCAAATGAAGAAAAAAGTTACTGCATTTGTAGAAAATTGTCTCAGCTAGAACATATTACAATTTGGAAGAAAATCGATCAATATTTACAGAAATACAATCAATTTTCCATAAATATGCTGACGTCATAATATGCAAATTGGAATTTTGAGTTCGGAGGCCACTATGATGACGTCATGAGTTAATCGAGGGTCAAATGAGACATGAAACAATATCTCCGAATCATACTCTATTAAAATATGAAAAAAAATTGAATTTTCTTACATCCTAAAGAGCTACAATTAATTTTCTATAGGCATGTTTTTGCCCATATATGCTATGTTTTACAAGAGCTCGCGCGCACGGAAATTTATGTTAAACGGTCGATCATTCCGTTATTAATAGTCATAAAGAGACAAACATGGTATCAATTTGTTTGTAAAAATATGTGGAATATTATGAAAGAAAAAAAAATTGCGATTCTATGTTGTGTAATAGTTTGACGCGCGAAAACGCGCGCGCATGCGCGTGTGCGCGATTTTTTATAAAATGCTTAGAATGGCCTAAAACATATGCAAAATGATTTTTAGACGATTTTGAGCATTTTAAAATTTTGCGCGCGCATTGACGCGCGGACATACGCGCACATGCGCGTTCTTTGACCTGAAATTGACCGGACGGATATTGAGCTTGATCATGATAAATATGAATGAGAAATGGCTTTTGGTTATGAAGATATGATCAAGAGTTGATTTTCGTAAAGTTTTACAAAATGGCGCCTAGATGACGTCATCAGTAAAGGTCAATGTTGAAAACGTTATTGTGCTTTGTACATATGCCTTTACATATGTGTGCCAAATTTCAAGGATTTTGATCGAGCCATTTTCGTGTTATCTTGTTCACAAAAAAGTGGTTAGAAATAAGAAAAATATTTAATAATAAATAAAGGCAATTCTAACGAAATTATAAGGTGGTCTGTACGATATACAGCCCACCTGATAATTCAAACAATGGACACCATATCAATTAATTCATACCTATCCTGTCTTGCTTTTTACATGTTATTACTGAATCAATTTGGTTAGTTACTGTTAATGTATGTTCACATTTACGAAGATGTTATTTTCACTGAATGCATAATAATCTCAATAAATTTTGTATAGGTAGTCAACATAAACCACTTTGAGACAATCATTGTATTTTTGAAACATGAGGTGATTCTGGAAGATCTGAGAAGATCCACAATGATATGTACAAGTAATTATATGCAAGAGCACCTAGTTTAACCTGAAAGTGTCCCAAATCTTATAGATAAACTGGGAGTCAAGATTCCAATTCGACAGCAATTTATTCCCTAAAACATGGTTAAAATTATTTTGACTAATTTTCCTACCTGAGCATGTTCTTTGATCAGCTGCTAGCATATACCCATCTGTACAGAAACAGTTGTAGCTACCTGGTTTCCATTAACTCTGCAATCCACTCCCATTGCACTTGATCAAATGCAGATTTCACATCCCTCAAAGCCCGGTCACACAGAGAGGACGCATGGGGAACACACGGCCAGCGCATGGGAAATTTGCAATTTTGGCCAGTGCGTTGTCGTGCGCCCAACTTTGGTCGAAGCTACAGCGAGCCAAACAGCAAATGCATAACGTGTTGCTAGCGCGCTGAGCGCATACAGGGCGCATACAGTGCGCATACAGAACGTACACAGAGCGCACATGATAACAACTTCCACGAATGCAGATCGTGTTGCTAGCGCGCTGGACGAATGGTCCACGCATGCACCGCGTTC